GTAGAGGCTTATACATGCCTAGAACTTCTCCTAAACAGTTTATGAGAATCAATCGTATTATGCATGATAATATGAACAGCTACTTTGAAGAAAGAGACATTATGGTAGCGATTGCTGATTTCCTATCATCATGCTGTGAAATCCAGTTATGACTTTATTGCTTGTTTAGCATAGTTTCAGTCAGTTCTGTATTATTTAATTTCAACATACATGAAGGTATGGACAGTTAGTTTGAAGAGAACAAGAGACATTAGGGTAGCTACTGTTGATTTTCCTATTGTCTGGTTTTGAAGGCCTGTAATGCCCTCCTTATTCCCTTTTGATCAGTTTTATACTATTTTGTTTTGTATGAATTCATTGTGTGTGAAGATACAAACAACTATTTAGAAGAAAACAAGAGACATTATAGTAGTCATTGTTGATCTCTTGTTGTCTTGTGTGAAATCTGTGTCCCTTACATTGTTTTCTTCTAATCTGCTTTGCTCTGTATTATTGTGGTTTGTTTTCCCCTCTTCAAAATAAAAAAATAAAAATTGAATTAACATAAAAAGACACAGATTTGAGGGCATGTGTGGTGGCACACAGCCGTAATTCCAATACTTGGATGGCTGAAGCACAAGGATCACCATGAGTTGGAGACCACCTGGACTATATAAGAATTCAATGCCATCCAGCACTACATATTGAGACCCTATCTCAAAAAACCCAAATAAATTAATTAAAATAAAAAATAAATATCTGAAGACAAAATAATTCAATAAAAATCTTTTAAAACAGAGATTTCATTCTCCAACATCATGTTCTATCATCAGGCCTGTGTACCATATGATGATGTCTAAGTAGTCCAACCATATTCATTTATTATTACATTGAAATACAACCCAAAAAGACACGGAAAGGGTTATAAGTTTAGAGACATCCTTACATATAAAATTTTCTCTTCAACATGTGCCACATTATTTATGAGGAATAGTAACTCACTTTCTCTCCCATACTACATATAAAAGAAAACATGGAACTAGGAAAATATCCATTATTTTACATCCTTCACAAAATGCTACAATTTTTATAAAGACAAAACAAAGATAGTACAAAAAACTAAGCAGTTTACAAGCTACAATCCTTACCTTTCACTTCTTTTTTCAAATCTCTAAAGCAAGAAATTTTATCTTTTATTTTGTAGCCACAAAAACATACTTAACTTTCACTGTTCTCTATTAGCTTTCAACTTAAAGCGGCTCACATTTATAGTGGATAATAAGATCTGTTTCACTCAGTTTTATAAGAAGCCAGTTTAAGCACATGTCAACATTTTAATAAGGTTTTTCATCCAAGGACAAGTAGAACATTATTCTTAGAATTTGCAATTCAACTATCCAATTAATTTTATTGCTCTAAATGAAATCTTATAAACCAAGCAATTTCAAGAGCAGTAGCATTAAGCTAATTAAATTTCCTCTCCTATCCAAAAGAAAATGTTTATAAAGTTTAGGAATCTACAATATCCCAACCCTTTTAAAACTACAAAAGTAAGTATTCTGTTCCCAATTACATACCATGATCACAGTCACGTCTACAGCTTATTAAAACTGAAATACATTTTCTAGACATTTCAAATTTAAGTGAAAAAAGACTAACACTTGTAAATGTAGTTTAAAAATTATGTTTATATACATCATCTCACATATATCTCTGAAGAAGACATCCTCATTCTCACTTAACAATGAATGAATAAAGCTGTGGCTTACATAGGATAGATGATCTGCCCCAGGTAAGCTAAAAAGGAATAAATTCTTAAGCTCTTACTTTACCAAGAGCCATTTTCATTCACTTTTTTAACTGAAGGACTTGGTTATACTTTACCTTATTACTAAGTACCAATGTAACATCATACATCTTCTATTTTTAAGATAGAGAATTAGAGCAGACATAAATACACTGAACATATATCTTACAACCAAATGAAATGATGCTGTGTTAATATGCATCAGAAGGTGGTAACTGAAAGTTTCTGGCCCTCGTATAAATTACTGTACAATTATAGTGGTGGTCTAACACGGCTCAAAGCAGGAAAGCTTACCACTTCCTTCTTGTTCAGCCCTAACTGCAACTCCCCTTCCTGTTTGCTAGCAGAGAATTCCAATTGATTCCTCACACGTCATCAGTATCTGCCCATGCACCACTTCAGATCAGAGGTCATATAACCCTATGCCTCTCTGTATCCAGTTCAAGGAGACAGCCCAACCGCCATGGGTTGTATGCTCCTTTCCACATCCTCAATAAACCTGGCTTTTCATTTTGTACATTTTGCTTCTCTATTTTACCAGGAAACTTTTAACAGTAATAAATTTTTAGGCATTACAAAGAAGTGTATTTTTCAGTGTTTAAAATGTTTTTGTTCATCCATAGGCATAAGAAAAAATTTATTAAACTCTGTTTATTTTAATATGATTCCATTTCCTGAAGAGTTAAAAAGCAGGGTGGGCATGGTGATACACACCTGTAACCCCAGACTCATAGGCTGAGGAAGGGGACTGCTGAGAGTTCAAGGCCAGAAAAGTGAGTTCAAGGCCAGTCTGAACTACACAGCAAAACCCTGTCTCAAAAACATAGAAAAAAAAATTAAAATAACATAATTTTAGTATTTTGATTCACAAATGTTGGCATAAACAAATTTTATTGATAGTGCCCTCTAGTGGTAATACGAAAAACAGGTGTCACTGTAACTTTTCCCCAGTACTTTGAGACAGGTGGTATTATACTCCATCACCTCCTCCTTCCTTTTATTTTTAAGTTTATTGGTACATTTTAGATACACATAACAAAAACATCCACCATAGGGAATGTGTACCTACATGATACATCTTGCTTTGATTCCCATTCCTTTCAACTCCTTTCCCCGTCATTTATCGTTTTGTTTCCATTTTTTCCCTTATATTCTCTATAGTGCCATACCTAGTTTCCCTACAAACAAGCTGAAAATTACTGGCTCTGTAGGGCTGTAGTCAGATAATAAATAAAGTAAGTACCGCATCAGTTTTCTAGCTAATCCTGACTAAAACTTAACTAGAGCCACTTGGTAAATAGAGAGAACAATGGTTCTCAATCTTGCCAAAATATTCCTTAGAATTTTCTTAAGAAGTTTTTAAAATCTTGGGCCAGGTGTGGTAGCTCACACTTGTATTCCTAGGACTTGGGAGGCTGAGACAGGAGGACTGCTGTAAGCTTGAGGCCCACCTGGACCACACAATGAGTCCAAGGTCAGCTTGAACTATATAGCAAGACACCATCTCAGAAAAACCAATCACTCAATCAATTCCTGAGTAGCCAAACATGCCCAAGACCAATTACAAATCTCTCTGCGTGGAAGACCCAGGCATCAATACATTTTAACACTTTTAACATAAAAAAAGGTCTTTCTACAATGTAAGATTTTAACACCATTCATATATCCATATATTTTCCCCCCAAAAGTAGGTTAGTATACAGTATTTCCAAAGCTTTTGGACTAGAAACAATTGTTATGACACACATTTTCAGCCTTCTATGTGTGAGGAATACTAGTCTACAGAATAACTGTGAACTGCTTTGTATAGCATATGAGACATTCTCCTCCAGTCTCTAATCCAGCTTTATCATTTGCCACTCTCTCCCTTTTCCACTGCATACATGCATATTAAAATCCTAATAGTTATTGTAATGACAGGAATCCCCCTTATCTGGGGTTTCACTTTCTATAATTTCAGCTACCCAAGATAATTATGGTCTATACAGGCAATATAGTAACATATTTTAAGAGAGACCACATTCATATAACATTCCTACCAGTATATTGTTAAAATTGTATTTTATTACTTGTAAGCACTGTTAATCACTTACTGTGCCTAATTTACAAACTTTGTCATAAGTATGTATGAAGAGGAAAAAAACATAGTATACATAAATTTCAGTACTGTCTCTGGTTTCAGGCATCTATTGGGGGTCTTGAAATACATGCCTACCAGAAAAAAGGGACTACTATATCCATTTTTACATGACTGCATATTTTTATAAGCTGTTTGGAGTCAAAGGTTGAATAACTGGGGCTATACAGACATTTGTGGAATGATAAAAGTTTATATCTTTACTTCTTTAGAAGAAGTACTGTCATGCATGACTTTTAGTGCAACCTAAACTGAGCAACAGTTTTAACATAACCATAAGTGAGGCACTCTTAATTAATATTAAATTATAATGTGACTATTAGTACTTAGAAGTAACACATTAGAATCTGCCATATTTTAGTTAACTTATAATTTAAAAATAACAACAGACTTCAATTATTTTTCATTCTAAAAATCATTCAGGCCAAATGTGAGCCAAATAAAAAAATGTCTTTAATGTTTACAAGATTAGGTTTCTAAAAACCATTAAAGAGGAAAGGAAAAAAAGAGACCATCTGGAAATTCCAAATTTCTCATTATTGACATAAATAGTCTAGTTTTACTTTTAGATTTTTTCTGGTATATAAAAAACTACTTTTCTTTTAGCAAGTTGCATATCTAATTCCGGAAAAGCAATTCTAGTATATACCAATACAACTACAAAGTTTGGAATTATCCTCTTTTAGAATTATGAAATAAAGCATTTGCTTTAAGACTATAAAGGTGCTATCACCCATTCTATAACTTCCCGAAACTATACTGAAAATAAAGACAAGTACTTATACAGGTGTAATTCGCAAAGCATCATAAGAGTATGTTGCTCTCTGTACTATATTTCAGTTTGTAATTCTGTGAAGCATCACATAAACTCGATCTTTTAAAAATATTAATATATATTTGCTTTTAAAAGGACAGTGATAATTTTCTTAACACATTTATGCTCCAGAAAGAAAAAAGTAAAAATTTGTTGCAGAGGAGGGAGAAGTTTATAAAACTTGCCAACTCTTTTAAAAAAGTACATAAACCTAGTAGAAAGGGGAAAAGTCATAGAAATGAAGCTTTGAATTTAGTGTTCACCTCTGAATTCCTTCAAGAATATCTTTCACAGCTGCCATTAACTTTTGAAGATATATAAAAGCTTCTTCAAATGATGCTATTTTTGAAATAGTCAGCGCCGAATCTGAGTTCAATCTTTGAAACACATCAGTGCTAAAACAGAGGGAAAAGAAAAATGATATTTTACACTTATACATGGACACTTAATAATTCAATCTTTTCCACTGTATAAAGTATAATAATAAAATTAATTTCTCATAACTATGACCTACTTGAGTTAGAAACAAGATGGTGATGTGAAAAGCCCAGGTTCATACTTATGTAAGGAATCTAGCTCTAGATCTATACCAAATCTTTAACTGATAACTGTGTGAATCCTATTATTCTAAGAAATCATTAGAGATAGAAGGGAGGTAATATTATAAACCTATATTTAAGTCACCAACAATATAAGGATGAAGGAGAAAAAGATATGAGACTGTCAATTAAAACTAGAAGCTTCACCTAGTAATTTCACTTCCAGAAATCCATTACAAATTAATAATTATTCAGTCAGCAATTACTAACATTCCAAATAGTCAACACCATAAATGCTAATATTAACCACCTGATGAAATACCAAACTATTAAAATGACTTTTATGCCATGTAAGAAACAGAACAGAAAGTTTTATTCTAGCCATAATATTAGAAACCAAACATGCTGTACTGTCAATGTTATCTTCCCAAAATTCATGTTTACTGGGAACTTCAGAATGTGACTTTGAAAATGTAATTACTTTAAAATGAAGGTTGGATTAGAGTGTTCCCTACAAACTATAAAGACAAGAGATTGGAGTAATACAAGGATTGCTGACAACCTCTAGCAGACAGGAGAATGGAATGGAATGGAATGGAATGGAATGGAATGGAATGGAATGGAATGGAATGGAATGGAATGGAATGGAACCGAATGAATTCCTCTTCAGAACTTCCAGAGACAATCAACCCTACAGATACTTGGATTTTCACTTTTTGGCCTCTATGGTTGATACACTGTATCAACCTGGAAGCTTAACTAACAGACTCAGCAGGGAGACAGAATCCTTACTTTGTAAACATCCTATGTCTGTGCAAGAGGAGGGTATGGAGATTTTGTGATTGCTACACCTGTCCTGATAGAGTTGTAGCCTGATTACAATAAAAGGGACAAAAGGCTTGCTGTCGTCTGATTATAATAAAAGGGACAAAAGGCTTGCTGTCTCGTCTTGCTCTTGTTGCTTTGTTGTCTTCTGCTGCCTTAACAGCTGCCCTGTGCCATGCCACCCTGCCTTGCAGCCAGCTTATGAAATCTCCACCAACTGTGAGCTAAATAAACCTCTTATTCCTTAATTTTGGTTGTTGGGTATTTGTCTCAGCAACCAGAAAAAAGTAACTAAGCCTTAGAGCAGTGAGCAAATAAGTACATGTTTAAAATGATCCGGTTTGCAGTGATTTGTTATAGCAGGCCTCAGAAACTAACACATGTACCTAGAAACAAAACTGGATATACATATTATTAATACAGAGGGCCCTAAAATGTGATAGTTGGACTTTTTCATTTCAGTTATCCTTTAATTAGAACTAAACAATAATAACACAAATTGCCAGATACGAGTCTCATAATGATAGGATTTTTGGTGCAGGTAAGAGACAGAAAAAGAGGCCTTTATTGTGGGTACAGGAGGGCTGCAGAGGAGAAGCAAGCATTCTTTGAGAGAAGCAAGAGATAAGCAAGCCTTTTATCAGCTTTACATTTGGGAGGGGTTTGCAACTGGACAAAGAGGTCATATTAGTACAGCATTGGAGGTTTTCTGGGACTGGGGACAAAAAGTTTATTTTGGGTTGAGGGGAAAAAAGGAGAAAGTCAAATAAGTTGTCTTGTTTTTGGCTCCTTCGCCATCTTGGACCGTCACCGTGCTGACTCAGCAAATTTCAATGGGCAAGAACTCATCAACTGGAAACCACTTTCCCCTGTACCACCAAATCCTCCAAACAGCAATCTTAATGTTACATGTTCATGTCCACTACTTCTGCTGTGCTGGCAGGGAATAAATTAATAAAAGCCATCTCAGGTACTTATACCAGGCCCTGAGTATGCTATAAAACCTAATATACAAGTACAAAACAATAATTAGCAATAAAAAAGAATACCTCTACAAGAGGAAATAATGTATTTTAGTTCAGAGGGTAGTATATACTATATTAAGAGAATATTAAAATATGTAGCATAAAGTAAAATTTGTAAAAAACATTTCTAAAAAAGGATTTAGGTCATCTGGACATTCCTGTAATCTCAGTATTCAGGAGGTTGAGGGAGAAGGATTATAAATTTAAGGACAGCCTGGGCTACACAAATGCAAAACTTATTATTCAAACAATTTGTACACACACAAAAAAGAAAAACAATATGAAAAATAGATTAAGTCAGCATTAAAAAGTTTCTAACATGTCATATTTATTATCAAGTCAGTAAGCATAATGAAGAAGCTCTGAAAATAAACATTTCAAATCAGTTACAGCTGCAATCTATTGTCAGATTCATTAAATTGCAAATTAGATGAGTTACTAAATTGGTTATTGAGTAGCCAATTTATAGAAAATTAGCAGTCAAGAAACTGTCAAAAACAATCTTTTTGGGGGCCAAAGCTTGTAGCTTAGTGGTAGTGTGTGTACTTAGAAAATGTAAGGCACCAGGTACAATTTTAGTACCAAAAACAAAAAAATGAAACTTCAAAATCTGATTTTGCCTTCAGAGTATTAATGAAGTTCTGAGTTACAAAAAAAGTAAAACAAAAAGATATTTTAATTATATTTCACAGTGACACTCAGAGATATGTGTTTTTACAAAGTCTCAAAAGCTTACATGAAAAACAAGAATGGTTTTTTTGAACTTAAATCAGAAACAGTATCTAGAACTTATCCAAATTATTTATAAATAAAAAACACAAAAAACCTGAACTGAGGTACTATAATTTCGTTAAACCAGGGACAAGAAGATGGCATTTAAAGTCATATATAAGCACACTAGCAGCTTTATGAGTAACCATACATAGATCCTATTGAACCTTTGGTATCAACCAGTCTTGCAAAAAAAATGAAGTAATCTCAAGTAAATATGCATAGTTAGAGCAATATAAATCTTTTCAACTCACTGAAATGCTATTATACAAGCTATTAACCAGAAACACAGAATTCTCTGCTGTATAATACAAACAGATGGATATTACACAAAGTACTCAAATGTTTTCTAAATTAAAGAAAAATGAAAGTTCATACATATGGTTTTAATATATTTTATTCTGAAAGTAGTATTTTCCCTGACTGGTATATTTGGTAACTTTCTGCTAACCAGAATATTCTGATTAATTAAAACCTGAAAAATATAGTAAAACTGGAAAAAAGCAAATGAAACAGTTGCTTTGTATGTCAATATAAATTTTTAAATATTTTCTTTAGATTATTTGCCAGATATTGTTATTTCTTTAGTATGATTAGCTATAAATTATAGGTTATTTATTAGAAAAAAATTTAATGATAGCCCAGGACTAAAATGAACCACAAATCTAAAATGTTGTAACAGATAGCCCAATTGAGAAAGGGTATCTAAGCAGAGTGCTAATATTATGTATTCTACTGCTTTTGTGAACATCTAGAATAAATGTGCAGATTATCTCAATTTAAAACAACAGTTGCACTGGACTTGTGAAAAAAAATCATACTGTATGCCACTGGCTGTGTAAATTAATTATAAAAGATTATGGGCTTAGGGGAAAGTACAGGAGGGAGTTTTTATGTATGTTAAAATTAAATTAGTTAAAAATTTAAATTAGTTGTTCTAAATTATTTTTTTCAGCTAGTCTAACAGCAGCGTGTTTAAAAACAGTACTCATAAAATGGTCCCTATCATTTTACCAAGACACTATATATTTTGTTTATGTGACTATATAACAACATATTTTTTCTAAGTAACAAATATTTTTTCCTTTGCAAGTATTTATCTGCCTTTAAAAAAATTATATGAGCTTTTATTTTTAATTTTATCAAGGCCTTGCTCCCTAAACTGTTTGACTAAAGCAGGTAACTTTTCAGTGGTTTTGACATACATTTGGGTAATGTCTCTCAACAAGCTTTCACATCTGAATCAAAAATTTAGGGAAGTTTTTGTTTGTTAAATGCACTGTTCTCTTTACCTCATTCCTACTGAACTGGAATTTCTAATGACAAAGCTTATGCACATATTTTTTTAAATTTTCCATGTAATTCTGATGTGTCCACTTATATAAGCATCACTGTTTTCAAAGTACCAATTTGACAAAAGGCCTTTAAGACAATCTGTGCATTAAACTAAAAAATTTAATGAGTAATACAGAAATTCTAAAAAAAAGCAAGCCTGGGACGGACATGTAGCTCAGTGGTGCAGCACCTGCCCGGTAAGGTCCTAAGTGTGATTCCTGGAACCAAAAAAAAAAAGCAAGCAAGCAAGCAAGCTTGTAACACAACTGAAAAGTAGTTGGAAATTTAGTACCTGTTCTGATATATTGTAATCCAAACATTCTCTAGAACAGACCAGATTTCTTGATGTCTGTTGGGTTGGAGAAGATGCGAAACCGAGGAAACAGAGATTTCTTGGTTCTGAGACTTCATCAAAGGTGTGTCTTCCTGCGTTTTATTCATTGCGTTTTCTGAAGAATTTGACTTAAATTTTGTCTTAACCTAGGGAAATAAGAATTATAGAAAAATGCAGCTATTCTTTCACTTGTAACTGAGAAAAACAGGATGCCAATTATCTTTACAAAAGTATAAACTTTCTGGAAAGTGCTAGCTATTCTTTTTATTACGCACTGAATATTCTCAGAAAAGCATAAAAGTTATAAAAGATGCTTTCTTTTCCATTTAAAGCAAATTACTTCCAATCTATTTATTACAGTGACTTTCTTAGCTAATACATAGTTTGTTTAAGAATACCATATGCAAACTTTTACCCACATACGGTACTGAACTACAAAGAGGATACAAAGCTAAATAGAGTCAAGCTCTAAGCACCTTAAAATCAAGATAAAAGATGGAAAGGGCTGAAAAGGGATGTAAGAAAGTGCAGGATAATCTAAACCTTATCTTATGAGCAACAGTAAACCACCACTGAAGCTTTTTAATTCAGGTAGTGGTATACTCTGAATTGCTCTGTAAGACACAATGAACAGAAAAGTTTAAGGAAAAAAGATTATTTAGGAAAGCACTAGATAATACAGGAAGAAAGTTCTAAAATTTGTATTATGCTGATAAAAGGATGATTTTAAATTAAAGGTTAACTTCATAGGTTGCTAACTTTATGCTTATTAAATTTAAAAAATAAAATAAAAATAAAATTTGTAATGCTACCATTAGTAAGAGTATTAAGTAGTATGAGAATTTGTTATATTCAGGAGCTTTGTCAAAGTGTTTATATTTATTAGCTCACTTAATTCTGATGAGTATCCTATAAAGCACACTATAACTATCCATATTTTATAATGGAGAAAACTGAAGCATGCAAAGGTTATATAAATAATGCATCCAAGGCCCCACAGAATGTAAGAGGCATGAACAGAATCTGACCTTTGACAATCTATAAATGAGGTTATGATCTCTCTCCAACTGTAAAAGTAAGTATTACCTGTCTCTATTTTCTGGGGCAATGGGATGGGAATCCTTCCCATTTTTGCCTTTTTATATAAAATTATGAACTTCCTAAACATAAATCAATGGAAAGAAAGACATATGCATTTCTGTCCTGAGATAATTTTATTTTTATGCAGAGCTGGGGATCAAACACAACACCTTACACATGCTAGAAAGTACTACCAATAAGCTATATCCTAACTAGGTAATATTTTTTTAAATCACCATATATATCGAAAATAAAAGCAGCATCTCCCTAATGCTTCTTTTCTTTGGCTCTAACCTAACAGTATATACGATATGTAACTGAATCATTTCTAACCAAACATGCATATAAGGACCTATTATCTACTAGGTACTAAGATCTTTACAAATTTTCATTTATTTAACTTTTATAACAATTCTCAGACAGATTATTATTAATCTCATTTTACAAAACAAAAAACAAGGTTCAGAGAACTTACAAAACTAGATGTTAAAAATATAAGTCAGGATCCTGGGGCATGTAAGTAAGTTTAAGTTTATTTTAATTATTTTAGCATTTTAGTAGGGCAAGATGCTTGTTTTTTCTATCAGGTTTATAAAATAAAAACAAATACATCCCTTTCTAACCCTCTTACACAGCACAAAGGTGTAGAAAATGATGTTAGTTTCCTACTTTAGTTTTTCAGAAGCTTTTATAAGCAAACAAATAATGAATATTCCTCTTTCCCTAATTTTCTATACTTGATAGATTAAATGCATTTTTGGGTTAGGGATACATGGCTTTCTAGCATGCCCAGGCCCTGGGTTTGAACCTCAGAACTGAAAGTAAAACACACAAAAAACTAAGTAAAGGATGATGGCACAATCCTTTAACCCCATCTATGAGATGGATGAGACAAGAAAATCTCAAATTTGAAGTCAACTTGGGCAACTTCCTGAGACCCTATCTCAAAATACATTAAAAAGTGCTTCCTAGGTTCAATCTCCACTACCACCCCTAGGCACAAACACACGTACACACATGCAATTATGTACATATTTTAACACTTACTATCTCACACATTCTATCTTTGAAAACAATCTATTTGTTGTTCAAGTTAGAAAACATGACTAAGTAACACATATAGCAAATCAAATGCATTCCATATAACAACTCCTCTTAAAAAAATGTAACCATAGGGACTGGGGATTTAGCTCAGCGGCATAAGTACCTTCCTTGCAAGCAGGCAGTCATGAGTTCGATCCCTGGTACCGATAAAAACGAAAAAGACAAAAAAAAAAAATGTAACCATAGCACTTTGGGAGGCTAAGCCAGGAAGAGTATAACTTCAAGCCCAGTCTGTCTTTTTCCTTTTTATCGGTACCGGGGATTGAACTCACAACTGCCTGCTTGCAAGGCAGGCGCTTATGCTGCTGAGCTAAATCTCCAGCCCCAACACTAAGTTTTAATATCACATTTCCATGGGAGGTCTCATCACTAAATTTGTACCTGAAGAAAGCCATTTATAACCTAATAGTTATTATTTTACCTCTATTAATCTTAAATTGTATTTTTTATTGTATTTTATAATTTTAATATATACTAAGACAGTTACGCTTGTATGTATCTTGCATTTTCCATCTTGTTCACTTTATTTTACTACACAGATATAATTTAAGACTCAATTCTGTGACAGGAAATGATGAAATGTCTATTTCAACAAAATCCAAGTACAACAACCCAGCAGTGATCTCTTAAATTCCAAGGTCCATTCTTCGCTACTTAGTTCTAAAAATTGCACTTTTCATAAGAAAACCAAATTATCAATGTTTCTGTTATGAAAACCAAAAGCTCAAGCAAGACAGATTGGTACACACCTGTAATCCTAGCACCCTAAGAAACTGAGGCAGTATTACAAATTCAAGCTAATCAGGGCAATTTAGCCAAGTAGTGAAATTTGACACCCTGTCAGCAATAGTAGGTAGAGAACTGGGGACATAGGTCAGTATGAAGGCGCTAGTTTAGGAAAAAAATCGTTCTATACTTAAATCAATTATTTTCTCAAGAATAATCACATTTTACGGCAAGAAATACTCTTTTAGCAAGAAAAGCTTTTATTCAACAAAGATTAGTATCATGTAACCCTTTGATTACTTCACAGTATCATTATGAAAAATCCTAAGAAAAACCTGTCCAATTTATTTCCTCAAAGAAAAAAGAGAATATGGTATCTATATTAGACAAAAATTCCAATTCATTTCCTCTAGTAGTTATAATACTGAGTTGTTTCTGGCACATAAAACTCCTTGAATTTTCTGGATTTGAAATTAGATCACAGAAACAGACCACAATATGCCTAAAATCTATACAATTAAGATTAAAAGGTATCAGTATTAGGGTGGCTGCCTAGGAATTCCAGGAGGAAACTTTTAAAAATTCACAGATCAATTGGTGAAGTCTGAATAAAGTCTAAAGACTAGATACCAATAGTTCCATGACATTCTTCTTTCTAAGGATATACATGTAGAAATATTTATAGGTAAAGAGGTATCATTCCTGCAACATATTCTACAACAGATAAAAAAAATGTGGATAGACAGACATGTTTTGCAGACATAAATGGATAGGGAAAACAATAAAGCAAATGTAATAAAATGTTAACATTTGGGGGAATCAAGGTAAAGGATATACTGTACATGGCAATTCTTTGAACTACATTTACATACCTTTTCTTAATCTTGAAGTATTTCCAAACCAAAAAGAAAAAAAAAAAAAACCCAAGAATATCACAGGGTACTACTGCCAAAAAGTTGATTCAGTAAAGTTTGAGAGATTCTTCGTAGTTGCATGTTTAAAATCATCTCCTATTCAATTTTGATACATGTGAGATTGACTCGCATGAAACACTACAGGTTAACAGAAGAGTAATAAATAACTTTCTTCTACCCATAAATGAAGTAATACAAATTTCCAGTAACTCCTGTGACACTGATTCCATAAAATGATGTTTCATAACTCTCTAAGAGTCACACTTCAATTAACTGAATAATTAATGCTTTTAGAATAAATTAGATGTAAGTTATCCTTTATCTACTATTACCTGCTGAACACATTTTTAGGATATATATGATTTCCTGCTCTGCATGGCATTCCAAGGACATCTTACCTCTGCAAATGTCTGTAGTAGTCTGCTCACTTGAGCAAAGGCCTGCGGCAGAATACCATCATAATTCGATCTTATACTGAAAGCATGTAACAAGCTTTTAGAATCTTGGAGCAAGAATTTCACAGTTGTAAAGTCTACTGCATTATTAGCTGGTAAGAAAAAAATTAAGAGTGAAAAATATGTAAGAATGAATATAAAACACAAAAATGACACTGGAACACTAATATAATTTTTAAATTTAATAAGAGTATATATTTATACCAACATATCACTACTAATTTATCTCTGATATAAAAAGCAACAGAAACTTCATAATAAACAAAGTCTATAAATATAACACAGATATCTACATTCAGAAGTTCCCTCAACACAGACAACTTGAAAGTATGACAGAGTTTCACAGTCAAGAGATAATCACAAGTCAAAGCAAAAATGAGGCTCTTTCTTTGTTCTTGTTTTGAGACTGGGTCTCACTGTATAGTTTAGGATGCCAGGCTGGCCCTGAACTTGCCATGTGATCCAAGCTCTCTTCAAATCCATAACAATCCTCTTGCCTCAGCCTCCTATCTGTTGGGGTTGTAGGGATGTGCCACCACATTTGACCTAAAGCACACTCAGTGATCTGAGTAATCACACTCAGATTACTATAAAGACATTAGAAGAGCTACATACTAACGGCAAGCATGCAAGTTTCTGATCTGTCATAATGAACTCAGTTATGTAGTGATTTACCTTCAAATTCATTACATGATACTTTTTACATCTGTTGAAAATAATATGTTATCTAAGCATATTATTGCACTTGGGAAGCAATGAGAAGCAAAAGAAGTTAGCAGAAATATGTTTCCTATAAAGTGAGAATTTACAAATAAGGTCTTGAAAGTGTAACGATTTTATCTCAAGAAGCTAAAAAGTGGCTACATTAAATTCTCAAACTAGCTAGGAAAGGTGGCAAAAGTAGTTTCAAAGATTTAAAAAGTTATCAATAATTAAACTAAGTTATTTCTAATGACACAAATATTAGACTAGAAAGGAAAATTTCCATTTTCAGGGATAAGGCTACATAATAGTTTTCAAAGACAACAACATAACCACACTACAATGTGTTTGCTTTGTTTCTATTTTAATGTTCACAGCATTAGAAACAATCATATTCTTAAATATGAACATGGCTTTTCTTTGGCACTATGAGTTTAAAAAACAAAGCATCCCTGTATGTCACTTACACAAGCAGAACTTGCTTGTGAAACTCTAATTATGTTTAAATGAAATTTTTGGGGGGTACCACGAATCCAACTCATGACCTTGCACTTCCCAGGCAGGTGCTTATGCCACCACATCCCTGGTCCAGTTTAAATGAAATTTTGAAATTACATTTTCATAATTAATTCTCAGAAACTAATAGGATGTTGCTCATAGCCAAGCCTCTATCTTACTTTTTACCCCTCACCACCACCCCAAATCTAGTGTATTTCTTTCCAGGAACACTTTTATTTCTTTTTAATGCCAATAGCTAATTTGAATTCCTATGAGAAAAGAAAGATGAGAGATGCTATACATGGACAGACTGTAGACATGATAAAGTTCACAAATCTTCTGAGGAAGACATAACTGAATACAACTTCTTGTAGAGATCTTGCCCATGTAGTCTGTTTAGTTATGCTTATACTAATCATTTGACTTCTGTATTATAAAATTTCTTTAGTAAGATTATGGGGAAAAGGGAAACAATGAAAGTCAGGACAGAGACACAACAAAAAGAGATGCCTAGTCAAGCAACATGGCACATGCCTGTAATCTCAGCATTGCAAAGGCTCCTGAGGTTAGAGGATTACTTTGAGTTCAAGCCCAGCCCAGAACACATAGTGGGACCCTGTTTCAATTGAGGAGGGGGAGGGGCTCTACCTGGGGATGGCAGTATATACCAGTGATCCCAATACTCTTGGAGGCCAAGGCAAGTGATCCCAAGTTTGAGCTGACACTAGGCAATTTAGTGACTTTAGTGAGACCCTGCTTTTAAATAAAAATGTTAAAAGGGCAAGGAATATAACTGAAGGTGACGGTCCTGGTTTCAATTCTCAGTACCACTAAAAGAAGAGACCGGAAAAGAGGGGAGGAGAGAAGAGACAAAAAAAAAAAAAAAGAGAGATGGAGAGACTGAAGCATTTGGTAAGCACTTAATAGAAATGTCCATAATAGGATCATAGGTTCAAGGCTTGTCTGGACAACTCCATGAGATCCTGTAGAAAGAGAGGGGAGGATAGGCGAAGAGAGGGAAGAGACAGAAATTGATAAAACCAATAATTATTTAGATTAAAATAAATATGGGTAACAAAGTCATAAAAAGTTACTGGTCATTTTCCACATAATTTTCTACGAATTGGCTTGTGATTTTTTCAATTCAGAAGCATCTTAAACTGGGCAAGGTAGCACATTCCTGTAAGCCTAGCTACTTAAGGAGGCTTGAGAACTTTATCCCAAGTTAAAAGCCAACCTAGGCAATTTGTCTAAAACTATAAAAAGAGGTGGGGCCAAGGATTTAGCTCAGTGGCATATTTGCCTGCCTGGCAAACACTAGGTTGTGAGTTTGATCCCTGGTACCAAAAAATAAATAAATAAAAATAAGAAATAAAAAGGGCTTGGAATATGGCTCAGTAATACAGCACTTGCCTAGCATGTACTATGTGTTAGGTTCAAACTCCACTACTAAAAGAAAAAATAGTAACAAAGCAAGAAGTACTTTTACAATTCCTTTACATATTCTTTACAAATCACTAAATAAGTGTTAGATATTCTTCTAGGTAAAGGACTAATAGACTATGCACACAATGACTATAAAAATAACTTTTTATCACAAAGTATAATCAAAACATCTGCATTTCTCTCCCTACTGTCAGGAAGAGCTGCCACCTACCACCTGTCAGCTGTATATAAAAGCAGAACGCTGTCCATCAATACAAAAACAAATGAGAATGGCAACTGGTGTCTTTTTTGTTTTTGTTACTGGGAATCAAATTCACAATCTTGTGCTGGCCAGTCAGGGGCTGTGCCACTGAACATTATCCCCCTGCCCTGGTATTATTTTTTAAACTAGTCTTGTTCAAGATCTTATACAATCTATAAAGGGGATAAGGGGTAAAGGCACCACCTACCAGGCTCCCCATAGGGATCTCTCTACTTCTTAAGTGTGGCAGCCACAGTATTCAAAGAACCAAACATGCTGGGCAAAACAGTTTGAAATACACTAACTCTGACTCGGGGTAGTCTCTTCCAGTTGTAAAATTCACTGTGCACCAGTCTTATATTTCCTATTCCTTATCCAAAGTTTAGACAAAAAGCTTGAATACTTAGTACACAAAATGTGCTTAAAAGTTTGTGTTAAAACACAGTGAGAAATGACAAAAAGATTTATTAATTCTTACATATCTAAGTACACTGTAAAACAGTTTTAAAAGTTTGCAAAGAAAATATCATTAAAAATTACAAATTCACAATATCAACAACTGTCATCACTCTTTAGAAATTAGATGTATAAATCAGTATGAACTAATTAACAAATTTTGTATTAGTTCATCATCATATCCCAAACAATATACCTGCTGGTTCAACTCAATACTTTAATAACACAATACTGAAGAAAAATAAATAAAAGATGCATACCTTTACAAAGGTTTTCATATAGGCTCTCAACAGTTAAAAGTAAGTTCTTTTCCATAACTAATCCAAATACAGCAAACCAATGTTTTTTAAAGCACTGTAATAAATGTATTAGAGTCCATGGTGGTTTCAAGTACAGCATCTAAAGAGTATTTTTTTAAAAAGCATTAGCATCTTGGATTTATTATTCCTATTAATTTAAACATACCTATTTAGAACTCCTACATATTTCTGGATAAAATATATTGTAGTTAACTCAATTCTTTTAAAGTAAAAGATGCTTTATTAAAAGCTAATCATAATCTTAAAATGCTAATCTCCTTATCAAATGTTTTTGTAAAATTCATATTAATCTTTATAGTTTCAGAAACCATGATATATAAAGATAGGAGAGGTCTAATCAGAGAGGAAGTAGTCTTAATAAACCAGAGTTTCTCAATCTATTTTTCAGTATAGCCACTTTCATGAGGAAATCAATCTAATTATTTTGTATACTTGGGGGGAAATCTATTAACAGAAAAAAGATGTCATATGTAACTGCCACTTGCTAACATCTTTTTCTGACTCATTCACATTTTTATTATGAAACACACCCAATTAAAATCAATGCACCTAGAATCTTCTGATCAATTTGCATTGTTTTGAATCAGTAATTGATAACATAATTAAGTAAATATATAATAATGGCAAATTATAAGAATCTCATTCAATAGCTGGGATAGAGATATAAGCTACAACTGATAGGTTGTAATGTTCCTCTTAGCTCTAAAATGAACCTCAAACATTAAAGTGAACTTTTAAGGTCACTACTGCTAAATTTGGTGTTTTCCTGAACTGCAGAAAAGATACCAAAGAAAATTCAAAATATATTGTTAATATAATCAATTAATACCCTGATTCTCATATTGATGAAATAAGACAAAATATATACTTTTTTCTGAATACACATTTTTAGGGTAATTCTTTATATCAGATATTTTTATTCAAATCAAACTAAATAAGCAAAGTTTCTGCGTTCAATTTGAACTCATGGTATCAAGTTGTTTGACATACATCAAATCTGCTGATTGAAAGAAATCAAGTTATGTATAATCCTATGAAATTAAGAAATATCTATCACTCGATGGTCAAACAGTTATTTTAAGAACTGGGAGATAAAAATTTAATGTCATATACATTATTTATAATGAACCTTATTTGTTTCATACAAGTATCTCTTAAGATAACAAATCTTCAGTAATAAAAGAAATTTTCAATTAATAGAACTGAACTAATCACCTCTATCCAAAGGTTCCCAAAAGCAATTTTCATTTCTGTTTCTAATATTGAAGATAAAGCTGTTCCAAGAGATCTTTCAAGATCAGTGATAATGCGTTCAAGTACAATGGACAGTCCAGAATTTGTGGATTTTTCCTCAGAAGTCTCTTCCACAGGCTTTGCTTCTTTAAAACAAACAGTATAGGCTTTATTTAGGGCACTAGTAGTATTTTATATAAAATTATTATTATTTGGCTATAAAACACACATGTGTAGTATTTCAATAGCTGGTATTTCAATAACCTCGAAAACAAAAAAAAAAATGGTTTATCTTTAAAACAGCATTTATATCTCTACTAGTGTTCAAAATGCAATGTAAATATGTTACTTTAGCCATGCTTTATCTTTTTGACAAAAAAAGAACTAAACATTTTTACTAAAATGAAAATATACAAAATGTATGTGAGATTTTTAACTATAATTTTATTTTATTATTTTAAAGAACTACACAAATTTGGTGAATTCATTTGTGACAAGAAACCAGAAACTGCACCAAAATAGGTTTTGTTCCAGAATTAACACATATTTTTAAATTTAGCCCTCTTCAATAAACAGTTTTGGAAGGATCAAAATATATTCAAGTCCTACCCCTTTAAAACAGGCTTTCATTAATTTAATTGATAACTTTTTAAAAAATATTTGACTATAAATTTCTTATAGCAAAATTTGTAATATCAAGTGATTTAACTTCACAATTATAAACTGAGAATTTTAAACGATAGTACTATAATGGACAAATTAAAATTACACTATCCCTGAAATGCCATCCTCTAGAATATCCTGTTACTGTTCCCATGTGTCATTATTAAGACAAAAAATGCTTTATTTCCAAAAAAGGAAAATAAGTAGAACATGTATCTATGAACATTTATACAAATTATATATAATTATCTAGTATTAGAGACATCAAGTTATTTTCTCCACAAGTAAAAGGTGGGATGTGTTTGTAAATGACATCACTTATTTTAATATTCTATCAAATATCAAGCTATAGAATATATTATTCTTTTTTAAAAGAGGTAAGACAATACTATTGGCTTTACCTTTCTCATTAGTTTAAAATTTAATTTTTACTAGAGTCCTGCAAGTTTCTTAATTATTACTAGCTGAGGTTTTAATATATGAATAGGTTATGAATTTAAAGGTAATTTTAAAAAGAAACTAAAAAATGACTTCAAACGAGTTATTTCTATAGCCACTATTAACTTGAAAGGCATGCTTGGCAAGGTAGAAATTAGCATGCACACAATGATTATAAATATAGAAAACTGCATGTGAGCATACAGATAAAAATCAAATTAATTTGCACAAATACATATAGAAGACAATAATGCAAATTATGTTTCCTTTTATATTTTCATTATAATTTTATTTCTATTTACATGTTAGTATTCATTACAAAAGTTATCAATGATCTTAGTGCCTAAAATAAATTTCTAGTTATTTAGAATAAGAGTACTACCTTCTTTCAACTGTTGCTTAGAAATACAAGGCTGATGACACACATCTGTGTTCAGAGATAAGGTTAGTAACTCTGCACTCAATTCTTCTTTACTGAGTGATTTTACACCACTTACAAGGCCTTTGCTTCTTAAATTTCTATCATCCCTAAGTTGGGGTTAGAAGGAAAAAATATTTTTATAAGACAAGCTATAAGGCAATTCAAAGTACATGGGATCTAGTCAAAGGCTGGTGAGTCTCAGCAAATATAGCAACAAAAGATAATTTTTTTAAAAAATAGAGATAATAAATGGATTCACATACGGTGAGTTTCTTAAACATCTGAGGTAAAAGTGGTACTAATTTTATTCCTACTTCACAGAAACTACGATGTAAAGATACTAAATAACTTGTCTGGTTTTACCAAATAAATGGCACAACTATACTTGAACATAAACTGATGACCAACTTGAAAGAAATAAATATGAGACAGCTATGGCATATGAAATCATCCATGGGGCTGGGGATTTAGCTCAGCGGCATAAGCACCTGCCTTGCAAGCAGGTGGTCATAAGTTCGATCCCCAGTATGGATAAAAAGTTTAAAAAAAAAAAAAGAAAAGAAAATACAGGGCAGATAACTACAAATTTAATTAGAATGAGCATTAGACAAATAGTGTGAAGTTACCATTTGCTGAAAATAGTGGATTAGAACATAGCGTATAAGACCAGCTTGTGTGGTTACAAAGAAAATGAAGGACATTAATAAATGAAAAAACATTTAAGCATTTCAATGGGAAAGTGACATGATTAGATCTGCGTTTTTAAAACAACTCTGTTAAGGGCAAAGTAGCTTGGTAGGACTCACTTTCCCAAATGGGAATTATAAAATTTAGACAATACATACACACCACACTATCTAAAGGCACTACAGAGCATATAGGTACAGTCTAGAGCGGAGTGCACAGAAAGTACACTAATGGACTTTCTTTTTATGTAAGGGCATTCCTCAATTTGTCAATGGCATAGAACAAAGAAAGCATAATGAATTGAAATGTCAAAAAACCATCTATACTGCTGGCCAAAACAGCTGGGAAATTAAGGAAGAAACCATAGAGCAAGAAATTACAAACATCTGCATATGATTCTGCCCAGAAAACAATACAAAACAAAGCACTACACCAGGCATGGTGGCAGATGCCTATAATCCCAGCTCTTTGGAAGGCTGGGGCAGGAAGACTGCAAGTTTGAGCCCAGCTTGGGCAATGTAGTAACTTAATAAGACCTGTCTCCAAACAAACAACAAACATAAACACTATATAGTTAGATAGATAGAGATTTAGATACAGATAAAAGTATAAATTACACACAATTTAGAGGTGGAGGAAGGAAGACTTAAGTCTGATACCCGTCTGGGAAATATAGCAAGAACCCATCATAAAAAAATTAAATTACATTTTAAAAGATTGGAGATGTAGCTTAGTATGAAGGCCCTAGATTCAACCCTCTCAACACACACACACACACACACACACACACATACACGAAAGGCACTAATGGAAAAAGTGAATAGAATGTAAAAAAGGCAGTTTCAGGAGATATAAAAACTGTAGAAAGAGTGAAATAGAAGTACCAGTAATTTTAAAAAGTAACAAAATGAGTATCTTCAACAGCTTGCAATAAACTTGACATAGATAAGGAAAGAATCAATATGAAGACAGGCCAAAAGAAATTACTCAAAGCAAAACAAAAAATGAATGATGTTATGTTTTACCCTTAAAAAATTAAAAAGCACGTAAGAGTTGGAGGACAATATGTGTTAGAAAATCCTTAAATGTGAAGCAATATAGTATTAGTTAATGGGTAGATTCTAATACAAAATAAAGATGCATATTCTAAACTCAGCAACCATAGTTTTTTTTTCAGAAAGGTATATATAAGTCAATAGTGAAGATAAAATGGTATAAAAATACACAAAAGAAAAAAAGGAAAAAGACACAGAATAGAAAATAATTTCCAAAATGACAGATTTTAACCCACTCAATTAAATGTGTATGCTCTAAACTCATCAACTGAAAGAAATCAACAGATTGTATAAAAAAAGGAAAGAACCAATCACAATCAGCCCTCTACATTCACAAGTTCTGCATCTGCAGATTCAATTAACTGTGGATCAAAAATATTAAGAAAAAACTGTATTGATACTGAACATGTACCAATTTTTTATCATTATTCCCTAAACGATACAACCACTTATTCAGTATTTACATTGTATCAGGCATTATAAATAACTGAAATGACCTGAAATACAGAGGAAGATATGCATATAGTATATGCAAATAATGACATCATGATATATAAAGGGCTTTTTTTTTTTATCTGCATGAGAATTTTATTGTCCAAGCAGTCCTGGAAACAAAGTCCCATGGACACCAATGGACAACTGCATATGCTATCTACAAAAACTCACTTTAAATATCAAGAGATAGGTTAAAAAGTAAAAGGACGTAAAAAGATACTGTATACAAACACTGATCAAAAGAAAGCTAAAATAACTATTAATACTAGACAAAAAGACAGTATAGAACAATAGTATCAGGAACAAGATTATATAATGATAAAAAGGTTAGTTTTTTAAAAAGACAATCCTAAATGAACTAAATGTGAATGCATCTCACTGAAAGTTCCTGTCTTTCTGCCTGAGGACTCCATTCATAACCCAATACTCCAATTCAGCAATGGCTGATTACAAGAAAAAGCCACAGCCTTAGTGACTTTCATGGTGAGTGAAGTAAAACAAATCAAATTGGAAAGAGAAACATATCCACAATTAAGGGTTGGAGATTGTAATACTCCTCTCTTGGAGATCACAGAAGAAGACAGGTAAATTGTAAGTTTATAAAAGATATGAAGAACTGTTAGACCAACTGGACTTAGTGAAATTTATAGAATACCCGTAAAAATAGAATATACATTCTGCTCAAGTACATAAAAATCACTCATGAAGGTAGATCAAAATCTTGGCTACAAAACAAATTTAAAAGAACAGAAAAATAAATAATGTTTTCAAGCCATAAAGTTAAACTGTAATTTGATACAACAACAAAAAAGTACCTGGAAATCGTACAAATATTTAGACTTACGTCACAAATAACCAAATAACCTAAAGGTCAAAGAAAAAGTTACAAGGAAAATATAACATATATTGAATAGATTGAAAATAAAAATGTAACACAAAATTTATGGAACACAATTATGACAGTGCTTACAGGGAAATGTACAATGGTCTCAAATAAAAGGTCCAAGCTCCCATCTTAAGAAACAAGAAAAAAGAGCACAAGGGCTATAACAGTACTTTCTGAGATAATTCATGAGTTCTACTACACTGAAAGGGATGTAGGTTATGCCACTGTATACACCTGTCAATATTGAATGGTTAACATTTGTGCATTCTTAATATAAATATATTCTTTCTCAAAATATTAACAATTATGTCAAAGTAATCATGTTGCAAAATTAATAGAGCTATAGATGACAGAAGAATGGCAGACTATTAATATTTGTTATGGATGGATACTCAGAATTTTATTAATTCTTCACTTTAAATGTTATTCAAAATCTACAAAATGAAGTTTTTATAAAAATAAAACACCATTTTTAAGATTTGAAAAATAAAGGACAGCAAGTGTGGAAGTAGAGAGCATAGTTAATCTTAAGTGTAAGAAATGGGAAAAATAACATGACTCCAATGTCAGAAGCGATAAAAAAAAAGACCATTTAGGACGACGTGACTGGCTATATGTAGATCATAAAGGAAAAAGTATCAAAAATGACTCAGCTTCTGGCTTCATTAAATAGGTAAGAAGTTGTAATTTTCATTCACACTAAGAGAAGGAAAACTCAAGAACTCTTATTTTTTTGAAATGATAGACTCCAGATGTCTATAAGATAGACAAGGACATCAATTACATAGGTAAAAATGATTGCAGAATGATACATGGTAAAAATGTTGAACATTTTCCTATCACTATCATTATAAATTAAATTAACTTACAAACATGATCATCATGCATCTAAGTTACATAAATGTATTCTAACAATAAAAGGTATCACACAGTCTATCTGATTACCACACTTTAAAGGAAAAACAAACAAAAAGAAAGATTCAACTATGGGGCTGGTGTGGTTAATCCCAGCATTCTGGGAGACTAAGGCAGGAATACTCCCAAGTTTGAGAACAGCCTGTGCAACTGCAATTTAATGAGACTCTGAAAAAAAAGGGCAAGGCTTCAAAAATTCTCTATACTGGAAAAAAAATTGTTTTGACTATGCACTAAGTTCTTTACATATACACATACATATAAATTTCACTACCACTATGAGGTAGGTATTGTTCTTATTGTTTATTACATATGAGGAAAAAAAGCAAATTATCCAAAGCGAAAAGACCCAGAACTCCAAACCCAGGCAATCTAATTTTTTAACTGGCACCCAGAACAAAATTGTAACTTAAATTATTCTCTCCCAATAAGTCAGTAAATACATAACCCTGTCTCATATAACTAAAATATTCTATCACACTTTGATATTGATGCTTCTTTTCCATTTTCAAACACTTTCTATGTACCAATTAAATTGAAATGAAACTTCAACCACTTAAGATCTCACTCCTCTAGAGTTCATACATCATAAAAATACCTGCCGTACCTCAATATGCTTAGTGTTAAATTTAGAAAATAACTGTTTTCAATCCTAGATTTCATGGATATTATAACTTTTTAAAATTACATATGAGAAAAATCTGACATAAGATGTCTGTTAACAAAGAATAAAATTATTGTAAAACTCACGTGCATAAAATTACTAGAGAACTGGAGAATAATTCCTGGTACTGAAGACAGCATTTCAATACTCGATCATCATTGTTCTCATCACTCAATCCATCTGCAAATTTAGCAAAGATAACCATCAACACATACATAAGAAATCTGAGCATGAGGGCTGGGGATTTAGCTCAATGGCATAAGCATCAGCCTTGCAAAGGTGTGGTTGGGAGTTTCAGACCTGGTACCAAAAAAAAAAAAAAAAAAAAATGGAAATCTGAGCATCATATGAGTAATCTACCTTTGATATTCACAAGCCAAAAATATCGTAAGTTTTAGGACTGTGAAACCATTCTGTATGAATGGCAAATATGTATTATACATTTTTTCAAATCTATACAAAAGGAATCCCAATATAAACTACAAATTCTGGGTGTTAATGATGGGTCAGTGTAGGTTCACTGATTATATAAATGTACTATTCTGGTAGGGAAAATTTATTATGAGGCCATGCATGTTCGGCAGTAGGAAGTGTACAGGAAACCTCTGTATTTTCTGCTTAATTTTGTAGCGAACCCAAAACTGCTCTAAAAATTAAAGTCTACTTAGAAAAATGAATCTTTTTAACACTTTTTAAAGAGAAAAAAAAAGACAGCACAATGATGTCTTAACAAATCCAGATTTGGAATTCACACAGATATATGTTTTAAAAATGTTTGCTTTACCACTAAAATAGCATAAGACTATCTACAATCTCAGAACAAAGAAAATGCTATCAATACAATGAATGTATCTAGAACCCAAAAACTATGAATTCTAGTCTATTCAGTCACTCAGAAGTTGTAAGTAAATTATATAATTCCATCATGTTTAGAATCTCAGTTTAAGAGGTATATAAATTAAGGACCAACTGTTCTACCTGCAACTGAACCAGTTTCTTATGTCCACCTTTTCTTAACCACTGTAGCAACAGATTCAGGAACAGTGAAGGAAACATGGATCCTACTCAAAGAACACAATAAAGAATTTCTAACAATATTAATTAGCTCCTGACAAGGTAACCCTCTGGCATTCTCCAATCTTTTAAAGCATGTAGCAAAAATTCATTCTTTCAATTTTTTTTGCAAATAACACAAGATGTAAAAAGTGGACCAATGACAATATTTCTCATAGATCCGTACACTACCTACCTAAGAACTCCCAAGGAAACTTTTTAATATTACAGATTGCAGGACCATTACCATGATCTATTTCAGGATAAGACATTTTAAAGCCTAGCTCTCTAGACTTGCAGCAGTGAACCTGTGAAAACATGTGGTGGTGGCACATAGACCCTTGGCTCCATGTGAGGCAAATCAACTGCAGGAGCCAAGCATCAAATAAGTTGTTTTTTCTGAACTAAAACCTCAGTAGTTAGTTTTAATCTGTTGGCACTTTGTGATAAATAAATGGGTTTTGGGGCGCAGTTTGGGTACTCGGTCTCTAAAAGATTCACCATCACAGTCCTAGACCATAGTTTAAATTCTTGGTAAGTTTCTTGCACACTAAAATTCAAAATATAATACCCAAAAAGCTTCAATCTTATTCCAGTCTGTAACTCCCCTTCTCTTATTTTTTAGCTTATTTTACTTACTCCTATAATTATTCAAGTTGAAAACTCATTTATTCTGCAATAAATATTTATATAGAGCCAAATTTTGCAAGTTCCTGTGCTAAACAGCTAGATATAAAAAGATCCATGAATTCTTTAGGAGTTCACAATCTAGTAGTGAAATCTAGACAAAGCATAACTATAACAGAGCATGAGCTTGAAGGAGTTGTGTTTCTTAGTTCCTTAGTCAGACTAACCAGTGAGCCACACACAAATATATCAGAGTTGACAGTTTTCCTCCTTTTAGCACCAAGAGTAAATACCATGCAAAATGGACAGCTTAAAATCATTCATAACTGTAAACAATTCAACAAACAAAAGGAGCTTTAAAGGTAACCATGCATTGCTCTAAAGGTAACATGATTGAGATTATCTGTACTATCACTTTTTCAAAGATATACAGAGCTGTAGAACTTACCTAAAACTGCATAAAACAGTCATTCAATAAATATTTGTAGGTATGTACTCAGGTAATTTTCAAAAGTGAATAAAACAAAATCTCCAGAAACATAGCTGGTTTTAAAGTTCTGCTTTCTCACATCCTAGGTGTTTGTACTTGGTAGAGTACTTAACTCTATGGATTAAATGAGTACTACTGATAATAGTAAGTGCTTAAACAGCACTGTATATTTATTACTTAACCTTAAATGGCACTTCAAATATAGTAACTTCTACTCATATACAATACAAAAATGAATTCCAGTTAATACTTTTAAGAATCTAATAGAAATTAATTTAGCCTCAATATTTACAGTTTTGGATAAATAAGTAGCAAATAATTTTTTAAAGTATAAGAATACAAAAATATGAAACATCTGACAGATATGGTAGATAATCTTTTTGGCCCTCATTTTTATCTTAACATAAAAAATAATCTTGTAAAAATCAGGAAAATTCAGAAACTTAAATAACCTATAACCCAACAGCTAAACACACCATTATTCAACATTTATAATACATAGGTATAATTAAACAGATCTGAGATCCTACTTTTGATTTTTTTGGTCATCACTTGGATTGAAACCAGGGCCACTATCAACTTTTCAAATCTCACTGATGGATATGGAAACAGTGGACAGTGTAAATCCATAATATTTAAAATAAATCAATCTATATTTCTAAATAATGTTGAGTTGGGAAGAAATAAAGATTTTAAAGAAATACACACATATACATACACATATACACAAATTCTACACAGACAACAGTGCTGTTTCACAAAATATTTTTCTAATACATGACATAAAGTATAATAAATACAGATTCTAGGACTAAAGCACAGTTGAGTACTACATATTGATGACAAAATGCATATGCAATGGTGATCCTATCAGGTTATAACAGAGCTGTAAAATTCCTATCACCTCATTAAGTCATAGCCATATTAACACAGTAACAAAAGTATTGCTTAACTGTTCATGAGCAAACCAACTACACAGATAAGTCATACAAAAGCATAGTATACACAAATATGTATAATATATTTTATAATGATAATAAATGATTTATTTTACTGGTTTATGTCTTTAACTTTTGTTATTCTAGATTATACTCATTCATATTAGTCTATTGCACTGTATGCCAAATTACTAGCAGTAACCTCTTTTATGTTTATTTTGTCTCTTAATGACATCAAGAAGCTATGGCAAGCAAATGACCATTTACATTTGCATAATGATGAGACTGCCTAACCACACTGTTCTTGAAACTATCCTTGTTTGCTGAGCATAGTGACAAATGCCTATAGTCTCAGCATGTAGATCACCACAAGTTTAAGGCCAGCCTGGACTATATTGAGCTCAAGGATAGCCTGAATTACATAGCAAGACCCTATCTCAAAACAAAGACAAACAGACAAAACAAAATCAAGAACTACACATATTCCTTGATATTTCTTGTTTAACAATTTATCTGTTTAGCAATTGTTTGGACTTAGGCCCACTGTTCCAACTTGTTGCTTGGCTTATAATACACCTTTTTTGTCAGTTCTGTGTTCCTTGTTTATAGAGCTTTAATGTCTTTTTTTTATATAGTATACTTTGCTTATTCAACACGTTAATTTTTTCTGATTGTACTGTACAGTACAGTACTCTAGTTTTATGTTGTTATATATTACAGTGCTGCATGTAAGAGTTATATAAATAAAACCAAAGTAATCAAGGTCAAGTTTCTTTTGACCACTTCTTTGTTCTGAATATTGCAACATACATACAATTTCTCATTTACTGATCAATTCATTTAATGATCTAATCTCATGAGTATAACTTAGTCATTAAGTGAGGAGTGTCTGTAATCTTGTCAAGTGACACATGATGACAAGTTTTTAAATGGCTTTTTAAAAAACTAATAGTGAAAACATGGTATCAGGAAATAAGCCTTTATGGTAAAAGCATCTAATTACTCCAAATTTTAACAAACCACAGGAAAACATTTGTCTCCACAGTATACTAACTACATGCAGTGCTAGAATAGAAACCTAGATCATTGACTGACCTCATTTCTTAATGATTTTTTTTTTCTTTTGGTGGTACTGGGGATTGAACTCACAACCTTACACTTGCCAGATAGGTATTAATACCACTAAGCTAAATCTCCAGCTCCAACAATATTTTTAAAAAAAAGAATCTGAGGTTCTATAATATGGACAGAATTATGCACTATCTCTGAAATAACTGAGAAAGGCTACAAGAAGCAGAAAAATAAAAACCGAGTTACAAAATAAGTCACATACCATCACAATGCCCTTTCTATTTCATATTTCAGTGGATAATATAGCTTTAAAAGTTTTGCACCATTTTCCTCCAATAATGATTGGCATTACAAGTCTTTATCAGGAATAATACTTACAAAGTTTTTGAGAAGCAAGTTGTATTGATTGACCCCACAGCTTTCTATCTTGGTTTTTGAGACTGTCGTTAATGAAATGAACTGCAGGTATAGCTTTGTGCTGGGCATGTTTTAGTAGTTTTCCTGCCTTCATTCGATCTAACTCTTGCACAACAACCCAAGGAATTATTAACACAAGTCTGTCAAAGCCTAAAAAGTAAGAAGATTTCTTAAAATGCAACAAACATTTATCAAGCTATTAAATCAAATTTCTGTGAAAAGCAAGAATTTAAAGCACATAGTCCTGACCTTCAAAATATTCACCAAAAAAGGAGGGAAAATACATTAAAAATGCAAATTTTTAAAAAATGAAAATAAAGAGTATATGAGTCAAAAGAATGATAGAAAAGTTACTAGAGAACAAAAGCGATTAGCAGATATGATTTCTACAACACAAGTTTCTAATGTAAACAGGGTCATAACAATCAAATGAGTAATTTTAAATTACAAGAATACTATTAAAAAAGAGTGAACTTGTTGGTGCACGCCTATAATTCCAACACTCAGGAGGCTGAGGCAGGAGGATCAGGAAGCGTTTGATATCAGCCTGAACTACACAATGTGTTCGTTCAAGGCCACACTGAACTACACAGTGAGACCCTGTCTTAAAAAAACAAACAATAAAAAAAGAGTGAATGTTAGACCTAGAGTAAGTAGGTTAAAACTATAAAGGATTTTTCTTTTAACTTAAATCATTTATGCATCATATAGAATGTTTGTGAGGAAAAACCCCACATCACTGTTAATACAAAATATCAACTCAAGAAGGAAAATCAGAATCTGTAAATATCTTTTTACAATACCTGATATTTCTGTTGTCTTCAAAATTCTAACAAATTTGAGATGATTCATCAGGATATTTGTGTCAACAACAACTAGAAGAAACTTTTTGTCTGAAGCAATATTTGCTAGAAAAAAAAAGTAAACAGGATTTCATGACATTTGATATCAGACTTACATAATGACTAAAATTTTTATATCATAGGAACACATAAGAAAATTTGAAACCATTCTAGGCCTTATTAACTTAATTATACAGGAGAATCACACAGTTGAATAGACTCTGAAGTGGCTATCTATCTAGCTAATCACTCTCTTGTCAAATAAATTTCCATACAATCAATCCAGGGGATCCAGGACAAGAACCACAATGCCTGTTTGGGGGAAGATAAATGGGGACCAAGAAAGGACCCAAGAAGGGGACCGAGATGAGAAAGGGGCTGGGGGAAATTCATCTAAGTACATAGAAGATAAGATTTGTTGTAGTAGAAATCCACAGTAAGACTTGAGGTCTAGACTACAGTGATCCTGGTGGTTCTTTCTTGGTGGTTTTCATTTTGTTGGTTTTTTTTTTTTTTTTTTTTTGAGGAAGGGTCTCACTATGTAGTTCCGGCTGGCCTTGAACTCACTATATAGCACAGGCTGGCCTCGAACTCACAGTAATTCTCCTGCCTTAGCCTCTGAGTGCACCACCATGCCCACCTTGACAGCAATCTTAAGAGAAGGAAGTCCATTAGACAAGGAAAACAAAATTGCTTTCATTCCAATTCTTTTTTTTTTCATTCCAATTCTTAAAGGAAAGAATGGTAACCAATGTTTAATTATTTACCATTAGAATATCATAAATTGCTCACAGGTGGTTTCTTAACCCAGCTATAACAATGTTTCAAAATCACTTGTAGTTGCATACTCAATCAATATATAAGCTAATTTTAATATATTCTGAGTACAATGATTGAAAACCTAAATATATATAAAAAAAGAAAACACTGGGGCTGGGAATTTAGCTTAGTGGCATAAGCACCTGCCTTGCAAGTGTATGGTCGTGAGTTCGATCCCTGGTACCAATAAAAATGAAAAAGACCAAAAAAGAAAACACTAGCACTGCTATTTCATAAGGCTTGTGCAAGAATTAGATATGCTAATGAATAGAAAACAGTAAAATGAAAAATGTAATTATAAAGTAGCATTATTGTTTTTATAAAAAAAATTCAAAATAGTGTACTAACACCTTTGGAAAATATTTATCGTTATCTTCTCCCAATAGTAAAAATAACCAAAATTTTCCTATATTGCAAGAAACTCATGAATATAATACTTTCAAGTGGTCTTCCTTCTATCTGATCAGTTCTTTACACAGTTGAAAGTTAAAAGTTATGATTAAAAGCAAAAATAAAAAATAACTCAGAACTTTGATTATGGGCTCTTGGCAAAAGACAAAAAGACAAATATATTTAACTTCCTAATAATGTGCGATACATAAAACATAAAACTAGTATTAGATCTGATCTAAAGCTAAAAAACATATATCTCTATCATTTCAAATAAGCAAATTTTAACATTTTTATCTAAATATTATAAAAATGGACACATTCATTCTTCAAAAAGCAAAGGAGATGATAAACATTCACATGTAAGGTATACCAGCAGAAAAATGTACATCATCTTCCGCCAAGTCAATTTCCATACTCATTAACTCTCCAGAAAGTGGAACCACAGGTATATCCACACTTTTTCCCACACGTGCAGCATGAAGCTCTTCTACTATCTGCATCTAAGTTGTAAAAGATCCCAGTGAAATATTTTGAGTTAATTATTCTGCAGGTTAATAAGAGATTCTTGTTCATTCTTAATTAAGTCACAAGATAACTGGCAGAAAAGGATACAGAAATATGCATGGTAAAAGATTACAGACATATAATACACACATGATTCTTCACATTACTTTTGCAATCTTAGACTAGAAAATTAGTTTTTCGGTCTCACTGGCTCATTTACAAAATAAGAATATTAAATAGGTACTTCTAGGATTTTGGTGAGGATTAAGGGAAATAGTATTTATACAGCCTCATACACAGACATCAAATAGATTAATTCTCATTCCTACTCCTTCCACTCACTTCTAAGTACTTAAAGCAGTATTTCCCAATACAAATAAAACCATGTACTGATGTAGTCTGATATAAAAAATGAAAATATAATGTAGTTTTAGAGCAGAAATAAGAAATCTGTTAAGGGGTACTGACCTACCAAAAAACACAAATGATTACCATCAATAAAAAGTTACTGAGCTATATTTTAAAAGAACAGTAAGTGTTTCATGAACGTAACTTTGATTTACAACTAAGGATCACAGAATTCTATCCAACAATTCTATGACGATCAATGAGGAAATTTGAACTGGGAAATGAAACAAGAGAAAACATAAAATACTAATGTCTCATTTCTATGAGTGATAGTTTCATCTTATTGAGGATTAGAACAGTGAAGCAAAAACCTGTTAATGTCATATTGTACTCTGACAGCTCTAGGCACACACATACAAAACAATATTAAATAAAAAATCGATAATGTGTGACCAATGAGCTCTGTTATTTTTTCATAACATATTAGCTTATTATAAACACAGACAAAAAAGTACTTAGATAAAAGTAAATACTTCAATATTTTTGAGGATGTCATAAAACTCATGTAATGGAGAATCATTGTTATTTTCATATTATCAATGTTTTTATAGATATTCTATTAAAAGTAGGAAACATTTGAATTTCATTAAAAACATTTAAAGTAGGTAAGTAATATCAATAACCTCTTGATCAGTATCTTGAATACTTTCTGGTGACACGGAAGAACATGGCGCTTCAAAAGTCTGAAATGAAAAGTAATTAAGAATGAAGTTAAAGTAGTTAAGAATGAAAAATATACCTACAATAGATTTTTCCAACACTGACACTTTTAATACTTGGAGTCAGGCAGTTCTCTGTTGTGGGGTCTATCCTTTCAGATTTGTAAGGATTAAATAGGATAATATTTTTAAAATTAGCCTATAGGGCTGGGTGTGTGGCTAGGTGGTAGAACAGTTGCAGATTAGATAAATATATACTTAGACAGATGGACATATAGAATAGCTGATAAACTATAAATCTCTAGAACATCAATTTGGACTGGGAGTGAGAGGGTTGCTTCTGAGACAGGTCTTTATCAAAAGACTACAAAGTCTACTAAACAAGTTATTTTTCTTTAAGAAAGCACTAACAAGATTAGTTAACAACAAGATTACTAAATCTGGGGCTGGAGGTTTAGCTCTGCGGCATAAGTGCCTGCTTTGCAAGCAGGCAGTCGTGAGTTCGATCCCCGGTACCGATAAAAAGGAAAAAGACAAAAAAAAAAAAAAAAGATTACTAAATCCAGGAAAAATACAATTGGTTCCTTGTAAAGCACACTCATTATTTTAGAAAAATAATTAGGATCAAGAAATTAGTGAGTAGAACAAAGCAAACATGGCATTAAGATTATCTCCTGTTAATAATATATGAAGATAATATACGCAATATAAGGACATTTGCTTGTTGCATCAGTGCCTAGGCAAACACTGTTCTTTGTTTTTTTGTTCTTTTTTTTGTCTGTAGTACTGGTGATTGAACCTAGGACTTCACTCATTAGGCAAGTGTTCTACCACTAAGCTACAAACTCAGCCCAAAATAAAGCCCAACTTTATTTTGAGACAGGGTCTCACTGGGTAACCCAGGCTGCCCTTAAATTCAAAACTCTCTGGCCTCAGACACTTGAGTGTGGTGATTACAGACAAGGGGCCACCACACCCCACCACTCCAGAGTCTAATGATGTGAAGTCAGATAATGCTATTCTTAACAGTTTATAAAGTTTTAATTCTGATAACTAGAAAGTATTCATGAAAAAACTGCTTCCCTATAACTTAATATATATAAAATTCTATCCAACAATTCCTTGAGGACTAATAAAATTTTAACTGGGAAATGAAACAAGTGAAAAGATGCAACACTAACGTGGTCTCATTTCCACTGAATAAATTCATCTTACTAGTGAGTAGAAAAGTGAAGCAAAAACATGCTAATGGCATATTACACTATGACAACTCGTACCTCTTTAGGTTTGTAGTAATTTTATAGAGATCGAAAATACAATAAAGGTAGTACATGCCTTTAATCTCAGTTACTTGGGAAGCTGAGGAAAGCGGATCCCAAGTCAGGGCCAGCATGAGCAAAACCCTGTCTCATGGATGCAATCAGAAACCATACTCATAAGTGAAATATATCAGACTTGCATGTGTAAACATCGTATTGTCTCGCCAGTATAAAAAACTGAAAGAGTAAGTAAAGTCCAAAAGTCGTAACAGATATGATAAAAAGGAAAGAAATTGCTCAAAGGGAAATTTTATTGTTTGATCAATCTTGCATGCCTGTTATCTGGTAGCCTGAACAATTACTTTGAGGATAACAATATGCAATATAACAACCATTGTTAAATTCCTATCATCTTGCTTTGAAACCCTATATTGCCATTTTTTTGTTGTTGTGGTCATTTTGCTTTTACAATTTTTAATTGCTTGAGTTTTTTTCTCTTTAAAATAAAAATTAATAATAATAATGAAGCATTAGTGACAGTGTAGAATTAGAAATGTTGCTCAGCAGTAGAACTTCCTTGGTTTCAAACACCAGTGAGCGGGAGTAGGAGAGGAAAAGAAAAAGAAAAAGATGTGCTACAAAGATTTTTCATACTATTCCTTAAATGTACAACACATGGGTGACAAGAAGCTATGTTACAATGACAAATGAACATACTGACAATTTCAAGTTCCTTTCATTCCACTCTAGAGAAATGATTATAATAAACAATCTGGAGATTCCCTTTAAGAAACCAGAAAAAGAACAAACTCAATTCTTTTCCTCTGGAGGCCTCAAGTTCATTTGAACTAAAAATATACCTTCCCAAGCTCTTCTTCTTTAGTTATAATCCCTCCATTTTACATAAGAAGAATCTCACTATTGCCATCTATGGTCTTAAATACAGGCAAGCTTAACCATCTCTGTTTACAATCAGTCTCTAAATTTCAGAATTCCTGATATTCCAAACTTTTAAAAGCCCTCTTCATTTATGTTATTTATGTTGAAGAAATAAACTTTCTATGTTTATAGAAATAAAACTGTGAAATCTCAAAAGCCGTCCAAAAATGCCTATTATATAATCTAGAAGCAAAACAGATATGCTGAGTTATCTAGCTTGGATTTCTGTTCACTTAGTCCCTCTGTCTGGAATACCCCCCTTCCCTATTCTACTCAACTTCACTCTCAATTTAAATGTGGACAATCCCACCACCACTGAGTATACCTTTCCCAACTAACCCAGTATAACAAGGCTAGGTTAGTCTCATGTTATTTATTCTACTAAGCAATAAGTACTTTACTTATCAGGAAATTGCTTCTTTCTTTCCTTATATAAATAAGTCTCTGAAAACAGAGACTGTGTCTTTCACTTACTACTGTGGTACTGGGGATTGAACCAAGGGCCTTCACTGCATCCAAATCCCTTATTATTATTTTTTTATTTTGAGATAGAATCCTATATAAGTCACTTAACTATGCAGGCTGAGGTCCAGCTTGTAATACTCCTGCCTCAGCCTCTCAGAGTACTGGGATTACAGCTATGCACCACTATGCCTGGATGAGACTGTATCTTTTATAGGGTACTTTAATACAGTGCTTGGCACATAGGAGCATAAAAAAATTGTTAAAGAATTAAATTATTCAAGGCCAGGGATTTAGCTCAGTGGCATAAGTGCCTGTCTGGCAAGCACAAAGTCCTGAGTTTGATCGCCAGTACAGGGAAAAAAAAAGAATTAAAACTATTTAGATTATTAATCCCTGAGGGTTCTGTAGTATCTGAGTCTAGAAAAGAGCCTAACAGACTATTACAGTGTTTTTCTTCACATGACTATCTATAACTGTTTCTTTGCACTTTTTCATACATTCCCTTCTATAATGGATCTTTGAAACCTGCTAGAATATCTTCCTAAGGAAGCTGGAATTAAAGGGAATAAAATAAGAAACCCATACATATCTCTGTGACTAAATTTGAATCAGCACTCCATGATTATCATCAGTAACAGAAATAACTAAACCTGACTATATTACATTTTTGTGATAAAACCAAATTTCTCATTTTGTACTACCTTACCTGAGTAAGGTTTTCCTTAATACTTGAATGATTACTTTCTTGATGCTCAAGATATTTTCTTTTATGTTCACGTACAGTCTGTTTATATGTAGAATCTCTAAGTAAATGTTCCACTTTATGCCTGGTCAAATTTAATGAAACATGGGAGTCTTCTGGGAATTCTCTTGCTTCCTGCTTAGTCTTTACCTTATTAGAAACTAAATTGAAGACATTTTCTTCTACAAGCTTCTGGAGGTTATTACAGGATTTTACTGGGATTTTAAAGTTGATTTTCCTTGTTCTAGAGTCAAAAGGTTCATAATTAATCTTGTTGGAATTACAATCTTGAGAAAGTTGATTTTTCTTATGTTTACATTTTTCAGAACTGTCTCTAAATTTGTTTCTTTCCTTCTTGGGTTCTTTCATCTTCTCTGTCTGAAGAAGCAGATGAGGCCATTCCTTTTCCCTTGTGTGCTCTTCTACTTTAGATTTCATATCTTTGGAAATTTTAGGATTGGTAAGGTATTTAATTCCATGGTCAAGCTTACTTGTAACATTTATAAATTTAATCTCTTTATGTTTCCTCAATTTTTTAGTTCCATTTGAGGTACTTTGTGAAATAATTTGATTATTCTTTGAAGATGATGCTTCTTGGAGTTTATTAGGTCCCAGGGATGAAGAACTGATTTTTGGTCTCTTTGCAGATACATCAATTTCTACATTTAATCTGTAAAGCAGCACAGAAATCTAGGTTACATTAAAATTATATAGATTGTTGTACTGTATAATTTTTGTTTTGATAGCACAGTGTGCTAAATCTAATCTTCATAAAAAGATGTTTACTTTAAGAATGAAGTGAAATTACTGAACAAATGGTATTAAGACTTACTGGTCTGCTATTTGGAACAAAATTCTGGCTTTATATTGTATCAGATAATATAAATTTGAAGTAAATTAAACTTTTAAGTGTAAAATCATCATAATTTCTCATTAAACCTTTAATAAATGGAGGATAAAGGGAATATTTGATACTTACTACAAAATTTTCTAAACTTAACAAGAGAAAATATGCCTAAAGCTTTAGGATTTCAAAAATGACAAAAACTAAAACAGCTGGGAAATGATATTCACGAGATATACACAAAAACTTAATCTGATACGATAAAATGCTTATCAAAAAATATTCATTCTAGGATAGGTTTTACTAAAAGATGAATAAAATGAGAATTGCTAAATAAATATTTGAAAAAAGTTTGACTTTATTAATAATCGTAGGCACAATTATAACAATAATATACCATGTTCTCTACCAAATTAGCAAAGATTATAAAGTAGCGGGCTGGGGATTTAGCTCAGCGGCATAAGCACCTGCCTTGCTAGCAGGCGGTCGTGAGTTCGATCCCTGGTACCAATAAAAATGAAAAAGACAAAAAAAAATAAAAATAAAAATTGTCAAGGAGTAGTAAAATAGACTCACATGTGTTGCTCTAGAAATACAAAATGATGGTACAAGTTTGTAATTCGAGCCTCATAGGAGGTTGAAGGAGGATTACAAGTTCAAAGCCACCCTGAGCAACTTAGTAAGACTTTGACTCAAAAAAGGGGGGGGGGGGGGTAGAAAAAAAAATACCTAAGGTGTTCCTCAGTGACACAGTACTTGCTAGAACTTGCAAAGCCCTGAGTCCAAAATACAGCTGGAGGTGGGGTGGAAAATAGTATGACAGTTCTATAAAGGAATTTGATAATATAGATTGAGAACTCTAAAAATATTCTTTTTTTTGAATCCTCAGTAATTCCTCAGTGATTTAGAAATCTCTATCAAGGTGAAACAAGAAACGAGCTAAAAAATTTAAGAGGAATTTAATTCAAGATAATTTAAATAGCACAAAAATCGGGTAGAGCTGAGGATTTAGCTCAGTGGCATAAGTGCCTGCCTTGCAAGCAGGCAGTCATGAGTTCAATTCCTGGTACCGATAAAAAAATAAAAATTAAAAAAAAAATCAGGTAGAAAGCACAAGCTATAATTTTGGAAATTACTGAATATCATGGTCATTTCAAATGATAACTTAAGACTAGTGAAAAGACCAGTAAGAAATATGCTAAAATATTATAAGCAGCAACACCTAGAGGCACTAATGCTGCTTATAAAAGTAGATGCAACTTCCTAATTAGAAAGAAAGTGGAAAATTTCAAACACAATTCACTAATTTTTTTGGGAGGAGGGGGGTACCAGGGATCAAACTCACAACACCTCACACTTGCCAGACAGGCGTTTATGCCACTGAGCTAAACCCCTATCCCCAACCCACTAATTTATATCAATAAACCCTTAAGTGCCCTCTTCTAAGTATGTCACTATACTAAGCACTAGAAAGACAGTGGAGAACACATTAGATAGTTACCTCCACTTAGTTTTAGCTCTATAGGGGAGAAAGAAATAATAAATAAATGACTTCTCAATTAATTATGTAACAGTTTTTATAGAAGTTTTACCTAAGTCTATACCTGGTCTTATTTTCTCTGCTATCATTTTTATCTGTCTATCATTGACCTGTTAATAAGTAACACCAAAATAAAAACTTTAAATTTTAATAGGTCTTTGTAGTTCTCTGCATATTTCATATTTCTAGTTTATGTGCAATAGTCCTGTGCTGTATTTTTATAGCCATCTAGGCACCAAGATTGTTGGTCATGACAATGAAAACTCAACACAGTAATACAATAAAATTAAATCTTAAAATTACTCTTTATCAACTAGTTATGCCAACTGCTATCTTGAGTTAACATAGTTCTATATTTGCAACCTAAAAGAGTAAAGTTAGATCTTAGATAAAAGGCATATAGAAAATAACTTCTTTTTTTATGAAAGACTTAAACATTTAGCAGAAAGGGTATCACTGATTTAGACTAAACTCCTCTGATATACAAGTAAATGTGACATTTTGTCAACATTTTAATTATTCCCATAAAATTACTTAAAAATTTAGTAACCAACACTTTAAAATACACTGTAGAAACAGTGATTTATTAACATTATCAACTGCTCTGCTGCTACTTTGGTCATCACAATGCATATTTAGAATACTAAGTTATATACTCATTTTCAACTTGGTCAATAAAAAATAAAGTACTATTTTGGCTAATTTGCCAATAATGGATATCGCTGATGGAAACATTGCTATATCTCTAAAAGTAAAAGAAGTAAAAACTTATCTCTGCTTTAAGTTTTGAACTGGTTAATGGTGATGAGGTACTCTTACTGAAAAATTCCTATAAACTGAAACTGCATTCATTGCTCAAAAAAGAAATACTTTCTGAATATTGAAAACATTTGAGTATTGGAAGCCTTGTGAATACTAAACACAGACATACTATTATATTGTTGTTCCTGCTTGTTATTTTTATCATTAATACATTCATGTATACTTAAATTATGGAATAGGAATTACAGTAATAACGTGATACAATTGGCATTCCAGATGAGAATTCTGATTTTCCAATCTGTACCTCAGCTTTTACTACTGTAAACGAATTTCAAGACTGGCAGAGCTACATTAGAAAATTCTTATAGGAGATATTACGTATCATACAAAAATATTTATAACCTTAAGGAAAAATGTTTACTATTCCAACAAGTAAATGACAGATGCAAATGAACTACTTTCTCTGTAAGCAATCAATGAATGTTACAAATACACTAATGATATTAATGTCTACAGAGCATAGTATCAGTTTTCTTCTGTGAAAGTAACTTTGTAAATATATAATAGTTCCTCTTGTTTGAATCCTATATAGATAAATGACAAGAAAGATCTAAAATACCTAGTATGCCATGCTGTTTGGCTAAACAAACTTGTCTGGCTAAAGTAACTAAAAGTTACATATAGAGTGCTTGTCAGTATTTGAAGGTAACCATTCAGCTCTTAGTAACTCTAAATGGCATGGCTTTTCCATAGTATTGATGCTAATATCCTGATGACATGATGGTAACTCAATACATAGATTTCAAACATGACAAAATTGTTACTAAAAGTAAGTGTTCAACTCTTTATCACTCCAAAGGTTGAAGTCAAACAGCAGAGTTTGAATACTTAGGCTAAGCCAAACTTCAATGTAACCCTAGAATAATTTAAAAACCTATTGTCCTAGAATAATTTAAAAACCTATTGTTCAACAGTATTACTTCTCCTTCTTTCTAAAGTCTATACAGACAAGTCAGGATACTATATGAAACAAAAATCTATTTATGTATACTTTATCCTCTTATATATGGATCTAAGATGTAGGATTTTAAAAAGTGCTCTTATGCAAAAGTAGTTAATAGTTGTGCTTTGCAGAACTTAAAATTTTTTATAGGATAATACAAAAAGCAATAAGAATCTAATTTTTAAAAATTTAGCAAAAGCTGAGCATGGTGGCACAAACTACAATTCCAGCATTCATGAGCCTGAGGAAGGAAGATCACTATGAGTTGAGTCCAGATTGGGTTTTATAGTGAGTTCAAGGCCAGTCTGATTACAAAGTTAAGACCCTATCTTAAAAAAAAAAAAAAAAAAAAAAAAAAAAAAACTAGGCAATAGTCAAACATAACATAAAATTTGTGACAAAATACATTTTCAACAGATGATGATAATACAGAAGCGAAGTACTACCACCAGCAAAAAAAAAAAAAAAAAAAAAAAGATAATTTTAAAAAAAACTAAGCCAGGCATGGTGGTACAAGTCTGTAATCCCAGCACTTAGAAGGCTGAGGCAGGAGGCTCACCAATAGTTTGAAGCCAGTCTGGGCTACACAAGCAAGTTCAAGGCCAGCCTGAACTATATAGTGTGATCCTGTCTCAAAAAACACCAAAATGAGAAATGAGAAAAGTTGAGATTTGTTTGAATTACTTTTTGTTTTTACCAGACATTAACAGAGATTGTTTGGGAAGCAGAACTTATTTATATATTTAATGCCATTTAAATTGTTTTCCCATTATTCTCTATCTTCAAAGAAACCTTGACCTTATTTTATATCAAATTGCATTTTTCATACCTATTAACTCTAATTAATGGCAAGAAATAATCTTTACTACCAAAATTCCTGAAATTTGTATCTAAAGAATGAAGAAATTAGGAGGGGGAAGGGAACATAAAAGAATTAAGATGTGCTATGTACATATACTGACTTCCATGATGAACATAAAAATTTTAAAAAATTAAAGAAACAAACTTCCATTATTCCATCATTCCTCAAGTTCTGTAGTTGTAATCAATGCTAAACTTTCCGTCATAACAATTTAGTATAGTTCATATTTTATATGTGCACACACACACACACACACATATTTTTTTTTTGGTGTTTTGAGATAGGATATCACTTTGCAGTAGTATCCTTGAACTTAGCATCAATTCTCCTGCCTCTGAGTACTAGGATACAGGTATGAGCCACCACGCCCAGCTGTTCATTCATAATTCTTAAATTACCTATATGAGCTCTCTAAGAGTACTATGTAACAAAGTTATATATCTTATAAACATGTGCCCAAACCAAATCCATTGAGATTAAAATCTATATTAGATTTTAGCATGAATTACACAGTATTTTAGGAGACATTTGTGTTTCACTCAACTTTTTCTTAAGTTTGGTAATCACAATCTGTGATATAAAAACAGTAATAATCAAAGTAAATAAAAGATTCTGAAGTCTGAGCATCACTGTCATAATTCTCAGCCAAAAACGTTTAGGATACCAAGCAAAGGAGGGAATTTACCTTTTCAGTTCTTGTCTTCTTTTCGTATTACAGTACTGAATATCTGTGTGGTCTGATTTCTGGAATTAAAGAAAAAGTATTATTTAGAAAATATAAATTATGTACTTACTAATATTTCAGTTGCAGGGAAAGGAGACTGACAGAAATTTTTTTCTACAGCTATGTGTTAGTAAACAGGCTGGTAATTTAATCTTCCCAATCTTCTTGAATATTGGGATATTCAATAAAAGTGGATATTAAAAGAATTTCACACATCAACCAACAAAAGATAGAACGTGTCCAAGGAGGAGGACAAAAATGCTGAAGATTGAAAAGTAATAAATAATATAAATTCAGCAGAAAGAAAATAAAGCAGTCTAGCCTGAGATAGAGGAACTTTTTCAAGGAATAAGGAAACAGCACAAAGATAATTGGATGGTTAAGGTGGGACCAAATTTAAGAAAGCCTAGAATCAGGGATATAGCTCAGCAGCATAGCATCTGCCTGGCCAAGTGTGAGGTCCTGAGTTCAATTCCCAGTACCAAAAAAAAAAAAAGGCCAAAATAATTACAATGAGAGAAAGTCTTTCTGCAGAGAAAAATCATGATGAAAGTAAAGTTTTAAGTGAGGCACTTTGGCACATACCTGCATTCTAGGTCCTCAGAAGACTATTCAGCAAGACCCTGCATCAAAACTTTACAAAAAGCAAGGAATGCAGCTCAATGAGAAGGTTCTGAGTTTAATCCTCAGTACCACCAAAACAAAAAGAAAAAGGAAAGAAAAATGGAGAAAGAAAGAAAGGAAAGAAGAAAATGGAAGGAGGCCAGAGAAAAGATTATGGGGTGGGGGAGATGGATCAGTGGTAAAGTATATACATAGCATGTACAAGGTCTCAGGTTCAATCCCTTGCCAGCATCAGGGGGGGAAAAAAAAAAAACCTGACACAAAAACAATAAATTGCAAAATCAATTATAATGACCTAACATTTCAATGGAAGACTGCAGACATGATGTGATCTATTAAGTTTATAATCAAACTGGACAATAATACACAGCTGAAAAAAGACCATGAGAAAAGGAAACTGCAGGAAAATAAAATAAACTCACAAGAAAATATTCACTGAAGAATTTAATACAGGTCAACAAGATCCTAAAAATGTCTAAAAACATATATCCCGGGCTGGGGATGTAGCTCAATGGCATATGCGCCTGCCAGGCACGCGTGAGATCATGAGTTTGATCCCCAGTATCAGGAAGAAAAAAAAAGAAAGAAAACATATATCCCAACCACAAAAGGTTTCCATTACCAAAGAGAGGTATTCAGGGTACATTATCTGCTTATAAGCACACCTGTGAAGAAGAAATCAACCAACCAAACATCGAAGAATGTATTTCTGAAAAGAATGACACTCTTGAAAAAAAGCCCCAACAGTAGAGGACATAGCTCAGTGATAGTGAATGCCTAATGTGCATGAAGCTAAGTTTGACACCTAGAAACCCTCCCCGAAAAGCCTCAAGCAGATACCCAATCAGGCATTCTCATTACAGATGACAGCTCTATACATGCTACTGCCCCTGAAGACCTTCTAGTGGGACAAGATGTGGACATGGAGGGCAGTGATACTGATGATTCTGGCCCTGTGTAAAATTAGGCTAGCATAGATGTTTATGTTTGATTGTATATGGGTGTATGTGTGTCCATCTGTCTGAGTTTTTAACAAAAGTTAAAAAAGTAAGTAATCTTTAAAATAGAAAAAATTATAGAACAAGAACACAAAGAAAATTATTTTTGTACAATTCGTTGGCATTTTAAAGAGTTAAAAATTTTTTTAAATGGTTAGTTTGTAAAGTAAAAAGGGTATTACCTAGAATGACCTATTATTAAGGAAAAAAATTTAATAAATTTAGTAAAGCCTAAGCATACTGTGATTATAACACCTGCAACAGTGTTGAGTAAAGTCCTAGGTCTTCACATGCTCTCATGACTTACTTGATGACTTATCTACAGCTCTCCAATACAAGTTTACCATTTTTATCTTTTATGCCATATTTTTACTATACCTTTTCTACATTTTAATATACTTAAGATACACAAATTACTGAACCAAATATGTTATACAATTGCCTAGAGCAATGGTGGCTAAACTGTGGCATGCGTACTATATCATTTAATGTTTTAAAAGGTTTGCTATTACTGGCCTAAGTATTCAGTGTAGTAACAGGTCATGGCCTTGAGCAACAGGCTATCCTAAATGGCCTAAATGTATAGTATGCTATGTCACCTGGTTTGTGTAAGTACACGGTAATGTTTATAAAATAAAATCACAGAAAAATGTACTTCCCAGAATGTATACCTGTTGCTAAGCAATGCATCATTGTATATGAAAACAAGTAAATTCTTAAAAAACACAGTTTTGTATCCCTGGAACTTTTACTTCATCACACACAGATACTCTGGATATACCTTAAACTTCAATATGAGTAGTGTGTTTAATCTGCTGTCACTATTTTTATTATTAGTGTGAAAGTAGAAAGAACTCTGACTTGGATCTACCACTGTATACAATGTTACATCCTTGAGAAAATCATTTGACCTACTACTGTATACAATGTTACATCCTTGAGAAAATCATTTGACCTTGCATGTTCACATTTCTGAATGTGAACATGCAAAAAATTTATCTGCGTTGGCCACCTCACAAAAAGATTATAAAACCAAATACTGTGGTGTCGCCTAAGGAGTCTGGCCCCCTCATAGTCTGTGATAACATCAGCCCCGGCATGAGAACAGAGACTGGGTAGGAAAGCCGACCCAAGAGGAGAAAAGGTTCTTCCCTCTTTTCTCATGATGCTGACTAGACTGTGTTTACAGAGCTAGTAGGAAGTGGCTGACCTTCAGGTGGCTAGAAAAAACAAACATAATTAAAAACATTCTTGGGCTAATGGAGTTCCTCCTGGGTTATTGGGGCAAGAAGAACTGGTTTTGCTTGTTTGCTTAACTTAGATAGTTTAGATAAACATTGTAGTTTGTCACAAAGCTTGTCACAAAAAATGCTATTTCAAGATAATCGGTTGGTGCACTGTGAGTTGACCCGGTTCACTATATAAGAGCCTAAAAATAAAGCACAGCATGCAGTTGCAATTGCTGTTTTCTCTGCTCTGCATCCCCCGTGTCCTGATTTGGTGTGTGCCTCTTCCCGGGGTGCCGAGTGCACTAGACACTCGCGACAACATACAACCATGTATGTGAGAAGGCTGACAAACAGTAAGTTTATATGCATATATCCATGTTGTCTAATCCCACATGGAGGGGTCTACCACCAAAAAAAAAAAAAAAATAAGGAACCTGATATTTTTTTGGTGAGAAGGGAGAATAAAACAAACCTTGATTTTTAAAATTGTCTAACAAAAGTAAGTAAACAAAATTTGGATGAAAATTTTATATTATATACTCTATGACTCAGAAGGCTGAGTCAAAGGATTGGTAAAAATAAATAAAAATTTTAATAATGCTCAGTGGCACAGCACTTGCCCAGCAAGCACAAGCTCCTGAGTTTGATTCCCAGTACCAAAAAAACAACAAAAATTGATTTTTAGTTAGTTATTTAACACATAGTCACTCACCAGTTTTCTCTTCTCTGATGACACTGATTTCATACAGTAAGCAGAAGCAGAACCTGATGAGGCTTTCTTCTCATTCTTGTCCTAAGAATGTCATGTAGGGTTAAAAAAAAAAAAAAAAAAAAGGACAGTAAAAGCATATAATAGGGGCTGGGGATTTAGCTCAGTGGCATAAGCACCTGCCTTGTAAGCGGACAGTCGTGAGTTTGATCCTCGGTACCGATATAAAGGAAAAAGACAAAAAAAAAAAAAAAAAAGCATATAATAAACCACTGTATGATAGAGTATTATTTCATCATTATAACTTGACATTTCCATTCCATCATGGGCTCTAGAGAACATTTTACAACATATAAACTTTGATAAGAAAATGAAAGAGTCAACTAGAAGAAATAAAAAGTCCTGGGTACTCAAAAACTAGAAATGAAATAGATACCAGTATAATAATAGACCAGTTGGCAAGATTTGATGGGGTTAAGTGTGTTGTAGTACTGCCATGGTAAGATTCAGCATTCTACAAAGCAAAACCACTTATCCGGCTATTTTTCTGTGGATCTTTATCCTACCAGACTGAGAACAAACTTGTTTGGGGGACCTACCTTGTACCAAAGACACACCAATGTCTAGGCTGAAGACCTCTAGACAATGTCTAGATGGTAGGTAGAAATTAATTTAAAAGAAAACAATAAAATTCTCTAACTCCATATAGGTAAAAATCTACTGCAGGATTTTACAAGTAAATAACATAATTTTTATGTCAAACAGTGCTATAGAATAAAGCAGAGAAAGGAAACAGGGAAGGTTTGGAAGTAAAAGTAGGAATCTGCAAATTGTAAAAGAGCAGTTAGATGGAACTCCACTGACAAGTTGACATTTGAATGAACACCTAAATGATGTGATGAAATAAACCAAGTAAGTATCTAGAGAAAGTTTTCAATTCAAAAGCAATACTGGTGGACTGGGAATATAGCACAAGGTCCTAAATTCAATTCCCAGTACCAAAAAAAAAAAAAAAAACCAACCCACAAAGAATGGTCACACTAACAAAACCAATACTGGCAAGGCTAAAGCCCTAGAAGCAGAAATGTACCTGGCTGGTTCCAACCAAGTAAGCCATGGGAGGGAAGACCAAAGAAAAGAGGGACACACTGAGCTAGGAAGAGTAGGTGACTTTGTGAGCCCCAGAAAAGACACTTGTTATTACTTTACATGATATGGAAAACCACAAACATCTACTGAAGAAAGTGACATGATTTTAATGGACCACAGTGGTTCTGTGTTAAAGAGAAGCAGGGAGATCAATTTAGAAACCACTGGAATAATTGAAGAAAATAAACTGATTGTTTAGATCATGATGATAGCAACAGAAGAATAAAGTCTGAATTTATTATTAAAAAACTGGCTGCATTTGCTGATAGACTGGATACAAGCAGGGGTGATAAATGGAACTGTAATTTACTAAATTGGGAAAACAGCTTGGAAATCTTACCAGTTGGTAAGTTAAATTTTAAGAAGATAGAGGAGGAGCCAGCACAGGACTCTAACAAGCAGTCACCAGTGAGGAGGAAAATCAGACTACAGTATTTCTTTCTTTCTTTTTTTTTGAGACAGAGTCCACTATGCGGCTCAGGCCAGCCCTAGGCTTGCTTTCTAGCCCAGGCTGGTCTTGAATTTGCCATAATCTGCCTACCTCAGCCTCCCAAGTGCTGGGATTACAGGAGTGTGCCATCATGCTGGGCTAGGAGTACAGTATTTAAAAAACTGCATGAATTAAATATGTCACGAACAAGGTTTGCACCAGCTATGACAAATACTGCTGACAGATTAAGTCATGAGGTCTTACAATTGACCAATGGGTTCAGCAACATGTAAACCATTACTGTCCTTGAATAGAATATAACTGGGGGACTAATGACAAGAAAAAATCTGATTAGAGTGGGCTTAGGAGGAAATGGGAAGGAATAGCAAACAGTATGCTATGAATGCCAAATAGGAGAGGAGGATATAAATTAAGGAAGCAAGAAGAGTACTGTTTGTCCAGGCCCCTGGGTCTCCAATCTAATCATCACTATACCTAGAAGACCATATTCTTAATCAGAAAATAAACAAACAAGGAACAAACAGCATGAAGAGCAATGATATCTTTAATCCTTCATCCAGCCTAAATACTCATTTACCTTTGCCAGGTTAATGTCTTACTTCAGATAGTGCAACAGCATAAATACTGTCTACACTTAATAAACTATACAGCTTATTCAGAGGGATTTGTTTGCTTGCTTTGATTAGATTATCACATTGCAGTCATGCTTCTTGGAAACGAAATCCACTCAGTTAACAAGATAATCTAAATCTCACCTACCAAAATGCTTTTTAAAGGCAGTGTGCTAATAATAACAGAGAAACATTGTAAGCATGGCTCCCTTATCATTAACCCCACCCATCCCCATATCACTGGCCATTCTGCCTAAGAGTACAAATTTGAGCTAACATTGAAGAAATTGAAAAGGAAGAAAATGTTACAAACAGTCTAATGGTGAATTATTATTCTGAACAGGAGGATTTAGGAGACTTAGAATACTTAGGAAAATTAACTTTGACTAAATTACTACTTTCTAAGCTTCAATTCTTAAACTGTTTCAGGGGGATAATGATAACTATCTCATAGATCTGTGAGGGAAAAATAATGTAAGTAAAGAAAAAAAAAGAACAGAAAAAGCAAATGACTTTAGAATCAGAAAGGCAGAACAAAATATTTTCGTATTTCACTGTGAAAATGAAGTGCATTTTTTTTCATTATACAAAACTGTTTTTAAAAAAGGGGGTTGTATCTACAGTCAATAAATCAAAATTCTTACTTCATTATAGATGGACGATAAGATGATGCCATTTCTCTGAGACTTTTCTTCTTTTCCATAAGATTCTTTGTTGGACATCTTGAAAAGCTAAACGAACATTAATAATACATGATGTGTTTTTATCATATAAAATATACAAGAAATTATTCTTTCAGATATGTAAAGGTATATAAAAATTGGAGTGTTACAAAATCATTTCCCTTTTCTAGCCATTCTCAAAAGATTCTCTCATTCCACTTTTCTTTCCTTATACTCTCTTTTGAGAGATAGTCATCTGCTGAATGAATGAATGAATTCTTTGTCAGAATACGCACTCTTCATTTTTAGCCATTTCCAATCCCTACCTATTGCAGTTTCTCCACTTCTTATCCAATTTTGACTTGTCCAGCCCTCCTACAGACCAAGTTAGTACTATTAGGTGATGACTCTCCCCACAAAAAAATATAATCAAGTATGTATGTATTTATGTATAAGAAAGATATGTTCAGAAATAGTATCAAATTAGTGTGCACCCACAGCATAGAGCAGTATTCTGTTCTGGGACAGTGTGGCTAGACTGGGAACACCACCAGATTTGGTTGAGAAGAAATAAAAGGGATCTAGAACTGAAGTCCAAGGAAAAGAAAACAGCTGGTGGAGGCACATACTGAAAATAGAAACATCACAAAGGCTAAAAACCAAGCACTTCCCATTATTCTTGGTCAATTATGATCAAAGTAAATGAAGTTCTAAAAAAGAATGATGCCAGGTGTGGTGGCACATGCCTAATCCCAGCACTCACCTTAGGCTGGAGGACTGCTAGGCGTTCAAGGTCAGCCTGGGCTACATAGTGAGTTTAAGGTGAGACCTGTTTCAAAATAACATAAATAAAATAAAAGCATGATCAATTATACTAAACTTTTAGAATGCTTTGATGAATATGAAAAGAAGAAAATGTTGGTAGCTTACAGAAAAATCTAGTAAGAAAAATAAATGACTACTTGACACATACTTTGAAGAACAGTCTAAATTCAGCAGAAAGTTGCTTTATAAACTAGTTTATGCTAATAGTTGAATTTACAGTTCACCTTCCAAATTAGAGTGGTGATCTTTTATCTTTGCTCAATTCTAGTCCACTGGGGAGACAGAAGGGACAATAAAAAAAATAACTTCATTCTGGCAAGGTGACACATGTGTCCGCCGTCCCAACTACTTAGAGGCTGACAGGAGGATGGGGTCAACCTGGGGCAATATAAAGAAATATGCCACAAATTTCTTTAAGAAGAAGAAAAAACAAAAGAACTTCCATGAAAGATAATGTTTAGAGTTCATAATGCAATCCAACTGGTCATAAAGTTATCTCATTTGGTTTTGTTGGATACCCTAAAACTAATTGAACTAATTAAAACTAATTGAAACCTCTTATCCCAAGACACTGAAAAAGAACACTGAAGATTGTGGACTATCCTTGGGAAAAACATCCAAATGTTTACTACGACATGTTTTATATGCACGTTAGAGTGAAATTCATATTGATATTAAGCATATCAAAAGAAACTAAATGAGGGTGGTACTTCCTATACAGGAAGTCTTCCCGATAGCTCCTGACAATCAGTGCTGCTTGATAATCATTCGCTTATGTAGTTCTCTATATTAAACTAAGAAAAAAAGAAAAAAAAACGCTTAAAAATTTTTTAAAAATCAATGGTTCTTGGATAGTACATTGATACAGTCAGCATCTTTATATGTTAACTGTTATCATCCCATTAGTACATGACTGTTAAGCAGTGAATCAACCATACATTCATGACCACTAGTTTAAGGGAGTAGATTAAAAAGACTTTAGAATTATAATTCAAAGAATCTTAATAGGGATTATCTGTTATCCCTGGAGTAGGAAATGTTTTTTTAACGCCCCTCGGATATACTTAATGAGACAGAGAGGCAGGGACAGACTAACTTCCTGAGTTTCAAAGAGCCAAAAATCAGGCTGTCTCTCCTCTGCGTTCTGAAACAAGTAGTAAGAAAGATACTGATCAGCTTCATTAGCTAAGAAAACCGAACTAGAAGTGTAGTTCTTGTACCTGTGCCTAAAATAGACTTTCGGTCTCCTTCCCGCTGCCTATAAAGTTCAAACGTCACAGACTGGGCAACCAGAAAATTCAACACCCGCCCCCCGTGCTCCTTTTTTTGTTTTGTTTTGTTGGAAGGGAAAGCGAAACTTGAATGTCAAGTACTGCAAGACAGTGCAGGTAAGAAAAGTGTGGGGGAGGGAGAGTTCACTGACCGTATGCCTTGGGGAAACATACCAACAACTACAGGTCCCTCAGTGAAACACACCCAAGAGGTCTGATATAAAAGTCTAAAAACAAGTGCGTGGTGATGAACTCTGGAAGGATGAAGCACGAGGGTCGCAAATTAGAGCTCAGCAAGGTCAATATAACGACTGAGACTGTCTCAAAATAAAAAGTAAAATGATAAAAAGGCCTGGAGATGTAGGTAGTTCAGCATGAAGGCTCTGGGTTCCGTTCTCAGTACCGGGGCGGGGGTGAAGAGAAGCCTATAAAAAAGCAAATCCAGCTCCTATGCAAGGGGCACTCACCAGAGTCTGGCTCATACTGTTACTATGAAGGCTAAAACAAAAATAAAAACAAAGGAAATGACAGGGAGCAAAATGAAGTACAGACACCAACTCCAAGTCAGTTAGATAGAGAAGCAATCTGATCTAAACTGCCGGGGTCCAGTGCTTCAGTAGACAACCTTCAAAAACCCCGGGCCCGCAGAGCACCAGGCCAGAACCAAATCCTCCACTCACCCCGCCCGACCCCAGGTCTGCCCAGAGGCACCCTGCCTAGGCTACAGTGACTCTTAAGTCCCCCTCGTACAGCCTCGACTCGCGTCGGTATTTGGGACCGAGGGAAGAGTGATGCTGTTGGGAGGGAAGTCTGTTCTCTCAGAAGTCGACTGACGGCCCCATTTCTTACCTTAGCAGCGTCGGTGGCAGTACTGCTTCCAGAGGACCAAGGCACAGGAAAAGAACCCCCTCCGCACGCGTTGCCCGCTGGGAAACGTAGTTCGGTCCTCGGCGCCAGACTATGGCGCTAAGGCTTCAGGGCGCTTTTGTAGCTCTTCAGGCGCTTCCTCGAAGAATTCGGCCACGCCCTCAGAGCGCGATGCACCTTGGGACTTGTAGTCTTAGTTGGACTCTGTGGTGAGCAATGGAACAGAGACACTGTGGAGACGGAACTCTCTCACCCCATTGGACGTTGTCCCTACCTGGCGTCTGCGCAGTCTGTGGTGGCGTCGTAATGCCTGGGGGAAGGGAAGACGACGGTTCTCGAATCGCTGCCTCTGGGTTTCTGTTTTTCTCTTGACAGGATTTGGTCTTTGGTTCTCCGTTTTTGGTCTGTCGCACGCGTCCCGCCCTCCCTATTCTCTTCCCCATTACTTGGATCCAGCCTTGGGCATTCACGTCAGCCCTCTTACCCCTCCTTGAACCCCCTCCCGACCCCGGGGCGGTCCTGGCGCGGAGGCGGTAACTATGGAGAACATGGCGGAGGAGGAGCTGCTACCCCTGGAGAAGGAGGAGGTGGCTCAGGTCCTGACCCCGGCCCCGGACTCGGCTCGGGTCCCAGCTGCGGCCCCAGATTCGGCTGTGACTCCGGCCTCGGCTTCAGCCCTAGCCCTTGCCCAGGCTCCGGCCCTGTCCCCGTCTCTAGCCTCTGCCCCTGAGGAGGCTGAAAGCAGTAAGTGCAGGAGGCCCAGATCTTTCTGCCGCCGAGAAGCGAGAAAGTCGCCTGGCTGGGGAGCAGGGAGGGCTTTCCCTCCGGGATGGCTTTTATGGGGAAGGCAGGCTTGGGAAAACGAGAGGGCGGTGTTGCGGGTGAGAGTAAAATTGATGTATAGATGGATGAAGGCACCTCCGTAAACCTCGAGGCAAGCCCACTGCAGCAAGGTGGAGGCCAGAGGTGTGGCGAGGTGGAAGTAAACGTTGAAGTTAGGGTTTTTTGCGTTAATCGTCGTTTTTATGGTACAGATACACGTAGTACACTTAATTTAGTAGTTTCCCTCAGTCCGTTCTGCTTTGCTTACCTCTTTCCAAACGTGACACAATAAATCGAGGCAACCTGTTACGGTTCTGACTGCCAAGATTTAGAAAACATTACGGTCAACTAGCTTTTCTTCTCTGACATACACAAAGAATAGATGAGCTTATCTCGTTACTCCATTTTGTTTGGACACTTGCTTTCAAAAAAATCGAAGCTGATGAGTTGAGGAAAAAGTCTACTAAATTATGTGTCTCCTCATACATAAATGCCAGTTTAGTTTTGTACTCCATCAGAAGTCGTAATAGCCCAGATTATATGTTCCAAATGTGTTTTCATATTTTCTAAGTGATGGTACAGAAATGTTAAAGATTTTTAGTTGATACTAAAAGATCATCTGAACATTTTCAAATGTTAGGTCTGAGAAAGACTTAAAGAATTCTTTCAATAAATGATTTTGTGGTCCATAAACTGCCCTTTATACTCTTTCTAAATTACCACTTGAAATAAAAGAATTCATCAGCTTTATTACCTCTAGACCAGTTTCAAATTTAATGTTTATGAAACACTGGGATAATCATTGTCTAAAATAATTATTTGCAATTTTAAAACGACATATATAACTGCTAAAAAGAAAAGGCTGATCACAGGAAAGAAAAAAATCCACATGGCTCATGTAAGCCCCTCATAAAAAAGTTTGCAGGTGCAAAATAAGACCAGTTATTTCTTAAACTACAACTATGGTAAGTGAGTAGAGGCTGTTTACATTCTTTCTGAATAAGTGATCTCCAACCTCACCATTTCAATTAATGAAAAGTGGTTCAGCAGCTTTAGGTAATGCATGCTTTCTCCACTTCCCCACCATTAAAAATAAACATAGTTTGGAAAGACTTACATTTTTCAAAATTTGAAGAATGTGTACTATTTGAGGAACCTAAGAGCTCAACAGAAATGAGGCAGAGAAGATTGGATGATAGGAACAGCTATTTTGGAGAAAATGACATCTAAATACTGATTTAGTATCATCTTGTTTTGAAGTCTCATCTAGCTTTTGTCCTTCTGTCTCCAATGGTCTAAATAGGCTGTATCTTATTGGATTTTATTATGTACAATAGTATAAGCAAAAACCTTTTAAAGACAAGGAGATTATACAGAAACCATTGTTCATTTTCTGTTAGTCGATTCTAAATACTCTGTAATGCTGTCATTTTCTTGAATTGTTTTACATTGTTTTGATATACTTAATGCTACAGTATACGAAGTTGTACTCAAGGATTTCAAAGAAAGAGACAATATGGTAACTACTTTTAGGCCAGGATTATCTGGTGGTGAAACACTATTCTGCTTAAATGGTTATGTTTTGATCTGTGCTGTTTCGTTGTTATGCCCTCTTTTATCTCAATCTCCACTCCATTATTTACTTTTTTATCTTTATCCTTTTAATTAAAGGGAAAAAATAGCAGGATATATTATAGTAACCCACTTTGACTTTTCATTACCTTGATTTAAAGCCCTGTTTTACTCTCACCATCTGGTTTTTAACTGATGTTCCCCTATTCTGTTTTGCTGGATAGTATCAGGTTCGAAAGTTTAGGCATCAGCTGTGAAGATAATGAGATTCATTATGGTGCCCATTCTTGTTGACTTTTATCTACTTTTGAAGACCTACAATGTCTCCAATGTTTTGGTTTTGTCAGTTTTATTCTTAACTGTTTTGTTCAATTGTATTATAACTAACGATATAGGCAATTCTATTAGAGATAGCGGGAGGCATTATGGTAACCATTGTTGATCACCTTGTATTATGTTTTTACATTGTCTATTATGTCCACCCCCTTGACTTGACCGATTCTGTTCTGTTATGTCACATTTGGTTTTACTCTCTTCCAAAAAAGTAATAAGAACCGTGGGAGCAATGAAACCCAAAATGTGTAATAGTCATGGTACAAAAGAGAGGAAAAGAAAGTGCTCCAAACTATATAACTGCATGTATATTTAAGTGTATAAGATAGAAAATGATATCACAGAGTTTTATTGGATCAATGAACAGAACTGTTTGCAGTATCATTGATGGAATGTCCACTTTATAAGCTTTAATTTTGTGACTTGAACAATTATTTCTAAGATGACAATATGTAATCCATTAACTAGTGATTTCCTACTGTTCATTTTTTTTTCTGTAAATCTGTATAACTTGTACCCTTTCCCTGCTTTTTTTTCTTTTCTCCTTAAATAAAATTTAAAAACAAAACAAAACTAAAAATCCAAACTACATTTGAACTGTAATACATATTAATCATTTTTAAAATTATTTTTAGATCTAGTTAAGTCCTCTGAAGTCAGTCATAACTAAGCAAGTTGTAAATGGCATAGCTGACATAGAATTGAAAATTCAGGAGAAAGCAACAGAAAAGTTATAAAAGCCTGGCATTTTAGACTCTCACCTAATAAGAGATTTGCTTACTAATTTCTGGATTATTACTGTTACAGAATGCAAGTTGAATAACTTAAATACAGATTATTTGGTTTCTATTCAATTAGAAAGTGATTTCAAAAATACAGGCATATTACAGATTTTTAAACAGTTTTCTTCAGTAGTGGACCACAGGATTTACAGACTCCTCTTATTTTGTAGTATTTAGTGGTTACAATAAGTTCCATAAGCATATCTTTATGTAATGCTATACATTTGCTTTTTACATATATAGTTCTTTGAACTGTTAAAGCCAAGACAAATATAGGTTGTTTTGTACACTTGGTTTTTTTGTTTGTTTTTGTACTAGAGATTGAATATAGAGTCTTTGCACTGTGCTGCATCTCCAATCCATTTTTTATTTTTTATTCTGATACAGAGTCTCACCAAATCACAAATTTTTCTAGGTGGGCTAGAACTTTAGAACCTCCTGCTTCAGCCTCAGAGAATCCTTGTGTTATGGATATACACCACCACTACTGGCTATGTGAATTCATTTCTTGACTGTTACTGCCAAACTTAGTAATCAAAGTTTTTTCATTTGTTTGTTGTGAGACAGGGTTTCTCTATGATCTTGAACTCACCATCTTCCTTCCTTAACCTGTCAAGTACTAGGATTACACATAATAGAAAGTTCTTGATCAAGCAGGAAAAATTTTCCCTAGTTATAGAAAGTGTATGCATTGTAAGTCATTTGAACAATACCTAGTATAAGACGTTAGCCAGTATTTATAGTTTTTTGGTTTTGCTCATTTAAAAATAAAGTAGAAAATCATCTTTTAATTTAAGCAGAAATATATGATAGTGCTGAGTTAAATTCTAAGATTATTAATACAGTGTGCTACTACAGCCAAAAGACTAATAATCTTTTTTTTTAATTTTAACAGACTAGGGCTTGCTGTATGCACTGGGCACTTAGCCATCAGAAAAATAAGGCATAGCCTAAGCCTTCTTACTGCTTGTTTATAAAGAAACAGCAAAATACACAAATTACACAAATGAGTGAAGCTTAAGAGAAGAAGACAGGTCACAGTGTCAAAATTCTTGAAAAAATGATTGTACTGATTTTCAGTATTTTCTTTCTTTTTCATTTCATTTGTATACCCAAAAACCTCACTGTACCATCATTTTTGAAGGTCACCAGAGACTTTTCTATATACTTTGTGATATTTACAACTGTTTGTACTACATAATATTGAGCATGTCTTTTACAGACTTCTGGGACTTCTTTATCACCTTGATTCTCTTTACTGTTTATCTTTTCTATGGCTGCTTTAATTCTTTTTACTCAGCCTTTCTTGTAAATACCTACATCCCATCACTTTCAGATTTTGTCCATCCATATTAATCAGTGGATTTAATAGGCTTCAGGGATCCATCACACTATACCTAATCAAGAGTATGATAAACATGTTTTGGACTCCAAAACTTGAAACCACTTATTGCCTGAAGAATAGAGTCTTATATAAACCTGCATAAATTTTATGCCTCCCATGATCTATATACTACAGTTCTGGCTGCATATTCTTCTATACCCTCTGTCCCCGCAAACATACCAACTATATTCTATACACTCTGTCCCCCCAAGCATACTAACTACATTCTAGCCAAGAGCTGAGTAAGAATGGCTATGGTTTTTATGTTTCAGGATGTTTTTGCTCAGGTTTTTCTTTTTCAGTTTATAAAGCCAGTCATCAAATCTAATGGAAATTCTGTTCATACCTTAAATAATGCTGCTTCTTCAGTAAAATACTGTTAGTAGTATGTTAGAATTAATTACTAATTCTTCTGTATTCCCAAAATAGTACTACCTTACCTCTGAAACTCATTCTACTATGTATCACAGTATTAACATTAATTGTATAATTTATATTACAGAATTAACATATTCTCCAACATAATTGAAAGTTCTTTAAGACAGAAAACATGACAAAGTTTCAGGGTAGAAACTTTTTGTAGAGTTATATTAAGTGAAATGTTAAAGCTGTGAAGATAAGCATTGGAGTTTTTTTTCCAACTTTTACTTTGTGAAGTGCTTTGCTGATTTAATAAACTAAACTGTTGTAGTATTTTCCATTTAGCTTCTAAAACACTATACTATAGAAAATAAAAGTATAAACTGGCATGTGATGTGATCAAATAAAAATGGCACTTAAATTGTTAAAACAGGATTTTCTAATTCTTAAAATTTTCTTGCAGAGAGACACATCTCAATTCAAAGGCAGCTTGCTGATCTAGAGAAGTTAGTTTTTGAAACTGAAGGAGATTTTGACTCTACCAGTTCACTGAACTGTGATAATCTTGATACAGGTATTTCTATGCCCCCTCCCTTAATTTGACTGATTATTTTTCAGCTCATAAAAAAAGTTTGCTGATGATAGACTTGTTTATCTTATTAAATTAGAAGGATAGGAAAAAACGCTTTTTTTAAACCCAGGAAACTGATCACTTTCTATGTGCAAAGGTGCTGTGGTATAAATTAATACTCCTCAAGGAATTTACAGTCTCACAGAAATTTAAAAGCTGTCTATTGTTTTAATTAGGTATTGTATTGCCTACAAGTAAGAGATCCCCAAAACAGTGTTTTAAGTAATATGAATGTAGCTGGGTGTGGTGGCGTATGCCTGTAATCCCAGCACTCAGGAAGCTGAGGCAGGAGAATTACTGGAAGTTCAAGGCCAGCCTGAGTTTCAAAGTGAGTTCACAACAAGCCTGAACTGGAGCTGGAGGTTTAGCTCAGTGGCATAAGCACCTGCCTTGCAAGCAGGCTGTCGTGAGTGCAATCCTCGGTACCGATAAAAATGAAAAAGACAAAAAAAAAAGTAAACAAGAAGCCTGAACTGCATAGTGAGATTCTGTCTCAAAAAGACAGTAAATAAATAAACAAGTTAGAAATTTTTTATGTAAAAGTCTCAATTTAGAGCTAATACAAGTTCACAGTTTTATCAGTGTCTCTTAGTTCTTTTATTCTATTCTGTTCTCCAGTCTAATGCTTGGTTTTTATAAAGAGCGCCTGGTATTTTTTTGAAGTAGAGAATGTATGTAAAAAATAAATTTTACCTATTCTTGCATTGTTTTGTAGTTGAAAAATTTATTAGGTTAAAAATTACTACATTACTGGTTATTTCTGTATATTTTATTTTTTTAATTCTTTTGAACACTATTAAAGCTCTTATTTGAGAAGCACTTCTAATTAAATAAGATGTATTTTGATGATGCATAATCTTTTGGGGAATATGTTAATGAAGGAAGAATTTACAAGTTCACTAATATAATGAAATTTTGATTGATGACCCTAATCATGCCCTCTTGTTTCAGAATAGCAATTCTATTACATCTCATATACTTCCTATATTTACTCTGTTTTTCTACCTCCATATGTTAGCTATCTTTGTTGCTACCAGCATAATAGAATACCATAGCAGATAATGTATGCATCTCTGCCCAACTCTTCCTCTGAGAGTATGAAAATTTCTGTCCTTTCCCTGTCCAAAGTTCAAAATAATACCCTATGTGGCAAACCCGTTTAGCTAGAAACTATCATACAGTTTATATTTCTTCAGTTTCTGCATTGTTAGTGGCAAAAAGGGCATCAGCTAGCCACAGAGAGAATAAAGGAATCAATCATTAATCATGTGTACAATTATTATGAATTACCTTCTGGGTAAGGGATCATGCCTTTCCCCTAAAGTTAAGAAAGTTTATTTACATACTTTTTTTATTCTTCTCCTTTAAGGGAAAAAAAAAAAAAGACTAAAAAAAATGGGAGGAAAACATGGAAAAGGCCTTTGTTAGGTGTATTGTAGCTAAGTCCAGACCCTTATATCTAGAATATTCTGTGCTTTATTGGGCTTTTTTTCTTTTTAAGGAAATAAACAGGCTTGTCCATTATGTCCTAAGGAAAAATTCAGAGCTTGTAACACTCATAAGCTTCGTCGACACCTTCAGAATTTACACTGGAAAATCTCAGTTGAATTTGAAGGTTAGTATTTTTGTGCTTACTAAGAAATTATGTACGTGAAATTCAGCAGTTGTTACTTGTATTAAAATTTTATTTGGGAGCATAATTAAACATTTTCAGTTTTAAATTATGAGAGATAGGGCTGGGAATCTAGCTCAGCAGCACAGGCAAGCACGAAGTCATGAGTTCAAATCTTGGTTCTAAATAAAGATAAAATGTCCCATTTTTGATGTATTGAATAAAAGTCCATACATATCTATAGGCAAGTATATACATATGGCACAAGTTCAGCTTAATAAACATTTATAACCAGGTATTAGTGGCACATGCCTGTGATGACAGTACCCTGGAAGTCTGAGGCAAGAGGATCACATGGTTGATACCAGCCTGGGCAACTTAGAGACTCAGCAAAACCTGTCTCAAAAAATTTTAAAAAACTAGGGATATAACTCAGTGCAAAGGTTCAGATTTAGTCGCTAGTACCACAGAAAAATAAAATAATTTAGTAAGCACCTGTTTTATACTGGGTATTCTGGCTTTAGGAATCTATGTTGCCTATTGAACACTATCTTACATATTAACTGGGCATGATGATACACACCTGTTTATCGCAGCACTCAGGAGGCTGAGGCAGGAGGATCAATACAAGTTCAGGGCCAGCGTGAATTACAAAAATGATATCTTGTCTCAGAAACCAAAACATAAGTAAATAAACAAGTTTACATTGCCTTCTTTAATAGAACAACTTTTACGCATATTTTGGAAGGCAAGATAAATATAGTACAATAAGAAAATAAGACGATTAGCATCAATATTGAAAAAAACAGATAACATCTTTCTGCTAATGGCTTAAACTACTACAGTTAAAAATGTTCAGAAAGTTGTGAGAATATAGTCTTTCTACTGTAGATAAATGGAAATTAGAAAAAAAATTATGACAAAAATACAATTTGGGGAAATAAATTTAACAGGAGGATTCATAGGGAAAAGAATAAAGTTAAAAGAATAAGATTTTATCAAGTTAAAATACTTCCTAAATTCTGAAATAATGAATTATTACATCATTTTTGGAAAAATTTGTAACTATTTTTTAAAATTTAAATATAGATCATTCCATTAGGCAGTTTTTCTCGTGAGTGCTATAGAAGTAAAAGAATCATTGTGCAAGGATAGATGTACAAGGATATCCATTACGCTGTGTACTTTTTGACAAAACTTAGAATTAATAAACTTAATAGGAAGACTCAGAGGGTAAAGACATAGGCGACCGTTGAAGGAATATATTCTATATATGCCAGCTAACTTGGAAGTATTTCCATAGAAGACTACTAATGAAAACAGCAGTTATATAAGGAAGATTTCATAATATTCCATTTGAATAATAACAGAAATGTCCCGCTCCAAAACCCCTAAATATCAATCTTAAACATGTATATAACTATAATTGGATATGATCATGTGATACAGAAATTGTTAAATAATGCTTATGGGACATTTCAACCAAAGTGGATAAAATATCTAATATGAGACCTGCAGAAAAGAAGCCAGAGCTATTTTCTTCATACTGGTAAAAGGTTGTCATTATTTAGGCAAAAGAGAATTAGAAATTAATTCTGAGGCCATAGTGTCTCTTAACTATATATGAATATGTTACTGACTTCTTAGCAAAAAATATTTTATTTTGATTTAAAATTTTCTTCTATATCCTTCCCCACCCCACTGCCAGTATTGGAGATTGAACCCAGGCCTTCACTCTGATCTACATCCCCATCCCTTTTTTTTAAATTCAGAACAGGATATCACTAAGTTACTAAATTACCCAGGCTAACTCAGACTTAATAATCCTCATACCTCAGGTTCCCTGAGTACAGAAATTATAAACGTATCACCACACCTATTTCTGCCATTGTTTATCTTTTAGGTTTGGTCTCTTATTTTCTTCTCTTACATGGCTTGCAACAGCTGTGGTAACTCACACCTGTAACCCTAGCTACTCTGAAGGCTGAGGCAGGAGAATCACAAGTTTGAGGCTAGCCTGGGCAAGTTAGCAAGACCATGTCTCAAAAAAAAAAAAAAACTTAATATTAAATGACAGGCTTCTAAGTAGTTGGCAAATATGTTGAAGGTAGGAGCAACAAGACACATGCTTTTGCACTGAATGTAAGATTTAAGGAAAAAAACTCAAGAACGTTTGAATTTAGGAGTTAAGCAACCAAAAAAATGAAATTGTCTTATTTTGAGCTGGAGACACCTGCATTGGGACCAGAAGTGAGGAAGAATGCCCAGACACCAAGTTTAGGAATATAAAGACTGAAATACATTTAAGTGGAGATGCTAGGTAACCTCTAGTTGTGTCTAGCCTTTTCCTGAGCCATGTCAAATGAAAAGAAATTATACTGAGCTACATATAAAATGTGTAATATAGTTAGTGTATATAAGTAACAAGCTTCCCTTTTTCTTTTTTTTTTCCTTGTTTTTGTTGTTTATTTATTGTTCTGAGAAAGTGTCTTGCTATGTAGTTTAGATTGGCTTTAAACTCAATATGTGACCTCAAATTTGTAAAGATCGTCTTGCCTCAGCCTCTCAGGTGCTAGACTTTACAGATGTGTGCCATGACACCCAGCTCTCAAAACTTCCTTTTACTCATATATTTTTAACATTAAAAAAGAGCTTGATGTCGTGGTACACCTATATAACCCCAGCACTTGCGAGGCTGAGACAGAAAATTTAAAAGTTCAGGGACAACCTGAGTTACATAGGATATTTAAGGCCAATTTGAACTACATACTGAGACCCTATCTCCAAAGAGAGGTCAGGCAGCATGCTGGCCACAGACCAGATTCATCTGTATGTACATAAACTGGGGTTTCAGGGAGAGGTTGGGGCTAGAGGTATACATTTGGCATTTGTCAGCATACGGTAGTACTTAACCATGAGATAACCATAGATATATTTATCGATGGGAAAAACAAGTCAACCAGGCTGAGTTTTGGGGTATTTTATATATAAGAGGGATGACTAGATGTAAGTTACAAAAAGAAAAAGAGTGGTGACCTGTAAACTAGAAGATAGCTTGAGTTAGGAGAGACTAAGTCATTATCATTTATCTAAAAAGTAGACATGGTTCAAGACGAATTGATAAGGGCTGGGGATGTAGCTCAGTGGTAGGGCACTTACTAAGCAAGTACAAGGCTCTGGGATCAGTACCTAGCACTGTAAAAAAAAAAGGGGGGTAAGGAGTTCATTAAACTTAACTAGTTTGAGTAAGTTTTGAGATGCTAGCCAAATTAATCATTCATTGATACTTAATAGGCAACTGGAAATGAGGATTTTGCTTTTAAGGATGATTTATTAACTTCACCTATAATTTGGCATTCTTTCTAATAACATAATCATGAAATAAATCATGAAAGTAATTTAAATTACCATGGAAAAAATGCACATAGCTGACCCAGCCTAAGGAATATCTACATTTTAGGGTGTGAAAATCAGAAAAAGATTTGTAAAGTAGATCAAGAAAGATGGGAAAAGAAGCTCAGCATGGTAATACACCCTCTTAATCCCACCTCCTGGGAGGCTGAGGCAGGAAAACCATGAATTGGAGGCCACTCTGGGCTACATAGCAAGACTTTGTCTCAAAAAAAAAAAAAAAGTAAAGTGAACCAAGATAGTGTCATAGATGAGGTAAAGGCTAGAGTAGCAAAATATAGCACAAAGCAAAGATGAAGCTTAAAGTAAAAGTTAAAGAGGCAAAGTATTTGATAAAACTGCATACTGCCAGGTGCGATGATGAATGTCTATGATCCCAGCACTTGGGAAAGTTACAAGGTGGATCACAAATTCAAGGTTAGCCTGGGCAATTTTGTAAGATCCTGTCTCAAAATAAAAATAAAAGGGTCTAGGAATGTCGTCCAGTCTGAGAGCACTTACCTAAAACAGCTAATCGAAAAACAAAACAGGCAAAAAAATCAGAATTTAAAATATCACCTGTGTTTGTTTAAATATATGTCTCATGTATAAACCAAAGCTAAATAATTATGACGTAAGTGTAAAGTTAATCCCAGCCAAGTGTGGTGGCTAATGCCTATAACCCCAGAAGGATTGATGGGAGTGTAAGACTTGTCTGGGCTACAGAGTTCAAATCCAGTCTAAACTACATAGTGAAAAGGAAAGGAAAAAAGTTAATCTTAATTCTTAGCAAATAAAATTCATTCATAATTTTTAATGCTAGTTGAATATTTAGTGACAACCAACCATTTTCCATTCTAGGTTTTAGGATGTGCATTTGCCACTTACCTTGTCGACCAGTAAAACCAAACATTATTGGAGAACAGGTAATCAGATGTTAGATTTATTTTCAGTTTTATCTTTTTTAAAGAAAATGTCATATTTATTTGCTTTATAATAACACTTAAACCTACTCAAAAAGCTAAGAAGTGATTCTTGATTTAAAACTAAAATGTGCATAATAGCAGTGCAGTTACTTTAAAATTCTGTATCTGAGTGCTTTTAGAGGGTCATAATAGAAAAAAATATGAAAAATGTATAATGTAAGCTATAGAGTTCACTAACCGTATTTCTCTCTCCCTTCAAGATAATATCACTTTGTGTTTTTGTCAAGTAAGTAAACCTTTGGATGTGAAAAAGAAATAAGACCAACAAAATAAAGGGGAAACTATGAAATGTATAAAAATTTATTCTATTGAACTTATTTTTTAATTTTTAGTTTCAATTAAATTGCTTTTTATGTTCAAAATGAAAACCAATTTAATAATTTTGAAATGTACAATTTAAATAGAATAATTTTTAGATGAATTTTCTTTATGTATTGCAAACATATACTAATAAAAAATGATGGAAAAAAAAGATTTTGTAATCCTAGCAACTCAGGAGGCCAGCCACGGCATGACAGCACAAGTTCAAGGCCATCCTAGGCAATTTAGCAAGACCCTATCTCCAAATAACATTTTTAAAAGGACTGTGAATATACCTCAGCATTAGAGTGCTTGCCTACCATTGTGAGGCCCTGAGTTCAATGTCGAGTACTGCAAAAAATTAAAAATGTAAAAAAGAAAAAAAAATAAATTTTGATCATGAAATAGGAGATCCAAATATCTGTGAGTTAGTAAATATCATAGTATGTTTCAATTTCATATTCTTTTCCCATGTTCATTTGAAACTTAATTTGACAGAATCTAGAAACTCTGACATCTTAATACTATAACTTTACATGTAGATATGTTTATTTTTAGAATAGAGTTATCAAAGGATAATACAAACTGTAAATGTTTTTGTGACATGCTCCTGAATGCATTTTATTTTGACAGATCCTCATGTAGAATTTTTCCTTTAGGTCACTGAAAACAATAAAGTAATGAGAATAAAGGATTCTTGAGCTATAAGTGTAGCTTAGTTATGAGAGCATTTTCCTAATGTATGAAGCCCTGGGTTTGACACCCAGCACAGCCAAAAAATAAAGAAAGAAAGAAGAAAAAAGAAAAGAACAAAACTTGCTTTAAACAGTAGTAAGTGCACTGCCTGGTCTGGCCCATCAGCTCAATCCAAAGTATTTTTAGTATAATAACTGTAAAAACCATGTGTAATATTCTTGTCTATTCTGTACTATCTATAAAGTCACAATTAAATAGAGGATAGCAATAAGAGTAAAAGGTATCAAAACTAGTAAACAGACATAGTAAACGTTGCTTTATTTTCAGCTAAATGAGAAATTACAATTTATAAAAATAATCTTATACATCTAACATTTAGTGGGGTTGCTAGAGCTCGCTCAGATTTTCAGAAATCTTATGAGCTGGTGATTAAATATAATTAAATATTAAATCATATAAACTTAGAAATATGTTATAACTAAAAAGTAAGGGTAATAAATATTCAGCATTCCAGGTTACATTTTATTTTACTATTATCTGTTTTCATCTGTATATAGGCAGTGTTTTATAATGATGCAATATTGGACATCTCTGTCCAGTCTCACATTCCCTAATTTCAAATTGTTAGTTTGGAATTAATCACAATTATAGCTTCATAGAGTATTTATAGCAAAGAAGTTTGAAAATACTATAATTTAGAATTGCTGGGCATGGTGGCTCATGCCTGTAATTCCAGCAGGGATGCTGAGGCAGGAGGATCATTGTGAGTTCGAGACCAGCCTGGGCTACAAAGTGAGGTCAAGGCCAGCCTGAACTGCAAAGGGAGACCCTGTCTTTAAAAAAAAGAACTTTATTGCCAGTTTAGCATTTATCAGTACACCATAGTCAACATGACACCATTTATAATGCACCTTATGGAAGATACAGTGTAGTTATTTACTGAGTAGAATGGATAGAAAAACTAGGAAACAAATTTAACCTACTATAATTTTAAGATTTAAAAGCATATGTAAATATAGGTAAAGTACATGGCAAAATTAACATTTTCTATGCCATTACACCCAAGAAACATTACCATATTTGCAATTTGAAACTTCTACTCATTGTCTTAGTAACTTACTTAAATTAAATACTCTGTTTGATAGATATCCAGTAAAATGGGCGCCCATTATCATTGTATCATTTGTTCAGCAACAATCACCAGAAGAACTGATATGCTAGGACATGTTAGGCGTCATGTGAATAAAGGAGAGACTAAGTCCAGTTATATTGTTGGTAAGTTGAGCAATCTCATTAAAATATTACTAAGTAGATCTTAAAAATAGTCCAGATATACTTTTTACACAATTGGCAGATAAAATACACTGGTTAAACTAAATATTTCAGTTGTCTACCAATGTATCACTTCAATTTATTTTTCTTTTTGTGAATTTCCTAATAACTTTTAACAGATGTCTTTGGTAAATGGTGTAAAAATATAAAGTGGTACTCAAGAAAATACAGGTTTTCCTAATGACAGCTTTTAACACAAAAACTGTGTTACTGGTATAAAAACACTGGATAGAAAACACTAGACAGAGTGAAATAAAAACCTTTATCCTGGGTAATATCAAATTAATAGCTGCTTGGCCTTTCACTTGCTGAGCCTGTGGTACACACCTGTAATCCCAGCACTTGGGGAGCTAAGGCAGGAGGACTGCTTCAAGTTGGAAGACAGCCTGGCTACATAGTGAGATCCTGTCTCAAAAAAAAAAAGTTAACCCCTGTAGCCTATATAATGCACAGTATGTAATAATTAACTTCTGTACATCTAGAATGATTGTATATATCCTTAAGAATTGGAAAAAAAAAAGTTACTGAGATAATTTTCTATAAAGCTTTTCTCACAGAACTTTGAAAATGCTATTATTGTGAGATATGTTATATACCTATTTAGTGGGCATAGCAGGTTATGTAACACTAAGGAAAATTACTATCCTTAGGCATTGTAGAAAGAGAAACATGGTTGCCATTCAGTTAATGTGTGATTATAATATCAAGAACCAAACAGAGGATCTCAGTTCCTTATGTTTCACTTCTTGAATATTCATAACATCAGTATTTTGAGTATAACTAAAGGGTTCTAATATATATTTGAATATAATTTGTGATTTTAAATTATGAGTATACTGATTGTTAAACTGCTGTGATGGAAATAGAATAAAATCAAAGTTATTTAAACTCATTTCTTAACAATTATAGATAGCCCTGTAAAATATATTTTGCAACCAGGCCTGTACAAACATGTGGTATTTGATTTATTATTTTAGGATCCCTTGCTTCATTTTAAGGTGATTGTCCTTAGGTATATCATAAATGTATCAATGTGCAGGATTTTAAGTGAAGATACTTTTTCATTCATCATAAATTTCAGGTACTGCTAGGCATAGTGACACATGCCTTTAATCCTAGCACTGCGGAGGCTGAGGCAGGACAGTCACTGAGTTGAGGCCAGCCTGGGCTACATAGTGAGTTCAAGGCCAGCCCGAACTACAAAGGAAGACCTTGTTCCCAAACACACACACACACACACACACACACACACACACACCAAAAAAGAAGAAGAAAAACAACCGTCATAACACTTTCATTTATCAAATGTTTGTACTTGAATACAACTCTTTTCCAGAAATAGCAATGAATAAATCAATTTTGTAATCTGGCTACCTCTCTACATTAACACAAAATAATATATTATTCAAATACAAATTGTTTTAGATGTTTAGAATTATGTATTTCTCTGAAATTTGTTTTTTTTTTCTATCTTAGCTTCTACTACTAAACCATCTAATGAAATTTTGAAAGAAGCAGAGACAGATGTACAAGTTTGTCCTAACTATTCCGTACCTCAGAAAACAGATTCCTATTTTAATCCCAAAATGAAACTAAATCGGTAAGATAATTGAAAATAGGATTATAAAATATTTCAAATCATTACAGATGTACCTTTGCTTAACTCTTATGTTGTAATATATTAAAATTTAAAGCTATATGCAGATTGAAATGCATCTATTTTAACTTTTTCTCAGAGTAATTCTGTTTTTTTCTACCAAGCCAGTTTATTTTTCAGAGAGTAAAACAGGCCTGACTTTATATAATTACTAAATAGTCTTGTCCTCTTGTAGGCAAATTTTGTTAGTAAATAAATGGGAGAATGTTTATTAAATGGGATCCAGTTAGTTTCATTGCTTTATTTCATAAACTTTTAGGTCTTACACTATTAAATCAAGATTAAGTTTTTTTAGATTTCTTTTCAAAGTAGTTTGTACTATTACTAGGAAGCCCCCATTTTCAATTTTCTTAAATAAAATAAAATCTACACTATAGAAGCCATATGACTGTAAAATTATTTCAGATTATTATTTCCTTCTAGACAACTAATATTCTGTACGTTGGCTGCTCTGACTGAGGAACGCAAACCGTTGGAATGTCTAGATGCCTTCGGAGCCACTGGTAAGTAAGGAAGTTTGTTTGAAATGTCATTTTATTTATCAGGCTTGTATAATAGCTTTTGTTAGGAAATCAAATTGATACCATACCAGCAAAATATTTTGATGTAAAGATCCAAAAACTTTTTAATTTCTTCATTGTGAAAAATTTCAGATATTGAAAGAGTATAACAAATCCCTGTGCATCCATTGCTCACTTCAAAAATAATAAACTCATGATCAGTCTTACTTTACCTGTAACCCCATTCTCACATACACTCATCCAGTTATGGTGAACCTTTTAGAGACCAAGTGCCCAAACTTCAACCCAAAACCCACTTACTTACTTATCACAGAGTGTCAACATTGCAGTTGAACCAGAGTGCCAACACGGGGTGCTCTGCTTGCCCACTTCAGCATGTATGCCATAGGATTGCCACCATTGACTTGGTCCCTCCATCCCCAGATTTCTAAATAAACTATGAACATTTCATTTCATGTAAATATTTAAGTCAGATGTCTAAAAGATAAAGACTTTAAAAAGTAGAACCACAGGGGTTGGGGATTTAGCTCAGCGGCATAAGCGCCTGCCTTGTAAGCAGGCAGTCGTGAGTTTGATCCCTGGTACCGATAAAAACAAAAAAGACAAAAAAAAAAAAAAAAAAAAAAGTAGAACCACAACCCAGGCTCTTGGTATACTATAAACCTGGCATTCTGGAAAAGTAAGGCAAGATGATTCCAAATTCAAGCCCCGCCTGGGAGACTTAGTGACTTAGTAAAGACCCTAGCCAAAATGAAAAGATATAGGGCTGGGTTTGTAGCTTAGTGTGAAGGCCATTGGAATTAATTCCTACCATTGGGGGAAAAAAAAATTGTGATATCATCACAGCTGAAAAGATTACAAATAATTATTTAATATGTTTTAATCATCTCATTTTAGGGAATTCACATTAGAATCAAAAGACTATTGTTTTAATCTCCCTTCTGTCATTATGAGTATATATGAGGGAGGGGTTGGTTATTTGTTGACATAAATCTTTTGATCTGTAGAGTTTCTGGCTATCAAGGTTTTTGTTAACTGTTGCCATAGTTCATGTAGCTTTTTTTTTTTTTGTACTGGGGATCGAACTCTTATGACCTCACACTTGCCAGGCAGGCACTTATGCCACTGCGCTAAATCCCTGGCCCCGTGCAACATTTTTGTATCTCCTATATTTTTAAAAATTGATAGTTTGAGCAAATCTAGTTAAGAATTTTTTTTTTCAAGAATGTTTGCAACTGGGTCAGGGATATAGCTCAGTGCGACATAGCACCTGCCTGGCAAGCCCAAGGTCCTGAGTTTGATTCCCACTACCAGGGATAAAGAATACTTACAACTGATGAGTCTTTTTGTATCATGATGATCAATGCCTATCCTGCAGTTTTGAAGGTTTACCACATTTTTCCCAGAAGAATTTTTATAGTAAAGATCATGGAAACAATAGAGAATTTCTAAAAATCTACTCTACCCAACCTAAATCTTTCTTCATAAATATTATAAAACTATATTCTTGAGAAGCTTATACTAAAGCATGAATAAGCTCTCCTTTTTTTAGGGAAAAGTAGTGGTTAAGAGCATAAACTGAGCTATACTGCCTGGACTTAGCTCCCAGCTTTACAGCACGATACTTGCATGACCACAGAAAATTATACGTCTGTTCATTCATTTATAAAAAGGAGGGAACAACAGTACCTAACGTAAAATAATGAAGATTTAAGTAACCTGGACACAAGTCGCAACTTCATCTCATGACACATGACCTCAGGACATCATACCTTGATTTGTTTATTGGTTAGAGTTGAGCAGGGAGTAGATGCTACTACCTATCTTAAAATAGTAAAGATTTAAGTAAATTATTACACTTAAAATCATTAGAAGAGTACCTATTAAGTAGCAAATGCTATAAAACTGTTAGGTATTATCTGTATTGTATGACTACTGCTGCTGCTACTATCAGTATCATCATTAGTAATATCTCAAAGCAAAAACAAAAAATGATGAGGTGATATGTTTTGGGTCACTTGCAGGTATAATTTAAATCACTTAAATTTTTTTCTTGCACCATCCCCACATCAATTCAGCCACCAGATCTAATTTTTTTAAAAATATAACTTGCATACATTTTCTGTTCCATATCTCCTAATTAAATGATTTAGTGATAAACCCTATTGAGGTAGTCTCTAATTGATACTTCTAGTTTGTCTCTTCTCTTCAATTTGTCTTTTTTTTTTTTTCTTGCATGCTACTACCAAACAGCCATTCCCCTATAGCAGTACTTTGATAGTGTTACTGCTTAATCAGAAAAGTCATACACCTTTATTGCTTGGAGACTAGACTTCACTGCAATTTAATTTCCTTCATAATCTCATCACAAGCTACTTTTCCAACTTTTATTTCCGAATGTTTTCTCTAGCACATCTTTTTATTTAAACCTAAAAACATTAAAGCTGCTAGAGTACATCTTTTCAGCCTTTCTAATGTACTTTTGTTAGCTCTTTTGAGTTTTGTAGCAGTCACTTTGCATGTTTGCCATCCCTAAAATGCGGATGTTAGTGCTCACCTGACAAGTTTATTGTGAAAATATTTTTTAAAAAGTACAGTCCTTAATGTACAATAGTTATGCATTTTTCCAATTACTAGACACATTTCTCATACATTGGAACTTTTCTTATACATATTGGTTGGGCTTATGTCACCCTCTCCGGTTACTTATTCAGAAATGATGCCTTTGTTCAGTGCTTGAAAAATGTTATTTTTCATATTTTGGTACATAAACTTTAGCAAGAGGACTTCCAACTTCCCATCCCCCCTGTGAGCATTAACCCCATTGTTATTTACATGATTTGTATTATCTATTAGATTTTTTTAATATTACGTTTGAAAAACTATTCTGTAAGAAAAGAACTAACCTATTCTACAAAATAAAAAACAGATTTTATTTGCAGATCATAAACTACTATTAGAAGTATTAATAAAAATGTTTGAGGCACATTTTTGGTGGTAACTTTTTTAGTAAGAGAGTAGAATAAATATAGTCAAATGAGGTTACACACACCTGTAATTCCAGCATCCTGGGATTCTGAAGCAGAAGGAGCAAAAATTGAAGCCTAATGGGGACATTTTAGCAATTTAATTTAGCAACACCATATCACAAAATAAAAAATGTTTTAAAAAGGACTAAGGATTTACCTCAGTGTGAAGGCTCTGCATTCAATCCCCAATGCTAAAAAAAAAAAAAAATCATAAGACAAGATTTTAAAGGAATTTGTTATTTATTAAAATATATTTTAGCTGGGCATGATGGCGCACACCTATAATCCCAGCACTTGGGAGGCAGAGGCAGGAGAATAGCCATGAATTCAAGACCAGCCTGGACTGCATAGTGAGACATTTTCTCAAAAAAAAATTTTTTTTTTAATTTAAAAATACTTTTTTATTTATCATACTGTTTTTATTCTTTCTTACAATTTTAAAACTCATTTTCTTATTTCTCCAAAGGTATAATGGGATTGCAGTGGGCTAAACATCTTGGAAATGCAGTCAAAGTTACCATTAATGACTTGAATGAAAACTCTGTAACACTGATTCAGGAAAACTGCCATTTAAACAAATTGAAAGTTGTGTTGGATAGTAAAGAAATGAAAGAGAGTGATGATAATCTTGAGGAAGGAGAAGAAAATCTTGGTAATATTAAAGTGACCAAAATGGATGCCAATGTACTAATGCATTTGAGATCTTTTGATTTCATGTAAGTTAAAAATTTTTGCTTTGTCATTTGTTAAACAAATTCAGAAATTTGTTTAAAGAGGATAAAATAAAAGCTTAAGCAATTTGTTTTTATTATTGTTTATTTAAATTAGACTTTTTAATCACAGCCACTAAAAAGGCTAACTAGAATAATCGTAAGTTCAAGACTAGCCTGGGCAACTTAATGAGTCCCTATCTCAAACTTTTTAAAAAAATGGTTGAGAACAACCTGAGGCATGGTGGTATGTGCCTACAGTGCCAGCACTCAGGAAGCTGAGGCAGGAGCATTGCCAAGAGTATGCAACCAGTCTGAACTATATGGCAAGACCTTGTCTGAGGAAAAAAAAAAAAAAAGAGGAGGTGAGAATGTAGCGTAATGCTCCTGGGTTCAATCTCCAGTACCAAAAGATAAACCAACCAATTAAAAAATTAATAGATTTTTACATTAGCCTAACCAATTAGATTATCTGACATTTGAAATAAAATATCTAAACATGAACTTTTCCTTTTTACCACATTTATTTTTGTATGCCGGACATACTATATGATCATTTTAATACTTATGTTATTTTTACAGTATTGGAGATTAGACCCCAAGCATTCTGGGAAGCACTCTACCACCTTCCTGACGCCTTGTTTTATTGTTAAAAACAATTAGGTATTTAAAATAAATTTGCAAACTATTTTTGAATCCATGGCATCTTATCATTAAAAATGTATTACAATGGGGTATACTTTTGAATTAAATATGTCCATATTCTTTCTGATTTTAGACACCTAGACCCTTTTGGGACATCTGTGAACTATCTAGATTCTGCATTCAGAAATATAAGAAACCTTGGCATAGTATCAGTGACTTCTACAGATATCAGTTCCTTATATGCCAAAGCACAACATGTTGCAAGACGTCACTATGGTTGTAACATTGTCCGAACTGAATATTACAAGGAACTAGCAGCCAGAATTGTTGTAGCTGCAGTGGCAAGGTACCAAATTGCCTAGTATGTTTTGGTATATGACTAAAAGATATTACAGATAAGTGTTTACTTCATTTTGCATGAAATACAAACTTGCATGAAATACAAACTCCATATCATATATCTTTTGTGTTGACTTGATTTAATGTGTTTTTAACCTATGTTCTGTTAGAATTTTGAAGACAGTCATTTATGTTTTCATCTTTGTATAGTTTGAATAAAATGATAGCTTATAGACTTGATTCTGCAAAATTCTGTTTCCCATCAATATTTCTTAAATAGTTGAAAAAGGAAACTTTTTGAGCTATTCAGAACATTATGCTTGAAGAATAATATAATATGTAATTGAACATGCAATAATAGATAATAACCAACTAGCTAACTCATTTACTAGCTCAAACACAAGTTCCACAGCATTTTGATGGCCCATGTATTTTGTACCAAGTTCTTCAGCATTTGATGACCCATTTATTTTGTGTATCTCAGTTTGTGTAAAAGTTATATTAATGACCTTCTGAAAGCACTGCTACTACTAAAACTTGAATCTTCCTTGATTTCCCATGTCCTCTCCATAGTTTACTGTCCATGTCAATATTGTCACTATAGTACAATATAGTACACAAAAGAAAATGATAATACTCCAAAATAACTTTTGCTACTTTTTTATAGAGCTGCAGCCCGATGTAACAAAGGCATAGAAGTACTGTTTGCAGTGGCTCTGGAACATTTTGTTTTGGTGGTTGTAAGAGCTTTAAGGGGACCTACTTCAGCAGACGAAGCAGCCAAAAAGATTCAGTACTTAATCCATTGTCAGTGGTGTGAAGAAAGAATTTTTCAGAAGGACGGTAATATGGTGGAAGGTAAATTCAAGTTCCTCATGAATGTGTACTGTTTATCTTTAACCCTCCAGTGAGTAAGTTTTTGCCTAATCATATCATTGTCCTTTGACTTTAATGATTACAATGCTAACATTATTTTTTATTATACTGGATTATCTTTGATTAATAGACAAGATATTTGTGTGATTTTATTAAAGTTACTTTCTCATTCTATGTAATATATGCTCTGTAGCCCCTGCCCGCCTTGAAACATCTAGAAATAACTTTAAATTTCCACTGTCAACTATTCTTAGGAATATAAGCCAGACTGTCATCTTTTTGTCTAAACTGTTACAAATCAAAATAATGTCCAGGTTTTTTTGATAAACATAAAAAGCTACCAATTAAAAACTGTTCAGAGCTGAGAGGGGTGCACACCTATAATCCCCGCACTCGAAGCTGAGACAGGAGGATTATTGCAAGTTCGAGACCAGCCTAGGTGACAAAATGAGGTCAAGGCCAGCCTGAACTGCATAGTAAGACCCTGTCTCAAAAAAGAGAAAAAAAAAAAAAAAAACTTCCGTAAACATTTATTGAATCTATACTGTGTGTCAGACTTATGAATACAAGGGGAAATTTATGTTCCCTTACAAATATTTTCTGTAAGTTGTTTTGTTTTAAGACAAGATATTGCTGTGTATTCAGGCTGCCTTTGTACTTGCTAAGTACTGGGCCTGGCCTTGAACTCAATCAAGATCCTCCTACCTCAGCCTCTCAAGTGCTAGAATTATACATAACATACCTCACAACACCCATCTAGTTTTTGTGTGTGTGTTTTAATTTTTTATTTTATTAGATCACATTTGCAGTTCATGCAGTGTACAGCCATCATGGGGAGTAGTTATATGTACATATTACAGCCTGCTTCTTTTGTTCCTTTTTAACCCTCTTCTGTACTCCTCCAATTTCCCTGCCCTCGTTTTCATTCTTGATGATACTATTAATCTTAGCTCATGTTTATAGGATGTAATGTTTACATTAATTGCAGTTTTTAGGTTCTTGTATATGGTGTATCTTTATTCTACTTGTTTCCCTTTGCCTTCTTCCTCACGCTTCATCCTTGTTCCCTTGGCCTACTTCACTGTTCTCTGTTCCCTGTTCCCTTGCCCCCTTCTGTCTATCCTTTATCATGTTCTTTGTGCTTTGCTTCACTCAAAGGAGAAATACTGTCCAGTATTTAAGCATGTGTATCTGATTTATTTTACCCAACATTATATTTTTCAGATGCCTCAATTTTCCTATAGAGATCTCAAATGTGTACTTTATAGCAGAGTATTATTTCATTATTTATACATATCACATTTTCTTTATCCAGTCATCTACTAATTTCAGGATTTAGGTACTACAAATTATGCTGCTAGACCAGGAATTTAGCTCAGTGGTACAAGTGCCTGACTGACAAGTACAAGTTCGTGAGTTCCATTCCTGGTACCAAAAAAAAAAAAAAAAAAAAAAATGCTGCTATAAACATTGGTATGCATGTATTGCTGTAGTACTTGTAGTACTGTATACTTCTGAAGCTGTTTAAGAATATATCTAGCAGGGAGATTGATTATGTGTATGGAATTTCTAATTTCAGTTCTTTGAGAAAGCTCCATACTGATTTCCATATGGTTATACTAGTTTACATTCCCACTAACAATGCAGGAGGATTCATTTTTCATTATAGCCTCACCTGCATTTGTTGTTTGATTTCTTAATGATTGTCATCTTTCTGGAAGAAGATGAAATCTTAGCATTGTTTGAATTTGCATTTCTCTAATAGCCAGACATGTTAAGCTTTTTTCCATATATTTGTTGATCATTTATATTTCTTCCTCTGTGAAATGTCTGCTCATTTCTCTTGCCCATTTCTTTACTGAGTTATTTAGTTTTAGGTATTACTCCTATGAGAAGTAGCTGGCAAAAATTTTGTTTTTTGTATTTTTTAATACAAATTTTGTTTTTTGAGACAAGGTCTCACTATTGCTGTGCTTTAAACTCACTGTGTAGTCTACGCTGACTTGGAACTCACAATAGTCCTTCTGCCTTAACTTCCCAAATGCATGTACCACCATACCTGGCTTCACCCTTCCTTATACTAAAATGTACTTAAATTTCTTGCTGTATTTTGCATCCTGTTCTAGTGATTCACTATCTATTTATACACCTCTACCATACCATTTTCTTTATATTTGGTTTGCTTTATGGGTTTTGAAATGGGATGTCACTGAGTTGCCCATGCTAATCTTGGACTCTTCAGCTGACGTGATTTTCCTACATCAGTCCCCTAAATATCTGGCGTTACTATGGCAATCCCTCCTGAAAGCTATTTGTTTTTAGTGTTCCTGGTATTGAATCTGTTTTTTGTTTGTTTTTCTTAATAAAAGAATAACCCCGTTGGTATTTTTTGAGGACATTAAGTTAGGGAAGATAGATCCTATGACTTTGAAGCTTACTATAAACATAGTGTGCTTTTCATTTGCTCAGGTACTTTAGTACTATATCATGGTGGAACTACAGGGCATCTTGACATGTTCCTTATTTCAATAAGATCTTACAACTCCACTATACCATATAATTATTTGAAATAATATTTTCACTTAGAAACAAGTTAGACATCTCTGTCCCTACAGTCGCCATCCTGTGTTTGGGATATATCTAGGACTGGTTGGCTGAATCAGGCCATTCCAAGAAAGTAAATGATCATCCCAAGAGTGGTCTGGAGGTGTGGGGGAGATTAGTTGGAGTTTCTACTTTTAAGTAACTATTATAAGGACTGGTGATACAGCTTACTATTAGAGCACCTATCTAGCATTCATGAGGTCCTGGGTTGAACCTCTACCACCATCAAAAGAATAAAAATAAAATGATTTTTGTCAGAGCTTTCAATGAACTTCTAACTCTTGCTGTAGGCTCTTGCCCTATTTTGGAAATGAAGAATAATTTCCTTGTGATTATTTCTGGCCTCTCATTCTCTAAACTGAATTGGATTCTTCTAGCAAACATTTTAGGGCTAAATGAATCAACTGTGTAATAATAGAAATACAATAAGTTATTTTCTTTCCTGTTAGAGATAAGTTGACTTAAGAAACTGTATTTTAATTGGAATGCTAATGACATTGGTTTATACATTTGGCAGAATTCGTCTTCCTTTTCCTATTAAATATATAAATTTCATTACACATAAATTAAACCCCAATTTGCTAATTTTAAAATATAGAAATTCTTGTTATATTATTTTAGATAATGTAGTAACTAAAATCTAGTTTCACTTAGGCCTCTAACATGCCATTTGACATGGATAGCTTTTTAACTTTAATAGATTTTAAGCTATAATCTTCGGCATGATTGAGATTTTAACATCCATTTATAGACAGTTGTAAGGATTAAAATTTTTAAATATATTTTTTAAAAGACTTAGCACAATACCCAGCACATAGTAGATCCTCAGGATATAGTAGCTGCAGTAACAATTAGTACTATTGCATTAGTCATTTCTCTTTTTTATTTCTCTTTTATTCATTGTTTTAACAGAAAACCCATATAGACAGTTGCCATGTAACTGTCATGGAAGCATGCCCGGGAAGACAGCAATAGAACTTGGACCTCTGTGGTATGTGCCTGAGCATAGCAATATATTCAGAATTGACTAAGATATTGATTTATTACTTGTCAGCTTTTGACTGTGTATGGTAAAAGTTAAGCAAACATTCAATTTTGTCTAGTCAAATAATTATGATTCCTCTCTTCCTATGATTCTGAACCTCTACTATTCTATTATTCTTCCTAATTTATGATAAAGCTAAGAGGCATTGGGGTAAAAATGCCTGTGTGAGCTCCAAAGTAGATGATTCATTTCTGAATGATAAACAGGAGACTTGAAATTGATCATTGTGGAACTAAGTCATGATTGTAAAATGATAATGATAGCTTTTTATAGAAGAACCAACCAATATAAAAGAACCAATATATAAGAGAAATTAGTTTTCAGTTAGAAGGATAAAGCTATTCGGATGGGATACAACTGCAGATGTTTAATGTGTGGGGGCTTTTCCATCATTTGTAGCAAGTTAGTCTGTTTTGCTGCTGCTGCTGTTTTTGCAAAAGTGAGGGATCAACGTGGGGTACTCCACCATCAAAATATACCCTGAGCCCATTTTAACATTTTACTTATTTTTCAGTACTAGGGATGAAACAGAAGCCTTGAAACTAAACAAGATCCCCAACCATTTTTATTTTTTGAGGCATGGCGTCTTGCTAAATCACTGCTAAATTGCCCATGCTAGGATCAAACCTGCAGTCCTGCTTCAGCCTTCCAAAGTGGTGGGATTACAGGCATGCCAACATGCCTATTTACTGTGTTTTTTAATACTTAAGTTGTTTTTAATCATAATCTGTACCTTAAAATTTGTTGCTAGAGATTACTATAAAAATGTAAGATTGCTAAAAATAAAAATAATTGTTACAGATTTAAGATTGTTAACATTGTAATACAAATGATTGTAAATTTTTCCCTCATTTTATAGGATCAGGCTTAGCCATCTACTCAACCTTAAAAATTGATTCAAATAAAAAATGTTAGTGTTGATGCCCATTCTTTGATTTTTCATCCTCTGTAAATAAAAATGACATAGTCAGCCTTATCTTCTAAGATTCTCTTACTTATATCATCTCGCATACAGTGATCCTACTTACTGATCTCAGAACTAGAGAAATTAAGAATAGCAGGTACTGAATCCAGAAGGAAGATCCAGTGCTCTCACTTTACTGGTGAGGAAATTAGGGCATAGTGTTTTTAAATGCTTGCTAAAACTGACCCAGAATTAGTTGTTAGCCTGACGGCTAAGGCTAGAAGATTGCAAGTTCAAGCCTAGCCTGGAAAGTTTAATGATTTAGCGAGACCCTGTCTCAAAATGCTGTAAATAAGTTTTAAAAAAGGCTGGATGAATGGCTCAGTGCAAAGGCCCCGGTTTCAATCTCCAGTATTACAAAGAAGAAAAAAAAAACAGTAGTTAATAAGATAGTTGGGTCCAAAATCTCATTGAACTTCATTTCTTTACACAGATCCCCAGCCTTTTTTGAGATACGATCTCACTAAATTACGAAGGCCAGGTTTGAACTTGCTATCCTCCTGCTTCAGCCTCCTGGAGTGCTGAGATTACAGTAATGTACCACCACACCTGACATGATCATTCATTTGATACTCTAAAATTATGTATCCTTTCATATATATTTGCTAACCCTAATAATTAGAATTACCATTCATTTAAGGATATTCTTTGTAGTAGGCATTGCATGTCTTCTATCTCGTTTTAATTCTCATAACAAGTTTGTGAGACACTTTCAGTTTCATGATGAGGAATACTAGCAGTAACTTCTCAAGAGTACATAGCTAGTAAGTGGTGAGACCAAGATTACAATCAGGTTTATCTGACCTAGAATTTCATATTTTGTCAATTTTATCTGTGATTCCCAAGTAGGAAGCATATCTTACCTCCGAGCCATTTTTAAACTACCACTATCATGTGTAACATTTTTAGGTGATTCTCCCCACCACACACCCAAATATATACACAAGAATTAAGATTTACTCTAAGCCAAACATGATTCAGCATACCTGAAATCCAAGTACTCAGGAGGTTGAAGGAGAAGGATCCTGAATTTAAGGCCAGCCTCAACTACATAGCAAATTGAAGACCAGCCTGGACTATATAGTGAGACCCTATCTGGGGCAGGAGTGAGGGATAATTTTTGTTACTGACTAGAATATGCATTGTGAAGACCTTGGCATTACATAATATTCCTGTTTAAATTACAGGCTTTCACAGGGTTAATGTTGTGTTTTATATTTAAATATATCCTCCACACATAACCACCGCCACCACCCTCACATTTGTTAAGTACTGTACTACTTTTAAGAATTCAATAAATTCTAAAAAAAAAAAACTCAATAAATTCTTGATTTCACTTGAATAAAATTTCCTTGGCTAATACTACTAGTTTAAAGAACTGAAATTACAAAAGGAGTGGGAAAAGAGTAAATAAACATATGAATCAAATTATTTTTGGATTCCAATATGATTCGGTGCTAAACTAATTATATATTTAAATTGTAGTTAAATTATGGCACCTTTATAAATATAAACATTTCTCAGATCCAATTCTCTATATATTTCTTTTTCAGGTCAAGCTCCCTTTTCAATACTGGATTCCTTAAAAGAATGTTATATGAATCTGTTCACCATGGGTTGGATGATATTCAGACCCTAATAAAGACATTAATCTTTGAATCAGAGTGTACTCCTCAGAGTCAATTTTCAGTTCATGCACCCTCAAATTTCAACAAGCAAGGTGACTAATTGAACACTAGCTAGCTAACATACTGGTTTACTAAAAATACTATATTACTTTTATCTTTGATATAATCAAAAGCAATATAATTATGTGCTTTAAATCCTCTGATGAGTATTCATAATTTATTCGCTATCATTTTATAATTACATAGTAATTTCTTCAGAAATTACATAGTAATTTCTTCAGATTTATAGTCAGGCCTAAAACGAATGTAATTTTATTAAGATAATCTGTACTTGTTTTTAATTTTAGTAAATAAAAGGAACTTTTACTGTATGCCTATTATTTTATACTATATACCTATTTTCTAGAAAGAGAAACCTTAGATAATTCTAGGAATGATATGGCCAGAAATGTTGCTAATGTCCGTTGAGACACAGAAAATGAATTTACACATATCATTCAGTAAAATTACATTTTTTTTTTTCTCCTCAGTATAGATAGGCTTTTGTAATCTTGGTTGGATCGTAATACAAGAGTGGGTCTACTAAACATCCTAGTCCTCGCATAAGTAATGAGAAGAAACTGCTATTATAGAATGTTAAAATACATAATTCTAACAGCCTGTCTTAGTCACAGAATCTCTTACATGTTCTTGTCTGAAATTTACTTGTCTGGAATTCCAGTTTGGGTTGAATTTCATGAACGTATTTGAACTTTAAATTATTGCTTAATGTCGTCTATAAAATATTTTCCTATTTGTTTTTATTTTAGAAGAAAATGGTGTATCTGTTAAAACTACAGATGATACCACAACAGATTACATTACCCAAGGTATGTATATATTTGTGTGTGTACATACATATGTGTGTATCACCACAAAAGACATAAAGAGAAGAGATTGCTTTGGTAATCTTCTTAAAATACATTTTCAACATATGCTGACAATCAAATTATAGAAAAACTTAACAGCATTTACACAGTATACAGTTCAACATGTACTTTGTTCACATCTCTAGTAGGCAGTGATTCCGCCAACAGAGCTATAAGGTCATGAAGAACTTTGTAAACTAAAATAAGATCAAATAATGTTACAAAATTGTAGCATTGAGATTATATATTTTGTTCAACCTGCTATGGTGGTGCACACCTATAATCCCAGCACCTAAGTGGCGTAAGATGGCTGGCTCAAAGCCAGCCTGGGCTACATGGCAAGTTCAAAGCTATCCTGATCTACATAGCAAGATCAATTTCTAAAAAATTTGAATTTTATTTTAGTCTTTTAAAATTACTCATTAGTATATGATTTATAGCAATTGAATTTGATTAACCAGTACACATTACTATATAACCTTTTATAGATTTTTAAGATGTATGCATACTTTATAGTTATGTTAGACATTACAGATTCATATCAAAAAGTTGTTGAGAGTTAAAATGTCATTGCTTTAATATCTAGAGCTCATTTTGCTTTTTAAAAAGTTAAGTTTAGATACTAAGTTGAATATAATAAAGCAGGAGAATCACAAGCCCATGGCCAGATTGACTATGTAGTATTGACCTAGTCTCAAGGAAGTCAAACTTGTAATACCAGCACTAGAGAGGTTGGGCAAGAGAATCACAAATTCAGCTTCTCCCTGGAAACTTAATGAGACTTTGTCTCAGAATAAGACAATACAGAGAGCTGAGGATATAGCTCAATGCAAAGGCCCTGTGTTCCATCTCAGTACTGCCACCAAAAAAAACCCCAAAACTGATGGAAAATGTGTTTTGAATACAGTTAAAAAGAAAAATCTAGAGTCTTAAGGATGAAAGAGCAATGGCCTATAATAACAGGCTGTAATTTTATATTAACTGCTCAGTAGTTGAGTGTTGGCTTCAAAGACAACATAAATTCCTCTTAAAATCATAAAGTTTAATAAATTATGCTCTTTCTAGTCATGTTTATTTGCAATCTTCAGCTAACTTGCTGACATTCAAATCACTTAAAATGTTACATTCTTCTTTTGTTGAAAGGATGACAGAGGCCTTATGATAGGTATACTATGAAGAAAATTACATTTAAGAGTGTTATTCTGTGTTGATTGTGTGACTTGGCCAGGTCCATCAATTTCAGCAAAACTGTCTTAAATCATTTTTAGAATAAGATAAAATGTAAATATGCCTTAAAATGTTTTAAATCTTATTGTCTTACCTATAAATTTAAGGAAGTGAAACTAATCTCTACAGGCTCTTAACCTATTTTCTATGTTTATTTGTACATGATTGCTGTACATAATGATTATATTTTGGTGAATTGTTGAAGGTGCATAACACATCTTTATAAATCTTGTCTCTAGTTCCCCTTTCCGGTTGCAGAGGATCTGTCTATGTAATATTATCTTTTATTGTTATGTTTTGAGTTTCTCATTTTAAGAGAAACTGTGCAACATTTATTCTTGTGTCTGATTTATTTTACGTAATATTATGTTCTCAAGGTGCATCTATTTTCCAACAAGTTACTCAAATTTATCCTTATTTAAGGCTGAGTAGTACTCCACTTTAAAATGACACACTTTCTATATCCATTCAGTCTGTTAATAGACATGTAGGCTTGCTTCCAAGATGTAACTGTTATGAGTTGTACTGCTAGAAGTATTGGTATGCATGTATCACTGTAATATAATGTCTTTAACTCTTTTGAAGAAGATACCTAGAAAGAGAAATAACAGCCTGGTTAGATGGAATTTCTAGTTTTATATTTTTGAGAATTCTCCATACTGATTTCCATAGTGGGTTGTACTAGAGTATATTCGCACCAACAATTTAGAAGGCTCCTTTTACCCCCATAGCTTCACCAGCACTTGTTACTATCAATAATAGCCATTCTTTGTCGAGTATCATGGAATCTCAATGTTAATTTGCACTTTGCTCATTTTTGAACTTTTTTTTCCATGTGTTTATTTGTGTATGGGCTCTCCTATATCTAAAATTATGATTATTCTAGCAACACAAAATAGGCCAAAAAAATCCATGTGTTGCCAGTAGTTAATTACAGGTATTCTGTAGGATTTTTTTTTTGATTTGACTTTTCTTAGAATTTGGGGATATAGTCTTTTGACTAGATTTCATGTGAGGGTACAACCAAATTTTAATTGACTGACCTTTAATGGACTGTCATTTTTTCTGTTTATCTAAAAAGTAATTTGATAGTAAGATATTTATCTTTGAATGTAATCTACCACTGTCATGCCTCAGACTTGCCTTCTGAATATTTTGGTTTATGCAAATGTCAATTGCTTTTGCTGAAGAAATAAGATTTGACCATCACATCAATATATAAAGGAGCTGAACATTTAAGCAAAGTCCCGTCATAATATTTTATACCTCAAGTATTTCTGTGTCTTTTTGTACATGCATGTGAATGTGTGTGATTTTTAAAGATACATGATTACAACCTAACTTGCTAGCTTCTTTTCACCTGAAATAGACTAAGTGACATAAAGAAATAGGCAGTGAGGTCACACATTGTATCTTGGTCAGTTTCTGTGTCTAAGGTCTTGAGACATTTTGCATGTGTGCTATTTTTCTTTATTGTATTTTCATTAAAGACCTATGTATCCACTATTAGGCAATAAGTAAAGGAATAAAAATGAATGAGTTTGTCCCTAAAAATACATAATTTAAGGAGAAAGAATTTACACACATAAAAGTCCTATATATGTGAAGCAAGAAAAGAAAAACAGTGACAGACTTAACTTCTGAGTAGTGTAATATTGATGGTACTAAAATCTGTAGTGATTGATCCTGAGTTTATAAATGGCTTTCTACAAGAGATGGAAATAGAGTGGGGTAATTGAAGCTTGAAATTACAGAATGTAGAAACAGAGTTCTTTTTTGCTTACGCTTTATTAGTACATGTTTGCAGTACATGCAGTGTACAATCATCTTGGGGAGTGGGTACATGCACATAATATAACTTTTTTTTTATAACTTACTTTTTTAATTCCCTTCCCTCCCTAGGCCCTTCCTCCTTCCCTCCTTTAATTTCCCTTTCCCCATTTTCATTCTTGTTGACATTATTAATCTTAGCTCATGTTTGTATTAACCCACATTCATTGAGGTTATTGGGTTCCTGTATATGACATCTTTTTAATAATTTTGTATTAGTACATGTTTGCAGTTCATGCAATTTACAGTCAGCTTAGGGAGTGGTTACATGTACATACTATGGCTTTTTAAAAAACATTTTAGCCCCTTTTTGCTTCCTCTTCCTCCCCTGGTTCCCCTATCCCCTTTACCATACTTGTCAATACTGCCTTTTTCCATGCTATGACATATAGTACTTACATTAATTGGGATTTTTAGGTTCCCATACATGGCATGTCTTTATTCTGCTTGTTCCCCCCTCCCTTCTTCCTTATTTCTCACTCCTGTACCTTTGGCCCTTTTCCTCATTGCAAGAAATATGTTCCTTTGTCCTTTTTCTATCCATCCATTATCATTTGTACTTCGCCGCACTTATATACCATATGGTATTTAAGCTGTGTGCCTAGTTTATTTCACTCAACATTTTATTTTCCAGGTGTATTCATTTTCTTATAGATGTCTCAAATGTGTCATTTTTATGGCAGGGTAGTATTCCATTATATATAAACACCACATTTTCTTCATCCAGTTGTCTGTTGATGGGTATACAGACTGCTTCAAGAATTCGGCTATTACAAATTGTACTACTATAAACATTGTTGTGCATGTATCATTGTAGTATGATGACTTAGGCTTTTGGGGGAAGATATCTAGCAAGGAAATACCTTAGTCATATGGAATTTCAATTCTTTAAGAAATCTCCCTACTGATTTCCATAACGGTTTTATTGTACTAGTTTATATTCCCAGTTAACTTTCCCAACAATGCAGAAGAGTTCCTCTTTCTCCACAGCCATACCAGTGTTTTGTTTGATTGTCATTCTTTCTGGAATAAGATGGAATCTTAGCGTTGTTTTAATTTGCATTTCTGTAACACCCAGAGATGTTGAACTTTTTTTTATATATTCGTTGACCATTTATATTTCTTCCGATGTGAAATGTCTGCTCGTTTCTCTTATCCATATTTTTGAGTTCTTTGTATGTTCCAGGTATTAGTCCTCTGTCAAGAAGTAACTGGCAGGCATTTTTTCCCCATTGCATGGGTTGTCTCTTCACTGATTCTTTTCCTGAAGCTTTTTAGTGTAATATATTCCCATTTGTGTTTCTAGCTATTTCTTGTGTGAGAAAACCTTTTCCTATACCTGTGTCTTCCAGAAAGTTTGATGTTTGTTTTAATGATTACATCTTTGATCCATTTTGATTTTAATTTAGTATTTGGTGAGATAAGGGTTAAGTTTTATTCTTCTACAGACAGATAACCAGTTTTTCCAACACTACTCGTTGAATGGACTTATCTTTCTTCCAGCATATGCTTTTGGCCCCTTTGTCAAAGATCAAATACTTGAATATGTCTGCGGAGGATTCTGTGTCCTCAGTTTTGTTTCAGTGATCCGTGTCTGTTTTTGTTCTAGTACCAGACCATTTTTAATCACTGTTACTTTGTAGTATACCTTGAAGTCAGGTATCGCTGTACTTCTTGTTTTGCTCTTTTTACCCAAAATTACTTTGGTATTCTGAGTCTCAGTAAAAGAGAAGTACTAACTTAGAAAACAAATACTAAAGTTACATAAAAGAGCAGTGAAAATACCTAAAATAAATTAGCTCATTTTAAGAATTAAGATTTGATAAGGAGGTTGAAATGATGTATCAGTGTATTTAGACTTGAAACTATAGTTATAAAAGCACTTAATTATAATTGTTAAGAATACTAACTCTTATGTGCATGTTTCAGGAAAGAGAAAAAGTAATGAAATGATTACAAATTCAGTCAAGAAGCAAAAAACTGATGTCATTACTGAACATCCCCCCTTCTATTACAACATCCACAGACACAGCATTAAAGGAATGAACATGCCAAAGTAAGACACCAATGAATGGCAAAGTTTATATATCATTATATTTTAATATCATTATGAGTGAAATACAAATAAAGTAACTTAAGTATTTTTTCCTCATTTTATTGCAGGTTAAAAAAGTTTCTGTGCTATCTTTCTCAAGCAGGCTTTCGAGTAAGCCGAACTCATTTTGACCCAATGGGTGTTCGTACAGATGCACCTCTGATCCAGTTTAAATCTATCCTTTTAAAATATAGCACCCCGACTTACACTGGAGGACAATCAGAAGGCCATGTCCAGTCAGCATCAGAGGACACAGTAGCCAATAGGGTTGAAATGTCAGTGAATGACAAAAGTGAAGCAAGTAGCTGCAGAAGATGGTAAATAGAAGGAAGAATTTATTCTCAGGTGTCTGTATAGGTGGCTCAGCAGTTCTCTATACCAACTCTAGTTCTTTTTCTATTCTTTCAGGTCAGTAGTATGAAAATAAAAAACAGTGCCGCTTTCATTCAAAAAATTAGCAGTTTCTAACTTAGCTGGTTTGGGAGCTTTTCAGGTTTTTCTTATTTTAAAGAAAACTTAAAATTTTAATGAAAGCATTTCATATGAAGTCAGGGTTCCACTGAGATCACCCTATTGAGTAATTAAGTTTTCACATGCTTAGTGTTCACAATTCATGTACATTATGAAAGCCATCCTTTCCTATTCTTTCTTTCCTCTTTTCCCTTCTGTAGTGCTGGGACCTTACACATTGCTAGGCAGGCACTTACCCTGAGCTACATCCCCAGTCTTTTTGAAGGCAAGGTCTTGCTGTATCACCCAAGCTGGCCTGAAATCCTGAGCTTAATCAATCCTACCTCAGCATTCTAAGTAGCTGGGACTACAGACGTGTGCCACCATGCTCATATTATGCTTTACTGTCAATCATGTTTCTACCTGAACTGATCCATGATACTTATGTTTTTCTGTGGTTAATATACATATGAAACCGAAACCTTTTACATACCAAATGATCCTGAATAGAAAGAACATTCTTTCAGGTCATTCATGTATTTCACAAACAAGGCCAACATATTTTCCCATTTTTAAGAAATTATATTCCACACACCGATCTTTTAATTTATTACTAACTTTCAAGAAATTGAATACTTGCCTGAGACATTTTTTACAAGTATATAATCTAGATGACCAAACTTCAGTTTAAGATTTTTGTCAAAATATACTAAGACCATTGTTCTAATATAATTGTTCACATACTGAAATCTCAAAGAGGGATATTATGAATTAAACAGGTTGGGTGATCTCAGGTGCCTCAGTTAATGCATGTCCAGTATTCTTTTGATTAATTGTGCTACCAATCAGAAGTAAAAATTGTCATCTTACAAGGTGAAGATTTTTTTTGTTTTAGAATTATTTTCCTTTGGTTGGTTTTTCTAGTTTTGTTGTGTGTATATTTGTGTAAACTTTTTTGTAATAGCTGCCTACACTAACATAATTATAAAAATCAGTTGGAAAAAATCTTGCTTGTATTATCATTCTTGCTTTATCTGAATGTAAAATTTTAGGTGGAAAGATTTGGTATAAAGTTTAGGTTTTTGTTTCAATGATTTAATCCATATTTACCTGCATTTCTCAAGGAAAGTAACTTTTTACAGCCATTAAGCTAGAGGAGGGTAGTACATACATAACTGAAAGGTTCGGAACACTGCATAAGAAAAAGCTCCCGTGATACACAATCTGAATGATGGGGAGGGTGGAGTTAGATAAATAGTTAAATGGCAGAAATAAAGGAAGATCTCTGTTATTACAGCATGTTCCCCAGAGGATATTTTTTCTTCATTCTCCAGTTACATTCAGTAAAATAAAGGAATAAGTTAGTTTCTCTATTAAAAAATCATCTACTCCAATTGTTGCCCTCTACAGATGAGCACAAAAAGAAATAAATGTTATGTATAAGTCAAAAGCAGAATTACTGTAACTACAGGAAACAAACATGCTTGGATTATCTCATTGAAGTACATACTGTTAAATTGAAGACAAGCATCAAATTTTGGTAAATGTCCTTTGTTTTGTTTTGTGTTTTTTTTTTTTTTTTTTGTCTTTTTCATTTTTATCGGTACCAGGGATCGAACTCATGACTGCCTGCTTACAAGGCAGGCACTTGTGCTGCTGAGCTAAATCCCCAGCCCCAGTAAATGTCTATCAACATGATATATTGGTCAATCTGAGATGACATTTATGCAAAGCCTAATTTCATACAGTAATCTGTAATCTCTAAAGTATATAGGTAGTATATTAATTTCACATATAAAGGCAGATTTCCCCAACAAAAAATTGGAGGTAGTTTAAAACTCTGTGATAAAGTTCAACCTGAAGGAAGTACTTTCAGTTTAAAATTTTCATTTAAATCAGGAGTGGTGATGCATGCCTGTAATCCCAGCACTTGGGAGGCTGAGGCAGGAGAATTGTTGTAAGTTCGAGACCAGCCTGAACTGCATAGGAAGACCCTGTCTCAAAAAGACCAAAAAAGTAACAATTTTTTTTTTCATCTAGTTGCACATTAGCATCTTGTTCCCCTAACAGCAGTTGTAATTTGGGACAATGCCAACGTTGATCACATTGTAAAGTGACAGCACTTGTGTTCCTTAAAATGTAAGAAACTACCGGGAGCGGGGGACCACCAGGTTGCCTAAGAAGGGGTGAACAGGCCCAGGTCGGAAACGGAGCAGGTCAAAACTCCCGTGCTGATCAGTAGTGGGATCGCGCCTGTGAATAGCCACTGCACTCCAGCCTGGGCAATATAGTGAGACCCTGTCTCTTAAAAAAAAAAAATAAAAATAAAATGTAAGAAACTAGTTCAGGAATGGAGTGTGTTGTTACTTAATACTACTCTAACTACAAGCTCAGGAAATGGGAGAAGTAACCCAGGGGAGTTTTGAGTTGGTAGACTTGGGTCAGAATTCCATTCACTGACTTCTATAACATTCAGCTCCAAAAAATGTGATATACTGATTCACAGAAATCCTAATTAACATAAGACCAATTTCAATATTCCCAAACTTAAGAGTTTCTTTCTGCATTGCATAATTACTCTGATAAATGGCCACAAATTACTTTGGAACGGGCTGAAAGATACATTTTGTGTTGTGTCAGAAAACTATCTCAGAGGAATCCAGGAATATGAATGAAATGATTCTTAGACATTAGAGAGGCTGTGACTACAAGAGTGGTTCAAGTCAGACAAAAGGATCATGGAGTCAGTTTACTTTGATGCTAGAGATAATTAACCAAGCCAAACCTTATGTTAGACTGCTGATTATCCTGAATCCTGATACCTGTTACGGTAACCATTCCCACTTTTCTAGTCTAGCAATTAGGTAATGTGGGCATTGGCAGTGTAATGGTTCAATAGACCACACAGGTGATGGTAATTCCATTAACATAATGGAGGTGAAAAATTCTGGTTGCCTAGTGATAAAATAGTTTATGTAACAGCACAACATTACACATTTTAAAAAAAAAAAAAAAAAGCAAAAACCTGTGCTACCAGTCATAAAAGTAGGGATGAAGTATAGCGATCATAAATGACTTACTGGTTTATGTGTTTACTCTTCTATACTTTTTAATTATTTTAGCATATACACATTTAAAAAGCATCTCAGATGTCTCATTTACTGTTTCTTTGTTGTACCGAGACTGCATCAAGTGACTGACCAATACTGTCTAGGTTTGTGTACATACATTCTATGATGTTCACATGAAAGCACCCAACACTTCTCAGGACACATCCTTATTGCTAAGCATGACTGCTTTGTGTGACACAATAATCACAGCAATGCCCATTGAATCAGGGAGTCCATTTCACCTGAAGCATTCCCCATTGCTATCTCTGGCCTACAGATAACCAAAAGGCTTTTCTAAAATGCCACTGCTCTACTTGCCATTGTTTTTCTCAGTGTCAGACTCTCAGCGCAGGGTGTGGCTAGAAAACCACACACACTGATTCTCCGTCATCCTCTTCTTTGTATACTGACACATCAACCAATTTTTAACATCTCACCTCCAAATTTGGATGTCATTGCAGTATCAAAACGTCAACAATGTAATGAGAACCACTCCAGATCACACAAGCTGACAAACTGAGCCAGAATTTGTTACAGGTGAACCTGCCTTGATCTGTTTTCTGTTGCTAAATCGAACGCTATAGATAGCATGATTTATAAAGAATACAAATGGTAAGACCCTTCCTACTGCTTCATGATAGAAGACATCAATCACACGACAAAACAGCAGTTATACCAAAGCTCATTTATAACAAAGCCACTACCCCAACTCACTAATTCATAAAGACTAATCCATTCATGAGAGCACATCTCTTATGACCCAATCACCTGTGAAAGTTATCACCTCCAAATACTATTAACACATATTTGAGGAACGAAGTTTCAAACCATAGCAGTACTCATAATTTGAACCAACTTAACGTTCTAAAAATAGTTATATTCTTTTAAGATCTTGTATACAAATGAATCTATTTCCCAGGTATTCTGTACATAAAAATCTGGGACTATTAACTGGAGATGATAAAAGTCAATTACATTTAAAATGTGTGTAAACAGTGTGAGTTATCCCAAAATTACAAACTTCATTCTAGATTTGTTTTACAACTGAAGTACACTGGAAGAATTTTAGATCAGGTAGGCCAAAGAATAAATTTACTAAGTGTCTTATTTTCTTGTTGCTGAGGAAAAAAAAAAAAAAAAAAAAAACAAAACCACAAATAAGTTAGAGCAACAAAGGTTCATTTCAGCTCCATCTATAGAGATGTCCATAGTTGCTGGCTCCAAAGCAGGACATAATAATATTCTAATTTGTCCATATTGTCACAAATAACAATTTCCTTTCAATGACTAAATCCATTGTCTGCTTCATCCATTCTTGCATTAAGTTGGATTCCTTTAGTTACTCTAAATGACACAAGGCAGCTCTTTGATAGCTTTCTTATGGACATGCAACAGGAAGTGAGGTTGCTAGGTGACAAGGTACTTTTTTGAGAAACCTCCATACTGGTTTCTGAAATGGTTATATTTACTTTCCGACCAGCAGTGTACAAAGATCCTCTTCTCGATGTCCTCACACTTATCATTTTAGTAACAGGTATTCTACAGATGTGTGGTTTTAGTTTGTATTCCATAATATTAAGAATTTTGTCGTATACCATTGGTTATCTCTGAGAAATGTCCACCTGGGTCCTTTGCTCATTTTAAATTGGGTTTTGCTAATAAGCAGAGCTCATTATGTTTATAATCAGATATATGGTTTACAAATGCTTTCTCATGTTCTGCAGTTTTCACTGTCCTTTCCTTTGCTACACAGAAAACATCTTAAACCATCGTATTTGTCTACTTTTTGCCCTTGTACTTGCTTTATGTCCTGCTCTTTCCATTTCCTTGTAGCAGGTTTAGTTTCAGATCCTAGGCTGCCTTCCTAAATTACTATGCCAGAGGTAGTACTGTTCAGGGAGTGGCAAGTTTCAAGGTCCTTATTGTTGGTATTCTTCCTGGTACATTCTCCTCCTCCTGGTAATCTTTATTCCACTATCAAGATGGTATCTCTTCCTCCAAACATCACCTCTTTGCTCCAACCACTGGACCAAGAAATTATAGTAGCTTTTAACAGTTTACCATCTGAGGACTTTTGCCCAGACTATTTTGCTACAACGGACAACAGTGGTGCAATTCATAAAGGATTAACCTGTAACTACATCAAAAACTTTGGCAGGGCTGGGAGTGAAACTATCATGAAACTTCTAAAGGTGGACCCAGAGAAAGCTTTGGGAGGGCGGGGGGTCCAGCAATCAAACTCATGATCTTGTGCTTGCTAGGCAGGTTTGTGCCACCTAACTAAATCTCCGGCCCTCAACTAAAATTTCTGAACAGTGAAGCCTTCCAAGACCCTCAAGCAGGTTCTTCAAGAGGTATCCCAGAAGGCAATGCTCTCAGAAGAGGACAGTTCTATGCATTACTGCCCTGAAGACTACTGAGTCACAATGTGGATGTGATGGTGATACTGATGATCTTGACCCTGTACAGGTCTAGGATAATGCATTTTAGAGTTTTGGGTTTTTTTTTAACATATAAAAAAGACAGGTGGTTGGTGGTGTACATCCAGCATTCAGACCACTGAGATTGGATCATTGCAAGTCTGAGACCAGCCTAGGCTACGAAGTGAGCTCAAGGCTTGCCTGAACTGCACAATGACCTGATCTCATAAACAAACAAACATAGATATATAGATATAAATATAGATATAGATAGAGCTGGGGATGTGGCTCAGTGATAGAGCTTTTATGCAAAACCTCTGGGTTTGATCCCCAGCACCACCAAAAAAATAAACTAAAAAGTAAAAAATAGGGCCAGAGATAACAGCTCAGCAACACAAGTGCCTGCCTGGCAAGTACGAAGTCTTGAATTTGATTCCAGGTACAAAAAATAAAAAAGGAACTAAAAAGTAAAAAATAAAGAGCACACCGATTAAGGATGCAAAGACATTTTTTTTTTGGCTGTTCAAAGTTTGTTTTAAGTTGTTATTGCAAGTCAAAGTTTTAAACAATATAAATGTGTACAATAAGCTAAATAATGTTGACTTATTGAAAAATAATTTTTCAATACATTTTGAGTAGCCTAAGTGTGCAGCCTACATGTTATGTCTTTACATCCACTCACCACTCACTCACTGACTCACCAACACCACCTTCCAGTCCTGCAAACTCCACTCATGCTAAGTGCCCTATACAAATGTGCTACATTTTCCCTTTTGTATCTTTTGTGTCCACACTGGTTTTGTATTCCTGGCTCAAGCAGTCCTCTGCCTCAGCTTCCAGGGTAGATGGGACTATAGTCATGCACTACCATTCCTGGCTTACACTGTGTTTACTGTTTAGATATCGATATAAAAAAATACCAATGCTAAAATTGTCAGCAGGATTATTATAGTAACATGCTCAATACGTGTGTTGAGGATACCAGCCTAGATATGTACCGAGATGGACCAACTGGGTGTGTTTTAAGTGAATTCTGTTCTCACAACAATGAAATTACCTACCTGTGCATCCCTCAGAACTTATCACCAATATTCAGCGACACAACTGCACTCTACACAACTTTCATTTAAATCAAAAGGTACAGATTAAACGGGCTTAATGTTTCATCCTCCCCACCACCACCATCCCCCAAAAAATTGTGAACCCCACCACCACCACATAATGTTAAGTGCAACCTTTGGGAAATAATTAGGTTTCACGGAATTCTTATGTGTAGGTATTCGTATGATGAAGTTCATCTTTAAAAAATTTTTGTTAGTGCATGCTAGTAGGACATAGTAACTCTATTGTGTATTTTCATTTATTTTGGACAGAACAGAGCTCACTTGCTCTCCATTTGAGGACAGCTGTTTGCATGCCAGAAAGAGGACCTTCATTAGAAGCTAGCTGGCAACTATACTCTGGTTTGTTGTTCTTCAAAACTGGTCTATGCCTTTAATCCCAGCTGCCTAGAAGGCTGCAGCAGAACCAGTTCAAGATCATTCTGAGAAACTTGGTATGACCTTGTCTCAAAATATTACTATCTTAAACAATTTGTTTTTGTGGTTGGGGACTAAAGGGTCTTTGAGCAGCACCACAACTTTTCTGACACAGGATCTTGCTATACTTCCTAGGCTGAGCTTGACCATACTGGACCATACTTGACCAGTGCTAGAAGAGGCCTGCCTGGTGTCCTGTAGCACTGGAATTGTAGATATGCACCATGCCTGGCAGTTTATTCCTGTGTGCACCTTATGTCCGACTACCTTCCCTGCAACACTTTCAATGCTTCAGGAAAGTAAGCACTACTGAAATCTCTTTATTCAATGAATTACTTTCCCCTTGCTGCTTCCCAGAGATGTTTTGTGATCTATTTGAGCTTATTATATATTTTGAGCATTTCTGGAAGGGCAAGTGGTATTTTTCATCCAGTTTTGGAGCTTCTGGAAATTATTCTTTCAAATACACTTTCTTCCTCTCCTGAGATTTGTGTTCTACAAATCAGTGCATGTAATAGTTTTCCGTAAGTCCATTTTTTAATTTGCTTGTTGTCAGGTTCATTCATTCTAGCTTTATTCTAGCTGTTCAAATCTCCTGTTGAGGGCTGGGAATTTAGTTCAGTGGCACAAGCACCTGCCTGGCTTGATCCCCGTACCAAAAAAAAAAAAAAAAAAAAAAAAAGAACGAAGGAATCACATCTCTCATTGAAGCCCTCTTGGCCAGTGGTGAGCCCACAGCAAGTAGGCCAGAGCTGGCTGGCTGTTACCATCTAAAGCTCTAAAAGGTTCACCATCACTGCTCTACACCATATTTAACTTTGGTTATTGAACTCTTAATTTTTTTCTGATCAACTTCCCTAATATTTAGTCCCTTAACAGTTTTAGTAGTTCAGATAGCTTTAGTCTTTCTTAGTTGCTTAACTTTTAGTTGTTTAAGCTGACTTTTTTGATTAAGCCCAATATGTGGACTTTGTAGACAGCTCTGTTCCTTTGTATTTTTTGCAATGTTTTGCTGAAAACTAGAATGTAGTAACTCTGGAAATCAGAATCCCTTCACTTGCCCAGACTTTTATTTATCGTTTGTTTAGTGACCTTCCTAATTTTTTATGATACGCATTCTTTGCTATGATACTGCAGTTTTTGCCTTATTAGCGGAGTAGACAGTTACTATTTGGAAAGAGGTTTCTTTAAATGTGTCAAACAGGGCTGAGGATTTAGCTCAGTTGGCCCAAGTGCCTGCCTGGCAAGCACAAGGTTGTGAGTTCGATCCCCAGTACGGGGTGTGTGTGTGTGTGTGTGTGTGTGTGTGTGTGTGTGTGTGTGTGTCAAACAGCTCTCTCCATGATGTTCTACATTAAGATTATGCCTTTGACAATCCATTGAGAAGTTTAAACTGTGCCTGAGCTTTACTTTCTGATTTCACAGAGCCTCAAAGTCTAACACAAGGCAGAATTGTGCTTTCCTAAGACTTTTTCTAAGCAGCCCTGCCCAATGCATTCACGATTCCTAGCAATATGATGGAGTTTCCCCATCACTACTTTTTCCGTTAGCCTCTTTCCAGTTCCTGCTGCCACAGGCAACTACTATGTCACACTAGTTTTCACAAACTCTCTGGAGATTGAGCTGTTTGCACTAAGTGAGCTGAGTCTGACTAAAGACAAGCTCTGAAAATAAATCTTTTCAAAAAGTAAGATGTCACCTGTACCAAACAGTGACAACTCTTAGAGCTAAGTGTTTTTGTTTTGTTTTAGCTTTTTGAGACAGGATTTCACTATGCAGTTCAGGCTGGCCTCAAACTCACAGTAATCCTGCCTCAGCCTCCCAAGTGCTTGGATTACAGGCATGTGCCACCATATCCAGTCGAGTAAGTTTTTTGGGGTAGTTTAATGGCTGTTTTGGAGGAACTCCAAACTTGTTCTTGCAGGGGAGCTTCAAGTCCCCTCCAAGAGCTGACTGCTAGTTTTCATAGCTATCAAGGTTACAATGGAACTACAGAAAATGGGGACAAGGCAAGCTAAATACTATGAAACTGCTATAAGTTTCTTCCAATTGTTAGATGCCTTTGGTTAATTCTAGGCTTCTAAAAAAGCTGATTTTTAAATGATGTTCCTATTGCTGTGACAGAAGAGTAGATTTTTCAGAGGTTCTTACCTGACAGATCCAGAAAAGCTCTTAAGGTAGTTATTTTTATAGTTACAATAGCACACTAATATTTCTTTCTTATGCTTTTGTTGGGGGGGGGTATTTGTGACAGGGTTTTGCTATACAGTTAAGGTTGCCCTCAAACTCAATGTAATCCTGCCTCAGTCTCCTGAGTGCTGGCATTACAGGGGTGTACCAACACACCTGGGTCCTTTCTTATGCTTCACTAGCAATAATACTTTGGTTTACTAACACTTCAGCTTAGAAACAATTCAGTTCACAAACAAAAGCATTTAGCAAAATTTTGCTGCCATTCACAAACTCCACATTGGGTAACAAATACAACCACAGCCATCTTCCCCACACAAACACAAATGTAGCCATCTTTCTCAAAACTGTAAAACAAATTAAGTTTGTAAAACAAAGTACAACTGTAGAAAGAAATTATTTCCAAGTAGAAATAAAATGGACATTTAGAAGATCACTTTTCTCATCTAGCATTTTTACTTCATCCAAGTCAGCAACTTGAACCTTAGCTTTCTCAAATACACTTTTTTTTTGGTACTAGGGATCAAACTCATGACCTCGTACTTGCCAGGCAGGTGCTTATGGCACTGAGCTAAATCCCCAGCCCTCAAATACACTTCTATTATAAGGTTAATGATGATGTACCAGGTGTGGTGGAACATCCCTATAATCCCAGCTACTCAAGAGGCTGAAGCAGAAGGATCCCAAGTTTAAGACCAGCCTGAGAAACTCAGTGAGACCCTGTCTAAAAATATTTGTAAAATGCTACCCACCCTGGTAAAATGCTTGTACCCTGGACAGAGGGCGGCTGCTGCTGGTCAGTGCTTGCTGCCTTCTGCTTGCCGTAAGCGGTTTCTCCTTCACTAAGCTCCCCGCCTGGAAACCAGCCAACTATGAACTGAAACCTCTACAAATGGAAGCTACAATAAACCTTTCCTCCTTTAACTTTGGGAGTTGGGTATTTTGTCTCAGAAATGAGAAAATTAAGACATCATTCACGGGAAAAAGACTACCCTCTCAAACCGGAACTACCCTCTCAAACTGGAAATGCACATGCAAATGAAAAAAAAGTTGAATCTTGACTTTTACTACACACAAAATTCAAAAACGAATCAAAGACCCTAAGAGCTAAAATTCTAAAACTCTTAGAACAGGAAATAGTAAGAACTCAAGAGGTTTGCTTCGATATGATACCAAAAGCACAACCAACAAAAGAATATGCCAAACTTTATCAAAATGAAAATGTTCTGCACATCAAGGATGCTTATCAAGTGCATGAAAACTCACAAGAAGGAAATATTTTCTTATCATATTCTTAATAACAGACTAATTCCAGAATAAAGAACTCCTCTAATTAAATTACAAAGCAACTCAATTTAAAACAGACAAAGAAGGGCACTTATAGTCGGAACTACGGTATTCAGGGAGAATACCATATGCAAGAGAATTGCTTGAGCCCAGTTTAGTCCTGGGAGAAACCTATGACCTACCTCAAAAAAAAAAAAAAAAAAAAAGAGGTAAATTTGGTTATATATAGTTACCAGAGCAAATTTTAAAATAATAAAAAGTATCCAAGGGCATTTATCACAACTGATGAACCAGATGTGTGATGGCCAACGTATTTCTCCTCTTGTCTCAAACACATACACACACAAACACACACACAATACACTCAATGCACTATCAAATACCTATAATTATAGTTTGCAAAGGATTACACATCCAATGACTTCACTAATGATGTAAACAATTTATGTCCTCCCATACTGACAGATAAAAACACATACATTCTCTAAGCACAAAGTTTATATTCACAAATAACTTTCTGCTTAAAGACAAAATTTCGATTAGTAAACACAATGGGAATTTAGTTATTTAATGCAACCACTAATCTAATTTCACCAATAAAATCTAAACAGTTTTACCACAAAACCAGGGTTATAGTCAGTGGACATGCATTAATAATCTATGCAGTTTAACATTACACCAGAAAAGAAATTGAATATAAAAGTACTCTAATTTTTGGTAGTTTTCAAAGTTCCTGGCACAAATTACCAAAACAAAAAAAGAGAAAAGCCTGTAAAAACAGATTTCAAATATTTTCAATAAAATGTTTAAAAAACTGAAGCCTTTTAAGTTTTTGTACTTTTTTAAGATTTAAAACATCAAGCTGGCCCCAATCTGTCAAAACTGACAGATAAATATTTACAATGAATAGACAGACTTTAGTTACAATGAGAAGTCTAACTCCCTCCATTGAAACCCTTTGGGGTCGATTTCTCAATGTACATGTTTGTGTAAATACTGGTAATATAAACTTGGAGACACACCTATAATCACGATAGAGATGAAAAATAATACACAAGTCCATCTTATTTTGAATTGTCAGCATAAACCTTCTGGTTTTCAAAAATTCAACACTGTCCTTCAATATAAAACTAAGAGTAGAATGACTTTATCCTATTGGCTGACATATTTCTACAGAATTATCTTTCACTACATATCCAATCATGGTTCAAACTCCATTAACTTGCTTCTACAGAGAGTAAATTAGCAGAGCATCAAATTTATAAATTGATAAGGATACTTTAAATGCTAAGCACACTTTTCAAACAAGCAAACTATTTCCCCATTGTTAGTTGTATGTGCCATGTTAATTTTTGAAACTTATCTGACTACTACCAGTAAGAAATGAATTAAGAAAGCTTTGAACATATCTTGTACTTTTCATCAAGGCTAAAGTGCAAAATATCTCCATATCTCTTATATTTTAATAGGAAAACAACATCAAACACATATAATAGAGGAAATAAAGACAACAGAATACAAAAAACTCTTAAATATACAATTGAGGATTACATATTACTACCAATTCTTCTTTCTTCAGTGAAATCTGTTAATGAACCACATTCTCACAGAACTTAAGATTTTTGTTGATTCTCTTCCTCATGACCAGAAATTCTAAACTTACAGGAGGGAAAAAAATGGAAAAAAAAACAAAAAAAAACAAAACACTGCATGACAATGGACACAAGTTCATAAAGAACCTCCTTTTAAGTGAGATATTATGGAAGAAAATCCCATGAAAATTATAATCCTATGAGAATTGTTTCTAAGCACAGTAAATTTGACCCTTGGTCTTCAGAAAGATACTACAGTTTATATAGAAAACTATAAATATACAAGACCTCAGAAGGAAAAAAAAGTGGGATACATATTACTGTATTTAACATTCCATAGGTCTACAAAACGTGAAGAGGAAAAATGATAGCCAACTGAATCTTTACTTAATATATAACTATGAAAAATTAGAATATATAACTATGAAAAATTTCTGGGTCAAAGGGTGCTCCAAATGGAACTATATGTTGTGAAAGCATACAACTTAGATATATATTTTTAAAGGAAAGAAAAAGTATTGAGTAACTGCAGTCACTTCCAAAAAGTACATCTTAAATTAAGGGAAAGTAATTCTAATAGTGTAAACAAATCTGGCTCAGAAGGGAAACTGAACAACATATCCAAAATCTGTCCATGAAAGTAAAGATGGTATCTCAATATTAAAGAATTAGGCTATAAAAAAAGTTCAGTCCAGAATTGGTGTTTAAAATCTCATTTGTGTTCCTTGGTGGGGGCGTAATAAAGTTCCATAGGCTTGTTCACTTTCCAGTATTTCTCACTGACCAATTCCAGTGAAAAAGAGCCATTTAATACCTGCAACAGAAAAGAAAAAACATGAGATTTGTGTGAAACATTGTAAATAAAACAAAAAAAGCCACAAAATGTTTTAAATTTTTAAATCTTAGGAATACCTGTCACATTTGTTCATAACACAAGAAATAAAAGAGTATCAAAAAGTCAACTACTGTTGTGATTTTTTTCTGTCAAGTCCTTGTGGTTTTGCAGTTTGGGTAAGCCTTCCCCACCACCTGCCAATCAGAACTGGTCAATGTGCTCCAAGTTTCAACAGTCTTATTATTTTAAATACTCACAGTGAACTGGCCACTGGCTGTTGCTATATAAATGGTATACTGCTTCTCACTGGCTGTATCGAGGTTCATCTGGTTTGATTCTCCTTTGCTTCGCAGTTCTTCTAAAGCTAACCTCACAGCCAGATACTTTGATAAGTGATCAACAGTGGCATTACCTGAAGTCTTTATGTATCTGGAAGATCATAAATCAAAAAACTTAATGTATACAATATATGAGAAAAATATACCTAAGCTATAGAACTATTATATTTTTAAAAAGCTAAGTAAAATGCTAATGCCTCAACTGTTAACAAAATAATAGAAATTTGCTGCTCTATAATG